GACTCTTCACTTCTGCATCAAGACTCTTCACTTCTGCATCAAGACTCTTGACTCCTGTATCTAGACTCTGGAGTTCTTCGAGCATATCCTGCTCCAGCCTGCCTCCCCAAGGATACTTCCGTGCTCTCAGCTTCACCTGTCCTATAGGCCTTGGTTTAGGGATAAAGTTCCTAGTGATCAATTACCTAGTTGTGCATGCACGAGTTCGCACCAGTTTCGCCTTACCAATTCCCCTGCTCCCGACTCGCGAGATAGACCGAGTGTGGAATCTTCAACACTTCATCCTGAGACAACCGGCCCTTGACGCCCAAATCGTAGAGAAAGTTGAGAGAGATATCCTCATCAGAGTCGAAGCGCGCAGGTTTATGGACAGCGTCGTATCCGTCTGGTTGGATTTGATTGTGGAAGTCGCGCGAGAGCACGCTGGTGCAGAATGCTTGCCCTAGCGTGAGGTGTCTGGCGAGAGGATCGCCCTCGATGTCGGTGACTTTGACGTGTATGGCGACACGGCATGGACTGTCGCTAGTAGCCATTAAGTTGACGGGTTGGTTATGGGAGAGGATTTGAGCGAGAGGGAAGAGTCAAGACTATTGAATCAATTGCAAGTGGTAGAACTCCGTAGAGCGTGGGCATTATCATTATTTTTGAAGATGGTGAGCCCTGCCAGCCAGCCCTGTGCCACACCCGCCCCTTGCCTGCTGTGTACTATATAAGGCAACCACCGGCGCGGGTGCGGTACCACGACCTCTCGTTGTAGAACCTACCTGAGACATCCACCATTCTTCATCCAACGACGGCTGTGTGCATGAGCGGACCGTGGTGTTCTCTCCAAACAATCCAATTGCACCATCACTACCCCGCACCTTTTGGTTCCAATTTGTTTGCTTCTGCGAATATCCTTTCATGGCGGCGTCGCCCTTTCACCGCCCTTGAGTCTCACCAGAGTGGAAGGCGGGCAGTCCAATTGAAGGCAACAGCCACTAACCCTGGTTCCACGTGAAAGGGAAGCCATAGTTAACAAACAAACCAAATTTGTTGAGTGAGTGTGAGTGTGATTGTGACGACTTAAAAGTGAATCATGTCGTCCTCGGTGAGAATAAAAGCACCATCCATCTTCAGGTCCTCCCTCGTCGCCTCCACTCAACGAGCCATCCACAACCACAACCATCGTCGACCTGTACCTGTTGCGAACTTCTGCTTCTTTCGTCGATCATTATCATCATCATCGTCGAAATATCTGTCCGATAAGTCTGTCGATTCCGTCAGCATGTCTTCGACAGCAGCTCCATCTGACATCACCTTGGTGGCCGAGGATACCAAGAAGGTGCATTCAGTACTGGACTCCTCGTTCCCGGTGTACCTTCCCGCAGACCCGGCACTGTTCCTTCCTGAAGATGAATTCCAAGCTCATCTCCAACGGACGCTGATCAACGTTCGCAAGGCGGCTGTTAGTGACCTCAAAGACAAGCTCGACAACGTCGGAGAGGGCGAAACCTCGCCTGGTGCTCCGAAGAGCAAAGTCGACATGGACGTCGATGACAAACCGGTGGAGCCGTCGCCATTCATCGAGGCCCTGAAGAAGCACGAAGCGCACGTCAAGACCGAAGAGCAACTCCTCGCGGAGAACAAGACACTCACCGAGAACGCGGACGTGACGAACGTGTCGGCCAAGAATCCTTTGGTCGACTTGTTCTACGATCTAAGTCAGGGTACGACTGGCGAGCGGCTCGAGACGTTGCTGCAGAATGCGTGGAACATGGATGCGCTGATGACCTTGAAGATCATCTTCAATTCGAGGAGCATCCATCTGGGAAAGAGCGACAAGTTTGTCGCTTACAAGGCGTTCGGTTGGCTCGCAGAGCATCATCCGGCGACGCTTTTGGCGAATCTGAGGTGGCTGGTGCGGCCAGTCATTGAGAAGAAGACGAAGAAAGCCAAGGCGAAATCAGAGGATGGGAAGGGAGAGACAGTGGACGAGGGCAAGACGGTAGCTCAAGAAGAGGATGATTTCGAGATGGTGGACGCCGAGCAGGATCCTGAGAAGACCTCGTTCGACGTGCAGTTCGGCGTATCCCACGGGTATTGGAAGGATCTCTTGAACATCCTCGCTCTGGCGGCGAACGACCAGCTCAGTTGCCACAGCAGACCGGAGTCACTCCTTATCCAGGTGAACAACAAGTACGGAAGTTCGAAGCGCAAGCGCGAGTTCGACCCGCAGAAGGCCAAGGAGGTTCGTAAACAGGTCATGCTCGAACGATACCAGCGGGTGTTGAAGAAGCTCGAGACCGACGACTTCTACCGTTCCTTGCACCAACTCGTCGCTCGCCTCTTTGCGGAGCAGCTGCAGATCGACGCGATGAATCTCAAGTCGAGCAAGAAGTCAGACCAGAAGAAAGTGTCACTCGCTGCCAAGTGGGCTCCAACCTTTGGTGAGTTTCACGACAAGCACACGTTTATCCAGACTTCCATTGCCGAGATCATGTTTCCCAATCCCCAGGAGATCTGCCCAGATGCGACCAACCGCGAGCTGTACATCCGGTATGCGAGAGAAGCCTACCGCAAGACCATCTCCTCTCCGCTCCGTAAGGCACTCGAGGTAGTTGAGCGAGACATCGCTGCCAATCGGTTCGATCAGATCAAGTACGACCGCGTTCCGTCTCTGGCGATGGACCGCTACGTCTCGCTTTTCCTCAATAAGGACACCGAGCATTTCACGAAATACATCGACAAGGTCGCAGTAGGTGAGGCAAAGATCTCCGGCGCAGTCCTTCTCCCGTCGACTCTCGTTGCCAAAGCCCGAGGGTTACCATCGTCCCACGCACAGAAGAACCCGCACGATCTTAAAGCCGCCAAAGCCGCCATCTCTGCCGGCCATATTGGGAAGATTCTCGATGGCCAGTGGAACACGCTCGTTCAACGCATTCGTGATTCCGGCACCCTGGACAACTCTATCGCCGTATGCGACGTCAGTGGCAGCATGGAGTACTCTCCCTTCCGTCCCTCCGACAAGACGACACCCATGGACTCCTCCATTGGGCTGTCACTCCTCCTTGCCGAGGTCACCGCACCTCCCTTCGGCGGCCATTTCATAACATTCTCTGCCGATCCACAGCTCGTCAGCGTAGGTGGCCCCAACGACACCCGTACATTCGTCGACAAGGTCCACTACATCCTCAACGCATCGTGGGGCATGAATACTGACTTCGTCGCCGTCTTCGAGCGCCTGATCCTACCTACCGCAATCGCAAACAAGATTCCGCAGGAACAAATGGTCAAGCGTATCTTCGTGTTCAGCGACATGCAATTCGATTGCGCGTCCATTCCCAACCGCTGGACGACGAGTTATGAGAGGATCAAGAAGATGTTTGAAGAGGCCGGGTACGAGATCCCAGAATTGGTGTTCTGGAATTTGGCGGCCGAGAAGACGGATAAGCCGGTAACGTCTGAGGATAATGGAACGGCCTTGGTATCGGGGTATTCCCAGGGAATGCTGAAGTCATTCTTGGACGGCGCGGGTTTTGAGGGCGAAGAGGGCGAAGAGGTGGTGGAGGAGGTGGTGAATGAGGATGGGACTGTGGAGGTGAAGGTAAAGAAGCAGAAGGAGAAGATGGATCCGTTTACGGTTGTGAAAAAGGCTGTTTCGCATAAGGCTTATGACATGCTGCAGGTGGTGGATTGAGAGGTCTGGATGATCCTCTTGAGCGCTCGGCGATGCTAAAAAGTTTGTTTTGTACCAATATTAGATACCCCCACTCACAGATGTTTTGATAACGGCAAGAATTTATTTTCCACTCCTACCTTGGCTTCAATAGAAGAAAGTGAATGTTGGTGCTGCTTCATTTACTTCAAAGCTTGGAAGCTCAGAAGGTATGCTGTGACGATACAATGACTTTCATTTCAACTTTCATCCCTTATTCATATCCATATTATATGCATTCAAAATCGTAACAAATCAACCTGAATCATTGACATTTCGCCCAAAATATGCTTTCCCACTTTTCGAGCTCCCTTTCTCTCATGACGATCCCTGCAGCGGCTGTCCGTTGTTCCCCAACGTCACCATCTTCGTCACGACGTACTCATCGATACCCATCACGCTCCCCTCCCTCCCAAACCCACTCTCCTTGACACCCCCAAACGGCGCCGCGGGATCCGAAATCAGCCCCGTATTGACGCCCACCATGCCGACCTCAAGCGCCTCTGCGATCCTGTACACGCGCTCGACGTCCCTGCTGAAGAAGTATCCCGCGAGCCCGACGTCCGTGTCGTTGGCGAGCGCCACGACCTCGGCCTCGGTGTCGAACCTGAAGATGCCGGCCACGGGGCCGAACGTCTCCTCGCTGGCGATCTTCATGCCGGGCTTCATGTCGCGGATGACGGTGGGCTCGAAGAAGCGGGCGCCCAGGTCGCGCAGCGGGGAGCCGCCGATGACGACTTGGGCGCCCTTGGAGACGGCGTCGGAGACGTGCTCGGTTACTTTTTTGATGGCTTTTCTGTGGTGGGCTGTTAGCGTACTGTGTGTACTGTTTGTTTGTAAGGGGGCAATGCTGACTCGCTGATCAGAGGGCCGTGGGTGACGCCCTCGTCGGTGCCGTAGCCGACCTTGAAGCCCCTGACCTTCTCGGCGAGCTTCTCGACGAACCTGTCGTACAGGCCGGACTGGACGTATATCCTGTTTGCGCAGACGCAGGTCTGGCCCGAGGAGCGGAACTTGGAGGCGACGGCGCCCGCGACGGCGGCGTCGAGGTCGGCGTCGTCGAAGACGATGAAAGGGGCGTTGCCGCCGAGCTCGAAGGACAGCTTCTTCAGCGTGCTGGACGAGTCCGTCATCAGGAGCTTGCCGACGCCCGTGGAGCCCGTGAACGAGACCTTCTTGACCGCGGGGGAGGTCGTGATGGTCTTGCCGAGCTCGGGCGTGTTCTTGTCGGATGTGACGATGTTGATGACGCCCTTTGGTATGCCGGCGCGGTGGGCGAGTTCTGCGAGGGCGGCCGCGGTGAAGGGCGTTTCTCCCGGGGATTTGGCGACGACAGTGCAGCCGGCGGCCAGGGCGGGTCCGATCTTGCGGGTCACCATTGCTGCGGGGAAGTTCCACGGGGTGATGAGCCCGACCACGCCGACGGGCTCCTTGATAGTGAAGATCCTGTTCCCGGGCACGCTGGAGGGGATCGTGGCGCCGTTCAGTCGGGGCGCCTCCTCGGCGAACCATTCGAAGAAGTTGGCCGCGTATGTTACCTCGCCGTTCGCGTCGGCCAGCGGCTTGCCGTTCTCCCAGGTGATGAGCTTGGCCAGGTCGTCCGCGTTGTCCATCATCAGTTGGTACCATTTCCGGAGGAGGCGCGACCTCTCGCGTCCCGTGGTCTTGCGGAACGATGGGAGTGCTGCTTGCGCGGCGGCGATGGCTGCTTCGGTGTCGGCGCGGTCGAACTCGGGCATCGTGCCGATTACTTCGCCTGTTGCTGGATCTGTGGTTTTGCCATGGTTAGTTGGGTTGGTGTTATGGGTAATGCGGTGGTCGTGGGAGAGCTGCTCACCATGGACTTCGAAGGTCTTGCCCGACTTTGCGCCAATCCATTCGCCGTTGACGTACGTCTTATCCTTTAGTAAGGAGGGGTCATTGAGCTGCGTGCCAAAAGAAAGTTCCACGTCAGTATATATACAGGCTTCGATATCGAACGCTCAATGTTCCAGAAATTGTGGCGACTCACTTTGGGTGCAGGACGGCTCATGGCGTACCCTCTTGTGGCGATTGTGGGTAATGTGTTCCTCTGGAATCTACTTGTGCAGGTTGGTTGGCGAGCAATTGCCCTCGAGGCGGAGAGTATAGATCGCATCTTTCAAACGTTTAGATTTGAGGGAATTCGAAATCCACGGTAAATCACGGCGAGGTGGTTTCCCCCCAGGAATCTATGACGTCTTTGGGGTGCAGCACTTAACGGAGAGCTTGGAGAACAGTATTTGAGATACTTGTGGGCGGCAGCAGTAGCAGAGAAGAGGGGATTGGGGCCAGAGGCGCGGATAGGAAGATTTGGAGATTGAGTGAATGGATTGGGTTGGGAATGACGTTGGGGAATAACAGACATACATACCCAGTCGCCAGTTGCCCCCATGCATGGAGCTTGAGCCCTTAGTTACCATGTTTTTAACGGGGTCGATGGTTCGGTAGTCTTCGGAGATAAAGAGCGCGTCTATGGCGTGTAACGAGCGGGGAAGGGAAGGAATTGGAGAAGAGGGAAAGGTTAGCATTTGAGTTTTACGCTCTTTTGCATTAAACGGGAGCTTGGATGGCAAATAGATCGTTTGGTGTTGATAGAATGCAATTCAGGGACCGGGTATACACGGATTGCAGGTAGGTAGACAGTTAGGAGGTTTCTGATCTGCTTGAGGGACGTTGCGCGGACTTCCTCGGGGGGGTTGTGTCCAGCTTGCCTAATCGGGTAGGTTTTCGAATTTCCGTTGAAAACGGTGGTATTTGAAGGACCAGCAGGCCTGCCAATCAGCGTCCCAGCCGACGAAGTCCGTGTGACGTTCAGTAGGAGGCTTCTAATTTGCATGAGGCGACTCCCAGGTGCTCAATGTTTAGTTATATCATTATCAATTGTATTCGTAAAAGTTGGGTATAATCATTTCGAAAGCGCCTTGAAACCCATCCCAAATACTCCTTCTTGGCCACATGAAAAAAAGAAGAAACGAAAAACAAAAATACAATCTTGCAGTGATGCTGGAAGAGATGTGAACCAAAGGGGAGTGAGGGCAGACAGCGATGCCCAGCTTAGCGGGACATCAGCGCAGTGTGTGCAGTGTGTGGGGTGCAAAGACGGGCAATCATGAGCAGTGCCCCCCCTTTAAGCATCGCCTCCCAGCATGCCAATCCACCAAGCCGCACGGCCTTTGGTCTTGTAGAATGTGGTGAGGTAGCCTGAAGTCGATCCGCCGTGTTGCTCCTTGTCTTTGGCCTTCTGCCATTCCTTCCAGCGCTCTTTGTCGCTAAGGCTTGCGTCGCGCCATTTCTCCTTGCCTGGCTCCTCGGGAGCACGATTGAATTTGCCCAGCAGGCTTGTGCGCTTCTTGCCATCTGGAGTTGGGGATGGCGAGCGCGCTTTGGATGTAGTTTTGGGCGATATGAGGTTGTCAGTTGATGTGATGGATTCGGGCATGATGACGGTCCGTTTGTGTTGATGCAGTATTGGTAGATGATGATGAATTTGTTCGACAACTGCAGACCGTAGATAATGCAACTGGACTGGCTACAGTGCGGTCATATATCATATTATATCTCATGTTACAGACTGGGCGCGACGATCAAAGTTTGCATAGCCCTGGCGTGGCTGTTCATAGTCGGCCTCCCGAGGCTGCATTTTGGTGAGTCGGGCGGAGTTGCTTGGACAGCAGGGACTCCCTCCCAAGCACCGTCATCGTCATCACAGATCACGAATAGGAAGAAAATTGACATTGAATAGTATGTAATTGCTCATTTCAACAATGAGATAGGTACTATGTTGCGAGCTTCACGTCGTCAAGGCTCTTCCTTACAAATTTAGTCGTCTTGTCCAAGCCCTCTTTGATGATCTCCGTGTGGTTCACGAACCCAATTCGCACATACCCTTTGAATTCCTCACCGAAGCATTCATTTCCCGGAACGAAAAGGACTCCAGTCTCCTTGAGCAATTTCTCGCAAAAGTCCACTGAGTCGACAGGAATTCCCTCGCGGTGGAACTTGACGAATGCTGTCGTGCCTGCTAGCGGCTTCACCCATTCACACGCATCATCATTCTTCAACACGAACTTTTCCAAGAGCTCGAGGTTGGTCTTGGCCAACTTGATGTTTCTTGCCAGTAGGCTGTGTATTGTGTTCTGGTGGAGGGCGTATGCAGCAACCTGCTCGTCTAGCTGACTGACCGATATCGTGGTATAGTGTCGTGCTTCAGCCAGCTGCTCGATGATCTCAGGGTCTCGTGAAGCAATCCAGCCCACTCGAATGCCAGCCAATGCATAGGCCTTGGACATAGATCCGGTGACGATGACCTTTCGGTAATCCATAGACAGCAATGATGGGGGGAATCCCGAGTCCGCAGGGGTGATCGAATGGAATACTGGTCGGTACACTTCGTCACACATGACGATGATGCCATGCTCGGATGCGACGTCGATGAGTTCCTGCAAGAAGGGACGCTTGAGCACAGCACCAGTTGGGTTGTTGGGGTTGTTGACGATGATCAGTTTGGTGTTTGGTTTGATCAAGCTCTTCAATTTTGCGATCTCGGGCACCCATTGATTCTGGGCTTTAGCCTTCCAAAGGTCGACTTCGGCACCCAGTTGTTTGGGAACATCGTACAGAGATTGGTCTGGAAAATCAGTACATACTCTTCAAGAATGCCTTGCCAATACTAACATGTTGGATAGTGACAGATGACATGGTCGCCCGGCCCCACCAAAGCATATGCGCAGAGGTAATTGGCTTGAATCGCTCCGGGGGTAGTCAGAATATTGTCTGGACTCAGAGGGTTTGTCGCTTTTGCAGAGTAGAGTCGAGCAAGATTGGACCTCAGTTCGTCGGAGCCTCGTATGGAACCATAGGTGAGGGGCTTAGACGCTTGGAAGATCTCTCGGCCTTTGTCTTCGGATAGCTCACGTAGTTGGTCAATGGAAATGGAAGCACAGCATGTTTCGGCTATGTTATGTTCGCAATGATGCTCATACTGATCCATCCACTATATTATTGAATTAGCTTAATGCCATTTTAGATGGTTGAATTTGCATGTGGTGGATAAGTGCTTGAGTGAGTACTTTACCTTTTCGACGGAGAAACTCTCAATTTTGACCATTTTGCTATAGATTTTTCCCCTTGCTGATATTTGACAGTAGAATACGAAAAGTGATGGTGAATGAATCCAAGACTCCCCCTCAAGTAGGTCAGATTTTTAGGTTCGTTGAAGTCTCGTCAAGTCAGGTCGAGTGTCAAATGTAGGGCGTCGGAGTCGGTTCGAGATGGTTCGCATCTACGGAACCCATAGACACCAGTTCTCTTTGGGTATAGGGGGGAGACGAGACCCTGTGACCTCGTGGTGTTGTAGTGAGCATTTGGCGCTGATCAGTCACGGTAGTAATGCATCTCAGCTAGTAAGTGGATAAATATCCTATAAATCCCCTTCCAAAGGTAAACTGTCACGCGTTTTAGGTTTCGCAAAGTACCAATTCATATATGCATATGCGATGTTTGAGGCAGCCAAACAGACGCGTCATATTGAATCACTCGATCGGCTCGATGGGCAATACGACGCCTGCCGTTTGGGGCTTAGATGTTGTCGGTTCGTCGGTCTGGGACCCCGATGGAGCTACCTTGGCGGCGGCCTACATGCTTCCACTCAACCAACCTCCCCGCAAATGACCATGGTATCTCCTTCTTCCACCTGTTCATCTACCATTGTGCATTCTTCACCTGTTTGAGCTCGACGCTCTTTTATCGCTCTTTGCGACCCTACATCGTCAACGTCAGACGTTCCGACATCGTCGGTGAGGCAGCAATACGGAGCTCAACAAGAGCTTCGTCCTGCTCGGCCTAGCACTCAACCGATATGCGACAAACGTCATGGACCTTATCGCTGGCGAGCGCACTCGCCCTCGCATCGCCTTCTCAAGCCTATAAGAGCTTCAGCAATTACTCCCTTGCTGACACTCCCGAATCGCTCTTCTCCATCTACGGTGATCGTCCGGACGGTTGCCCCCCGTGCTTCAACTGTAACCTCGAGGACTTTGCCTGCCAGCAGTTCGCCGACTGCAGCAAAGCCAATGGAAAATGCATCTGTCCTCCTGGCTTTGGTGGAGAAGATTGCTCGGAACCACTCTGCGGAGCTCTATCAGACGGACGTGACCGTGCGCCAAGGGGTGGCGGTACCTGTGAATGTAAAGATGGCTGGACGGGCATCAACTGCAACGTCTGCCAGACGAATAATGCCTGTAACGCTATGATGCCCGAAGGAGAGGGTGGTGTCTGCTACAAGGACGGGCAACTCGTCAAGGAAAACTTCCAAATGTGCGATATCACGAACCGCAAGATCCTCGACCAACTCAAGGAGAAGAAGCCTCAAGCAACGTTCTCGTGCAATGCGAAGACAGATGAATGCAACTTCCAATGTAAGTCTATTACTTATCTCTGAGCAATTTGTAGCATCCACTAATAGTTCTAGTTTGGGTTGATCAAAAAGAGTCATTTTACTGCGCCCTAGACACTTGCTCCTCCAGCTGGACTGCCCAGAGCGATCGCAACATAACCGAATACAAATGCCAGAACATCGCATGTAAATGCGTGCCAGGGAGAATGCTGTGCGGAGAGGAAGGCTCGATCGATATCGGCGATTTCCTAGATCAAGAAATTAAGGGTCCTGCCTCGTTCAGGTCCATTGCAGCTGACAATCGTAAAGATAGTGGCAGCATTTTCTCAGAGCCAGCCATGAACGACTTGATTTCCAGCGTTTTCGGAGACGAGAGTATCTTCCTGAGCTGCGATGCTGGTGAATGTCTTTACGAGACCGAGGTTCCAGGCTACGAACGCCCTGTCAAGACCATCAATACTCCCCTCATTGCCGCCGTCATTGCTGGATGCGCTCTTTTTGTTGTAGCTGTCATCCTCGGAATTTGGTATCTTGCTCGCCGAGCGGAAAGAAAGCGATGGGGAGCCATCCACCTTTCTGATGACGAGGAGGATGAAAATGCCAAGCTCCTGGCTGATCACAAACCCGCTACCCTACAATTCGATAACGTCGCATACCATTTGAATGGCAAGCAAATCCTTTCAGGAATCTCCGGTGCCGTTCATCCTGGTGAACTATTGGCAATCATGGGAGCGTCCGGCGCGGGAAAGACCACTTTCCTCGATTTGTTGGCCAGGAAGAATAAGATTGGCATGACATCTGGCGACTTCTATCTTAACGGAGAGAAGGTCCGCGACGATGAATTTCGAAGCGTTATTGGCTTTGTCGACCAAGACGACACGATGCTACCCACCCTTACCGTTCACGAAACCATTCTTGATTCCGCTCTGTTGCGTCTTCCAAAGGAGATGAGCCGTGCTTCAAAGGAGCAGCGTGTAGAAGACGTTGAGAAACAACTTGGAATCTATCACATTCGTCACCAGACTATCGGATCTGAAGAGAGTGGACGAGGCATTTCGGGAGGAGAGAAACGCCGCGTGGGTATCGCATGCGAGCTTGTAACTTCCCCCAGCATCCTTTTCCTCGATGAACCAACCAGCGGCTTGGATTCATTTAATGCTTTCAACGTTGTCGAATGCCTTGTAAATTTGGTCAAGAACTACAACAGGACGGTCATTTTCACGATCCATCAGCCTCGCTCCAACATTGTTGCACTATTCGACCAACTCATTCTCCTGGCCAAGGGACGAACTGTTTACTCCGGTCCATTCGAGAGCTGCCAGCCATACTTTGACAACATTGGTTACCCTTGCCCCCCTGGATTCAACATCGCAGACTTCCTGGTTGATCTCACCATGCATGCGAGCAGCGTACGCTCCCAGCCTATTGATGAGGATAATTCAATCTTCAATAGAGACGGATTGCGAACAAGCGCAAGCAGTGCTATTGCCGTCAAATCCATTCCTAGCATTCGAAGCGACCGTGACACAATTGGCAGCCCCAGCAACTCCAGCATTAGACCCAAGGGCAAGCGGAGGACCTCAATCAAGCAGCAGCAAGACCGCGAGCTCTTCACGCGGAAGAAGGGCGCTGCTTCTGCAGACGGTACGATGAGCCCTAAAACAGATGATGAAGGTCCCTACGATCGTCAAGAAAGCCGAACTGCTCAGTGGCTAAAACTTTCTCGTCAAACAGGTGCACCCCCTCCACAGGTCTTGGACGACCCCGATGAACTCCCTCCTCCTGCGGATGGCGGTACAGGTACCAACCTCGACACGCTCGTCTCTGCCTACGCTACATCTGATGTTGCTGGCGCGATTCATGAGGATATCGCCAGCGCAATTGACCACGCAAACAATGCTAATGGGTCCTCTGGAGATAGCCACCCCAATGGGTTCATTGCGGCCGGCAAGCTCAAGGGTTACAGAAAGGTTGGCCGGGTCGGTCAGTTCGTCATTCTCTCGAAGCGCACCTGGCGAAACTTGTATCGCAACCCGATGCTCATGCTTACTCATTATGCGATCGCTATTCTGCTCGCCGTCTTCCTTGGTTTCTTGTACTATGGTCTTACGGATGACATCAAGGGTTTCCAGAATCGTCTTGGACTCTTCCTGTTCGTTCTGGCACTATTCGGTTTCAGCGCCTTGACAATTCTCACCGTCTTCGCCCCAGAGCGTCTTCTCTTTACAAGAGAGCGAGCGAAGGGATACTATTCGCCAGTGTCATACTTCGCAGCGAAGGTGATTTTTGACATTGTACCACTTCGCTTGATCCCTCCCATCATTCTCGGCATCATTGTTTACCCAATGACCGGACTCATTCCTGCGTGGCCCCAGTTCTTGAAGTTCGTCCTCTTCCTGGTACTCTTCAACTTGGCGGCTGCTTCCATCTTCTTGTTCATCGGAATTGTCTTCCGCAATGGCGGTGTTGCTAACCTGGTCGGTCTACTGGTGATGCTGTTCAGTCTGCTATTCTCCGGCTTCTTCTTAAACAAGGATAGCATACCAACTGTGGCAAAGTGGCTCCAATCGCTTTCCATATTCCACTATGCCTTTGAAGGTCTCATCGTCAACGAAGTCAAATATTTGAGTCTCATCGATCATAAATATGGACTTGACATTGAAGTACCTGGCTCGGCCATTCTCAGCTCATTCGGATTCAACGTCCTTGCTCTATGGAAAGATTGCATTGGTCTCGCCGTCTTTGGCGGAGTCTTTGTTGTGCTGGCATACCTTGCTATGCATCTGCTCTTGGTCGAGAAGAGGTAAAGCATGGTTGCCAAGGTGGGCTTCGATCGCTTTGTATGAACCCTTTTTTGTATCGGACGTTCACGGTTGGACGTTTCGAACTGTTATATAGCGATCTAGGCATCTTCTCGATTACATATTTCAGTGTGCTCACGTATACCTGATTCTAGATGGTTGTTTCCTTTGGATGTATCATAGGCGTATATTGTTCGCATACATGGGTGGGCGTTTCTCTCCAATTAGATAACCGCGAATGGGAATAACAATTGTCGCGTCTTCGTGGGCTTATGTGTTTCTGTGTGTATCAATTAACTTCTTGCTGCTATCGCTCTTATTATTGACACTAGGCACACCTAGGGAACGTGAGCACCCTGGCTGCCGCATCGACAATTGATCGGCATTTTAATATTGAGAATTTCACTTTGATATTGTTTCATGCAAAAGATAATCTCATTCCATCTCAATGCAACGATAACTGCTAGAACGCTTACAAAGCACTCCTCAAGAGAAGGTTTTACAAGTAAATATAGCAGAAGGGGCCTGCAGTCGTGCTCAACAAATCCCGCACCGTCTGAGGCGGACCAGCTGCAAAGCCAAGATCGATCACCGTATCCAATGTTGTGTTTGCAGATGGAGGCGTGTCCAGAAACGTCCCCGTACCGGATATACCCTCAGCACCAGTCCTCTTTTCGTTGTCTAGCAACTGCCAGGTCCACCACACGCGATCAATCATCGCGTGGTGCAAGTAGAACAATGGATCCCCGGGGGATACGAAGGCGTCGCGAGCGGGGTCTCCACCCATAGAATAATGGCCTAAGGAGTCAGTCAGTTGAATTGTCCCCTGGGAAAATTGTCGATCAGAGGCGAGGGCGCTCAACTTACCACCACCATGTATACCAAGATCGCCGGAACCTGGATACCCTTGCATCGTCATCTGGAAATCGTAGATGTCCTTCGGTTTGATAATCACCCTGGCGACGCTGGAGGCATTTGCGAAATTCCTATTGATCCACGTCGTCAAGTCTCTCTTCAAGCAACGGGGATTGTATCCCAGTCCATCGCCCAAGCCGATAGTAGACCCATTGGCCAACCCCAAGGCAAGAGGACCCAAGTTGACCGTCATATCCTTGAACGGACCGCTCGTAACGCATCCACCCCCTGTACCGGATGGTAGGAGAATCTCGGGAAGTCCAGGGCCGCCGAAGATGACAGTGCCCTGGCCGGGGACGAATTCGCCATTACTGCCCATCGAGGTATCGCTGCCATCAAGCAACGGGGACTCTTCCAACCCGGTCACAGCGGTCAGGGCCCAGTTCCAGTAGGGCTGGTAGCCTGTGTAGCCGCATTCATTCCGGAGAGCTTGCTCGTAGTGCCATGTGAAGAAGCGGTGCCACGTGAGGAAAGTACCCTGAATTATGCATTAGATTCATACTTCAAGACAATGTTTTCAGGGATGCTTAGGAACGTACACTGTAGTGGATGAACACTGTCTGGTTGATGTGGGTTCCGATCCAATCGTCGTACCTTGACCTCGCGCCAGGGACGAGAGAAGCGGGAGTTTTTGCTTGTTTCTTTTGGAAGCAGCGGACGGCATCCGTGTAAGCTATTCGCTCTTTGGGGGAGAGAGATCCCCTGGGTAGTCATCAGCAAGAGGATGAGGCTATGAAGGTTACTCAGTTGAACTGACCATTCCCTTCGGATAGCGACGTTTTCCAGGGTACATTTTCCTTTACCAGGCTTCTCGCCATTGTGTTCCTGTTTGAGAAGACTCCTAGCTTGCTGTTGTGCGAATTTGGCAAGCTGATCTAGTTGTTTGCTTGCTTCAGCCACATCAGTGGATGCAGCCGCAGGCAATGTATAGGTTGGAGCGGTGTCTTCGTGTGGAGACGGGAGTGCATTCGACAACGAGCTAACCAGCAAGATAACGACTACGCAACTGAAATGCATGCTGAAAGCAGAAAGAACTAGACAAGGTACAGCTAGAGTCAATCTCACGGAGCTGTAGTCCTGGAACTAAACTAACGATGCGGGATCTACAAACTTTAAATGAGCTTTCCAGGAAGAAGGTCCTAAAGAGACGTCTACTTCTAGTACCCAAATCCAATGCCATTATACCCATCAGATCAGGTACTGTTTTCCCATCGGTGTAGAGTACCAAATGCAATTTACAGAAAGGCAAACTACATGTAACTAGGGGGTCCGCGAGAGATCTATGCTACATAGGGACGGCTCCAACGTCAATACCCATGTTCATGTACGCAAGGAGTTCACGATTTAAAGGACGCGAGGGCTAGCTAAGGACCCCAAGAGGACATTATTCGGCTCAATGTTGCCCACGACCCAATGGCGCCAATAAGCAAACTTCGGGTCGTCAGGTGTGGGCGCATCAGGGTCCTTTGAGAAGAGTATGTACCTGGAGACCCGACAAAGCCCAAAAGGATACCTGGGAATTCCCAATCTCGAGATGTCCTCGGGTGGATTCCAGGCGTGCACTCCTGCATGTACCTGCAGGGCTGCAACTTACGGTGGTATCGGTCAATCAATAAAAACATGCATAGTTGGGTCTCGACTCGTTCGATTTCTAGCCGAGCCGGCAGTGGTTGGTTGCATGGATTCTTCATGTACGAAACTACATTCTTAAAAGGGATATCAATGGGAGAGTGTCGTGTGATATTGACCTGGAGGTTGAATGTTAAATAATAATATTAACAGAAACTGTAGATGGAACGACAATGTACAGTTCAGAAACGAATGACGATCCCCTAGAATGCTTATGTGGCAGATATTGTAGTGCAGTATTATAGCTGGCTTCCATTGACAACGGGCTAATGAGGCCATTGAAGCTCGGTACATGGAATTTTTGAACGTGTCGTGACAATAATAGGAATAGCCACAGAAGCATGGTAAAGATATACCTAGGTACTTATGATACAAGGGTAGTCTGATAGTTACTCCATCCGTGGGCGGATGAAATAAGAACTTTCGGATTGTTTCCTACGGAGTTGCAGTCCAAAAAGCAGTCCAATATTACTTGTTAGATACGAATATAGCAAGCGTGTAAATAGGTTTAGTTGATGACCCGGCAGTGTGCTGTGCTTTGAGCATCCATAATTTGGCAGAATCAACCAACGTCGAGCGACTCGTATTTCCCCCAATTGGAAAGGCGGGGCCTGCAACCTGATGAAAGCATTTCTATTACTTCTACGATTATTGACCGTTCGCATTATTACGCTTCAATTCCTTCTTTGCTTCCTCTTCCAAAAAGCGTTTTATATTGTCCTCCCGTCTCTGCAAGCTCTCCTTGTTCCACACCTTATCTAACTCGTAGAATCCCTCAAAGACTGGAACACCTCTCTTCGCTTCAGCCTCCAGATCCACCCACTCCGCTTTGGTACTGGTGAAGATATGTATCTCCGGCCTGACCAATCTCCTACTCGCCTCGTCCAGTGTACCAGCCTTAACGAACGTCGTCGCGCGTTCGTTACCACCGTAATGCGAAAACAGTGCCACATAGCAATTCGGACATCTTGCAATGTCCTGGCCCCCACCGCTCGGCGAGGGCGCCTTGACGAAGAAGGGCTGCGCGGTGGAGGTAATGGCGAAATTGAAGTTCTCGATCTGCGTGTTGAGGACGAAGGCGGAGCCTGATTCTCGCTGGCACCAGCTGCAGTGGCAGGCTACGGTAATGAGCGGGGGCGCGGTGATGGTGTAGGTTATGGCTTTGCAGGTGCAGTGGCCGTTGAGGGGTTGGAAGGACATGGCTATGGCTTGAATTGGGTGTGAGGGTCGCCCAAATGTTGTGAATATATTGCTCTTATGTTCTACTCGAGGTGTTGATAGCTATATGCTTGGGATTTTGCAGTGTATCTACCGCTGAATAGCAGCACGCTCCCCATATATAAGTCTAAAGACATGGTATGGGATTTACACCTTGAAAATGGGGAACTTCCATCCTACGCAAGATATGGAGCAAATGACACAATTCCATCCTACGCGATGCATGAGGCCTCCAGCACGCGAAGTCACATGGTTCCAAGGGTAAGGGTCGAATAGCAATTCATTCTACCAATTCGATCTACGATTTCGTATAATTGGATAAGTACCAAGAGAACATTGTATAGTAGACTCCTTTGGATAGTAATACATCATTGGAGCGAATATGAAGCACAGAATCGTTGTCTTTTTCGAAGCTGGAGTGTACGAATACAAGTAGATACCTGGGTATCCAAGTACATAGTTCCCTCCTAGGTTGGCAAGTAGATGTTCGAAGATTGAAGCTGTCCGAAAGAAGATAAGCAAGATTTGCGGGGAACCACACCTCCGTATAGCTGACCAATCAACGGCTTTTCTTCTCCGACATCTTATCAACTGCTCATCGTTTAACTTGCTGACGTGCTCTACCCGTCTGTCTTTTCTTTTTCTACCTCGGAACTGTCCCATTTGATTGACAAATAACCTTCACAAAGTTCAAGACAAGCCATGTCGGCAATATAATTAACCAACGTGCCAAGCAAAAGAAATCGCAAGCTGTTGTCCCGCCCTCTTCCAGTCCTAGCTTTCTTCCTTGTACATATTCTCTCCTTAACCGCCCCACCATGACGATAACCGCGGACGCGACAACTCCTACCGAAACTTCTCCTCTGCTCCCAAAACCGGATCCAAACCATTCTACTCAAGTTCAAGAACAACGGACCAATTCAAAGGATGGCTCACCGCAAGAGGTGACTAATCCTGGACAGCCTGGAACCGAAGATGGTGGTGATGTCGAGAGGCAGGTTAGCCACGGTGACGTCCCCAAGCACCAAGGATTGCCGGAGGTGAAACGTCGCATGATATACATCTTTCCAGCAATTGCGATAGGTGTAAGTGTCTATCGGGTATCAGCAGCGTCAATTGGTGATTAAGTATAGTACAGGTCTTCCTCGCTGCGGCAGATCAAACGCTGGTGATCTCGACGTACGGCACAATCGGTACCGAACTCCATGCACTAAACAATACCTCATGGGTAGCTACTGCCTACTTCTTGACGCTCTCCGCCTTCCAACCTGTTTATGGAAAGCTTTCTGACATCTTCGGCCGCAAACAATGTCTCCTCTTCGCGTACACGATATTCGGTATCGGCTCCTTTTGCTGTGGCCTTGCACGGAATATGAATGAACTTATAGCTGCACGCGCGTTTGCAGGCATAGGAGGTGGAGGTATGACTACCGTCGTGTCGATACTTCTCAGCGATGTTGTCACACTACGTGAAAGAGGTACCTGGCAGGGCTACGTCAATATCATATATGCAACTGGAGCAGCTGCTGGCGCTCCATTGGGTGGACTGCTGGCAGATAGCATTGGTTGGCGATGGGCGTTCCTTGCACAGGGTCCACTTTGTGTCGTTGCGTTCATCGCCGTTGCAGCGGTTCTCGATCTGCCGAAAGAGGATCATTCCCATTGGAAAGAAAAGGTCCTGAAGATTGATTTCTTGGGCGCTTTCATACTAATCACTGCCGTGTTTGGCCTGCTTTTGGGATTGGATCACGGATCTAATGTTTCGTGGAGCAGCCCCGTCACAATTGGAGCACTCTGCACCACACCGTTATTCGTCGTCTTCATCCTTGTTGAACGATATGTCGCAAGCAATCCGTTCGCCCCGTTCCGGATCATTCTTAACCGAAGTCTTTTCGCGTGCTACCTATGCAATTTCTTCTCCTTCGGCGGCTGGCTTGCTGCAATGTTTTTCATTCCGTTGTATTGGCAAGTCACATACGATCTTTCAGCTGCAAAAGCTGGCCTGCTCCTTCTTCCGTGCATCCTTTGCGGCGTTTCCGGATCACTTTTTGGTGGCATTTACATGAAGCGTACTGGGAAATATTATTATATCACGGCGATCGCATATACCAACCTAGTTATCGGGCTCATCGTTATTTTGCTATTTTCTGGATTAGTTACCGAAAGCAGAATTGGAATGGTCATCGGCACTTGTATATGCTCTTTCTCGAATGGCATAGGGGTTACTACAACTTTGATTGGCCTCAGTAAGTATTGCATTTTCCTTGCCAAAGGAGTATGTCTAACTAATCTCTTCAGTCGCGAATGCCTCCCATGCGGATCAGGCGATTGCAACAGCATGTTCCTATCTTTTCCGCTCTCTTGGTTCCGTCTTCGGTGTGTCTATATGTGCTACCGCTTTCAATAACACACTCCGAAGAGCACTCGAGTATGCTCTTGATGGCGATGCAGATGCTACAAAGATTGCAGAAAAGGTCAGAGAATCGTTATCATACTTTCGAAGCCTAGATCCCGAACTTCAAACAATTGTTCGCGCATGTTACAGCAAAAGCACACAGGCAGCGTTGACTGTCAGTGTCGGAATGGTTGCAGGGAGCGCTTTCTTCGCTTGGTTCATCAGAGAGAAAAGGTTGGGAAACTAGATGCACAGCCATAAGGTTCATGAAGGATTCTCCGCGCCACGAATTCTTCTCCAGCCCTGTGGAACCATACAGGGGTTGGCGGGTACGCCCGCGCTCATAACAACAAACATCTACACATTCAACAATTGTAATTTTGTCTCCCTCTTCTTTCAAATCACTACACAGAGTGCTTGTATGTTCTTCGGTGTTCGATCTCCAACAAATAAACTTATAGACGCGACCCGAATCCTTTTGATATCGCTTTTTACGTGTTCTCGCCCCCACCCTCAGCTCCGGTATGCATATGCATCCTCTTTACTTACCAATCATTCAGCCTTGTCATCACACGAACGCCCCAAGATGAGATTAGCAGAAACGCATGTTGCCTGAGGAGGGGTCGTGAGGCGGTGCAAGGCTATCTATCCGATCGCGAGAATGTAAAGGAGCTGACCCACCCTTCATGCTCCACGTCGCTGGTCCTTCATTCGAATAGTTGTTCGCACAACTACCAGCGGATTTCTGCTGGTGATTCTGTCGCGACATGGCAGAAGTACTTGGTATTATTACTGCTGCATTTACGATTGGTGAGGTTGCAGCACAACTCTCCATCAAGCTATACACGATTGCCCAGACCCTACACCACGCTCGCCATGAGGTTGCCGAAATCGCTGCAGAGGTCTCGTCCATCTCGGCTAGTCTGTTGGTACTCGGAGAAGTGCTTCGATCCCAGGAACATTTGTGCAGACCGGAGTTGTACCTCTTCTTGACGACAAACCTGAAGCGTTTCCAACAAGCTGAGGCTGATATTTTGGAGCTTACCGACTTTAAGGAACCGTCGATATTGAAGCGCATCAAATATTCCATGAGTAGATCCAAGCTCACGGCACTGATCAGGAGGATTGATGGTATCAAAACCTCTTTGACACTAGGCCTCAGCATACTTCGTTTAGCGAAACAGGAGCTGGATAAGGCGGACCCAGAGTAGGTTGAATTACCATTCTATCCATAAATATTAATTCGCCCAGGAAAAAAACTACAAAAGTCCATGATCAAACCAAAGTCCCAGAACCGAACTTTCGAAAGCTCGCCGAGAGTGTTGTGGCATCAAATAGGCAGGCTGTAGTAGATGCAACACGAGAAGAGGAATTTTTACCCGCCGAAGAACGCACACAAGACGAAGCTCATGCCGTGATAAGGCGTGAAGATCCAGTCGAGAATGCGAAGTGGCTCTACAGTCTTATATTTCAGCCGAAGGCTGATTCCGGGCGCTCCAGTCCATGGATACCTATTGAACCTCACCAAGCTTCGGTGGAGGATGACTACGATACGGACAATCCGGATGAAGGGACGAAGCCCGTACCTATCCATAGCGAGGAGATTCCTGCTGAAAGCAAAAGCACAGCAATGACAAAGTGGAAGTGGCCTGAACCGCCCAGCATGGTTGTGAACAGACTCCTGCAGACTTGGACGAATGTTCCCGTCGATCACATACAAGCAAAGGCCGCAGAGCTTCCCGTCGATGATTCTTTGCGAACGCTCACTGATGCTATCGCGATTGAGAACAAATCCAAAGACGAGAAGGACTGGTTGAAGACTAAAAGTGAATTGGGATCCCTCTCTGACGATGATGCGCGTCCTTCTATGCGTCAAAGGGCGAGCGTGCGCTGGGAAAACCCGCCAGCAACTTTCGAAGAACCATCAAACCTAGGCGAAATCCCCGATCCTTTCCAGTATATAGATGATAGCTGGACGGCCGAGGAAGTGTCAGATGGTTCAGTTAACCCGTACTATAGCGATCCTGAGCAGTGGGTTCCTGATAATCCCCAAGTCCGCCGTTCTGCCGTTCCTCCGCCTCAGAACAGGAGAAGGACAAGTACCCGTACGGATCAGAGCAAATCTACTCCTTCCAGTAGGCCGCAATCGCAACCTCGTCGAAGACAGTCACTCCCTCGCTCACGGCCTCAAAGCATGGACCCCCGGCCTCAGAGCATGGAATCTCCATACTCATACAGGCAGCACCCTCCCCCTCCTCCCCACCCTCCTCCCCCACCGCCACCAGTCAGTTCAATCCCTCCTCAAGGGTCGCAATCATATGGTCTGCCTTGGGTCCGAGCACCACCATCTGAACCCCCGACCAAAAATGATCCCTCTTTAACCACGAAGCTGGAAGACATGCTGGGGAAGTTCGAAAACATGGTAGACGAGAAGAAAAAGTCAGAGGAAGCCACAATCCAGAAGGACGACATCATACAGCTCTTGCTTGCAAAGCAGGATGATTACGAACGCAGATTGCGAGAACAAGAACGTCCGGTGGCTGATAAAGGCGGCATTGACATGGGACAAAAGATCTCTGATCTACAGCATCTGCTCTTGACACAACAAGAAGAAAGCCGCCTGCGACAGGAAGCTGCAGAATTGAAATGGAAAGCAGAGAAGGCAGACTGGGATGCCAAAGCCAACGAACGTTATCAGAAAGAGAGAGAACTTGCAGAAAGGGAAATCGCGGCGGCCCAGGCAGCCAAAAAGGAAGCTCAAAAGGCGTTGAAGATTGCGAAAGCAGAAGCTGCTGAACGCGCACGAAAAGAAGTCGAGATCAAAGCTGCACAGGAACGGAAGCGTGTGGATGAGGTATTCACGAAACAGATTGAAATGTACCGTGAACAGCTTCAACAACTTCGGGTTGAACAAACAAAAATAGAGGAAGCCAAACAGGCCGATCGGATTAATCAGACGACAGAGCGCCTACCACTGCGACGTACATGCATCTCTGAGGGCAACCGCAGTATCGAGGTTGCAGAGTTTAGTACGGAGAAGCTACACCCCTGGTTCACTCCTTCTCAACTCGCCCCAGGGACCTTCTTCGAAGAGGAGTACCAGCCCGCTGGCTTCATAGGGCAAGGGAACTATCGGCAGGACACTGGTCACCGAAGAGGGTCTTCCACTCTAGGAAGTTCGGTAGGTTCTCTCCGCCACAGCGATTACAGTACAAGCAGAGGAAGTATTTCCGAGCCAAGGCAACAACTACTTCTTCTGCCATCAAATCCTAATCGACACTCACCCAAGATTTCCGAACTACAGACGTCGCTAGAAAGGCGCGGAGTGGTCACGTCTCTACCCAGTCCTCACGCCGAGCATGACGGTGCGTTGATGAGACAAGAAGCTATGGGCAAGGACTTGGTCCGAAGCACTGTGTTCTTTGAAGGGCCATTAAGCTCTTCCGGAAGCGAGTTGTTGCAGACATTGAGAAGGACTGGATGGAAGCCTTTCTACATTCGCGGATCGAGTTAGTAATCCTTATTGTACTTCCGGATTGCATTGCTAACTTGTCATCTAGATACTGGCCAGACGTACCTCCTAGGTAGTCAGCCAGTCCATGTACACTTTTTCCGACCTGAGTACAAACCTCAATACGAAGCTCCGGCGGCACCATGCCCATCGGAAAATATCGTGATTGGTAAAGACTTGATCGAAGAAAAGGCACTACACGATCTTGGATTTCGTTTCGACGTGATCGACGACGGGGCGTATGTCCTGGATTGCAGATTGACTTCTGTGGGTTGACATTCCAGAACCTATAAGCATGAGCCACTGACTGAGACCTTTCAGATGGACATTGAAACACTGGTCGAGCGATCGTTCATGATTCGTGAAGACGCCTTCCGCAACATTCATCGCCAAATCCAGTGGCATACGAACTCCGGGGCCGAGACGATCATAGGCTCTGCCGATTCCACAACTGCCTCGATCACTTCTGCGACATCGTCTGAGGCATCAATGGCAGGCGATTCAGAGGACGAGTGCTCGACGATTGGTGACGATTGCTGTTCCACTCGTCTCACAACCACAGCCAACGATCGCAATCCTTTCAGACGAAAACAGATCAATGTACGAAATCCTCCTTCAGTATCAGCAGCCACTACACCAACAAGGTCTTCGTCGTCACTTGCTTCTGAAAGGAGCAAAGAAGGGACAAAGGTCGACCAGGTGGACTGGGGATCCGTCCTATTCTCTCCAAAACCCGATCCGATTTCTCTCATCTGATATCCTGATCTCCTTTTTGTAATTGTTTGGATCTCGTCTGACATTTTTCATCTTGTAATGACGCTATGCCTGTACTGACCTTCTTATACCCTTGTTCTACGCCATCAATTTCTACTTCACTGACGCCGAGGGTTTGGTCGCAAAATTGCGCATGATGTAGATTGGGTCAGGCCCATTTCACATTTGGGGAAGCTGTTCATTAGACTGAGATAAATTTTTGATGATTTGGTTTTCTCATTTGCTATGGATGGCCCTGGCGCTATCTACATCATGCGCGACTCTACCACCACACCCTCCGCGCCAATCAACCCGCCCACGGCCTAGGACCAGGAGGGGTATACGAAGAAGGCACGGGATAGTATATATTTAATTTGATGCCAGCGTCGTTTGCTGAGTACGCACCCGGGAACGACACAAGCGGGCCGGGGGTGCCGTTTCCACCGTCAGTGACCTTGAGCTGGGCGCAAGAGATGTAGAACTGGGCGCCGCCGGCAGCCGAAGCGCTATGTAGGCCAATGTGCTCCACGCGGAAGAGGTACTCTCCCGAGGGAAGGGACTTAGGGAGCTGAACTGTCACTTGGGATTTGCCTGGAAAACGAAATATGCGTCAGTGTACTGTAACATACAGGAGGAAGAGAAGATGAATGATAATGAAATAAACCACATAGAACCACTTACCTTGCGAGCCCCAGCTCATACCCGCACTCGAGATGGTAGCACCCTGCTCGTAGATCTTGAACCACACGTTCCCGCTGCCGTCCCAGTCGGCGGCCGTCTTGCCGGCGGGCACCTTGGCGAGGTAGAACTGGAGGGGTCCCGGGTGGGAGATGGAGGCGGCGGCGACGAAGCCGACGGTGTCTCCCGCCTTGACGGTGTAGGTCTGCGAGGGTGTCCCGGGAGCGAGCTCGTAGCAGCGGATGGCGTTGGAGTTGACGTCCGTGACGGGCCCGTTGGACTGGTAGTTTGCCGTCTTGCGGACGTGCGACCACGTTCCCGTCGAGGAGCCGCCGGCGATGAGGGCCGGGAAGGTGTAGTGGGCTGTTGCCGTGGCTAGGAGAGCCGCGGCGGAGAAGAGGTACTTCATCTTTTTGGTTGTGGTCACTGCGGTGGTATGGGAGGCTGAGGGGATGTGATGGTGGTGAAGACGCCTGGTGAGAAGGGAAAGTGAACCTGATTTCGAGAGCAGTGTTGAACATGTGCTGGAGACTATGGCCTATATATATATATACATATATGTAGTCGAACGTCGGATTTAGTTCATATTGATTTCAAGTCATGCCGTTCTTCCATCCAGGGGTTCTTCAGATCGAATCGAGCGCCATCGAATCAGATTGGCACAACCCGTTTATCCTCAGTCGGTAGTGTGCAGTGTGTAATCCAGGTGTTTCTAGACACGGGCATGCACATGCACCCCAGACTCTTCTAACCCGCATTCCCATCCGGTCTGCAGTAGATAGAAACCAAAAGCCAAAAAGCCAAAGCCGCCGGGTAAAAAGGAGCGAGCCCAAAAGGAAACAAGGATTGCTGTCCAGCAGCTAGATTCATATTCTCTTTATATTCCTTCTTTCTGGGCGGCCAGACACGGGGCGTGGGATAGATTAAATAAGAGAAGTCCCACGACATCCGCGTATTTCGTTCCAATGTATAAAGTGGCTCGTTAGTTATATTCGTGGACGTTGATTGGATCGTGCGCGGGGGGTCCCATGTCGGTAATTGTATCGCAATGGTCCGGGGTGGTCTTTTTTATATTGCCATCTGGGCTATTTGAGAATACGGCTCCACGCGCACGTAATGGCGAGGCGACGGGGGGATATTTCCAAGGAAGTGAGGGAAGGACTGATGATGGCGTTCCCGATAGATAGTCATTTCATGGAGGATGGCGTTTTCGTCGTGCTTTGTGCATCATTTGCGTGAAGCCTCTGGTGAATGAATAACGAGATGAACCCAGTCTTCGACTTTCTTCGCCAATACCAAGATCCAATATAAAAAATCGATAGGGCGGACAGTATGGTGACAGATGACCAGCGGGCATGGAAGACTGTATATTGCGACGAGAAATCCTGGGAGCCGCACCGCAAGCCCGCCTCCGCTTGCGGCGACGCCGCGAGGTATCATGTTTCTAGAACTGGTAAACATGTAGATATGCGGCGCTTTAAGCGAGGCGTGTTCTGCTGCAAGTTGTATAGTGGGTTTTCATATGGGGAAGGGGGAAGGCAATAGTATGACGTATAGGTACAGATTTGTTATGTAGGACTACTGAGAGATGCGGAAGAGCCGCAGGTCGGATATTGGGAAGGGGGAGATGGTAATGCAGGAGGAAATAACGAACGCCGAATGTCAAATGCAAGTTGGAATTGGGTGAAAAGAACGTGTATATCGAGAATGTGTTAATGGCATATAGTACAGACAATATTTGAGACAGACCATGTACAGTCTACCGGGAACCGGGAAACCTGTATTCGCCATTGTCAGACGTTGCGGGTTACCCTTCCAGTACGGGCGTTGACTACAACAAAACGCTACTTACGGTGATGGTTTCTGGCATTTGAAAACAGAAAACATAAGGCTCTACCTCGAAGAGTTGTTTTCGCCAACCAAAACTGCATTCCTCTCCTCCTCGGTCAGATCCTCGATGTCATAGTAGAAATCGTCGTCGTCGTCCGAGAACCCAAAGATGCTCCGATAGACACGCTCCGCCAATCCCTTCTTCTGCGCCATGGCCAGAACCAGGACGATCGGAAGTTGCCAGATACTTGCCCAGAACAGTCCCCTGGCGGAGCCCTTGTGGCCGCTCTCGCGCCAGAAATGCCACGCCTTCCAAGTCATCCACCCGTTGATTGCGCTGCTCGTGACGACGTAGCTCCAGTCCGTCACGCCGCAGTACGAGAGGCCGATGCAGATTGGAAACATGAGGATCGAATAGCGCAGGGCCACACGGCCATTTCGGGCCGGGTTCACCCACGACAGCATTCGATACCCTGCATTCTTGTATTCGTCGCGGATGGACCAGCTCAGGGAGTTGAAGTGCGGAAACTGCCATGCGAAGAGCAAGGCTGCACACAGCCACCCTCCCGCCGTCCCTTCTCCAAATAGTAGCTCCTGCCATGTTCCCTCGTGTGCACATTGTCCCGCCGCTGCAGTCCAGCCCATGAGGGGAGGGATTCCACCCACGATTCCGCCAACCCATGTGTTCAAAACCGACATCCGTTTCATTGGCGTGTAGATGCCCGCGTATAGGAAGATGTTGGCCGCGCCAAGGAATGCGGTGGTGGGATTGACGCCGTAGTATAGAGCACCCGTTCCGACGATTCCGCAGGCGACTGCGAAGACCATAGCGCCTCGAGTGCTGATGAGCTTGCGGACGAGGGGCCGGTTGCGAGTACGGCTCATTTTGGCGTCATGTGCGGGCTCTATGAGCATGTTGAAGGCGTTTGCGGAGGCCGAGCATAATGCGGTACCGGAGGTAAGGAAAAAGAGTGTGAGGGTGGACAAAGAGGGCGTTGCTGTTGCTGCAGGAGCTAGAAGACCTGGAACAGGATACAAGGAGTAAGCAGCAGTAGCCGAGAGGACTACGAGGAAGCTGAGGCGAGGCTTCGATAGGGAGAGGTAAGTGGTGAAAAGTCGTCGTAGGGATCGCTGTGGCAGGTTCGATGAAACAGTTGCCAGTCTGGACGAAGCATCTAGAGCAATTGGGTACTTAGATTCCTCTTCCGACAATGCTTGTTGCTTCGCAGCCTTGCGGCGTCGGTGAGGCAGCACATCTTCAGTCGACGCTGGTGTGGCAGCGGCAGAGCTTGTATTGGAACCCGTCGTCCCCGCGCTTTGTACGGTTCTTCTCGATTGCGAGAATCCCGCTCCGATCGTCTCCTTGAGTACGGAATTGGTCCAGAAATAGTCCTTAGTGAATGAAGTCCTACTCTTTCCTGCAGCTATTGCACCTTGTCGCGGGGAGGTGTTGGACGAGAAGAGCTTTCGCGATGGGACGTTAGGGCGGGGGAGTTTCCGTAGACATCGCAAGCAGACCGTTTCTGCACTCTTGATTCCAATTGATCGCGGGACTGGCGGTCGGAGGATCATGGCGGAATGGATAGAGCTGTCTGTTGCTTCTTCACGGATCACCAGATGATTTAATGCGCATGCCAAGGCTAAGACCGTAATATCCAGGCTAACCCAGTCCGGCAATGCTAGATGCAAGATACGAGTATCACGATATGATTGCACCTCTGAATTGTTAACAATGTCCATTATAAGCGGCATAGACTACAGAGCCGTGTAGCAGGCCTTAAGGGCTATTATACATTGCTGAAGCAAAGTCTAAACGAGCTGTGGAATCTCTGGGTTGCTACTTATGCCTCCCAGTAATGCAAGTCTGATGTCCTCCGGCTACCGTGAGCCCCAAATGATGGTACAAATATGCACTTATTCCCCCATCCACAATGATTTACTCCTCCTCGCCATCGCCACCGTCTGAGAGATAGTCAAATTCTCCAGGTAGTGATGCCTCTTCATCTCCCTCATCCACTGTATTGGTCGTGATAGGAGTAGAGAACGAACTATCTCGCACAGCTCGCGCTAGGTCGTCATTTGACGAGCGACCAGCACCAGGAGTGGGAGCTGGCGCTGTTGTCTTCTTAACCTTCAACTCGAGTAGAGTCTTTGGTTCAGATGGCTTGGTGTCTGTCAAGAGAACGACGCCTCCAGTTGGCTGTTTTATGTTAGTATATGTCTTAAATGGTAACAATGTGAATAACTGACCTTCTTGATCGGCACATATCGCTCATCTGGGAAGCTGATATACTTGACTTGTCCTGGCAGCACGCGAGACATGTTCTCTAATTCATAACCGACCTTCTCTTTCTCCGCCTTCTTCTTTGCAACCTCAGCTGCAGGGGTGTCATCCTCGCCTTCAACCTTGTCCTCCTTCTTCACGTCATCATCGACGTCCATCCTGTCATCGTCTGTGGCGGATATCTTGGGCGTAGCTGGGGTCATATCAATATCCATACTCTCGCGTCGTCGTTGTCGAGCCTTGACCGCTTTCCTGCGCTTATCTTGAGCTGTCGTAGAAAGGACTGCCGTCTTGACCTTCTCTGGTGCCTCCTCTGTCTTAACCTCCTGCTCTGGTGGATAGTCGAACATGCTTGGTCTTGTGTTGCTGTGGAACTTGAATGAAGGAATTTCCAGATCTTGATCGACACCAATGATAGCCGTAGGAGTAAAGCTGAGGGACAAGAAATGGGTCAATGGGAACCAGTACCAGTATTGAGTGAACACGGCCATTCCTACAATTGCAGTCATGTTGAGGTTTCCGGTCTGTGTTTGCAGTCCGATTGTGCAATTGCGGCCTCCTGCATCGATGATACCAAGGGCAAGAGCGCATCCGAACTTGGCCATAGCATCCTCATGGCGGTCCGCAACGATCTTAGCGAGAGTCTTCCTGATGGCTGCCACCTTAGGGTTCATGGCCTCATTTTGTTGCACCAAGATCATAGCAAGGGAGATGAGTGCACCCTGGCGAACAAAGTCGGTCGAGTCTTTCATCATGGGCTCAAGGAGATCAATAGCATCCTCCAGTCCAGTTCCTGCACAGGCAATACCGAGAGCCATGGTGGCTCCGTATCGCACGTGGGGGTTGTAAGACTCTGCAAGAAGCTCTACCATGCGGGGAACGCTACCGGGCTTCCTGAAGAGGACGAAACCCAGACTCATGACGGCAATTCTGCGTACATCGTCGCTGACGTCGCTGACGGCGACGTGGAGAAGCTTTCGCACGGCCTTGTTACTGCCTGTGCCACAGTATGCGAGGGCGAGGGTCATGATACCGCCATAACGGAGAGTCGGGTCCGGGTCGTCCAGTAGGCCGTTGATCAGCTCATCGGCAGCCTCTTGTCGGCCGTACATAATGAGAGCCATGCCGATAGCCAATCCGCGGACGATTTTCTCGTGCTGTGTGTCGTGTGCGTACTGGATCATCTCTTCGAGGGCCTTGATATTGCCAGTACCCAGCATGACCAAGCCCATGGCAAGGCCGACTGCCTCTCCGTTGATGGCAGAGTCGGTGTACAGAACACTCTTGAAAGAGTCGAAAATCTCCTCTGAGCCAGTTGCCATGCCTGCAACACCTAGACCAAGAGCTCCACCATGCTGAATGACTTCCTCAGAAGCATTTTGGAATTGTCGTAGAAGATAGTCTAGAACATGTGTTCCGTGGTTGGTGTAAATCAAGCCCAAGGCGTAAAGAGATCCGCCCTGCTCGTAGTGTGAGCTTGATGAAACGTTGTCCTTGGGAAGATAAGGATCCAATAGTTTCTGCCCCTGAGTGATATTGCCACGGTGGATGACTCCTAGGGCAGCGGTTGCGGTGAACTTGGACCAATTTACAGCCTTCCCTAGCCATTCCAGATTCTCTCGGAAGAATGTGTCGTTGGTGGTACCAGCGTTCATGAAAGCATTGGCGAATGTTACACTGGTGTGGAAAATTGAGTTTCGAGCCTCCAGACTATCACGGATCTTGTTGAGGATGTTCTTGTCGGTACGGTTGTTCCGGTAGAGGAATTCCAGGTTCAACTCGATGCTCTTGGTACCTCGGAGAACCTGGCGCACGCTGTTGTATGCTTTCAACTCCTCTTCGGACGAATCCGTGGGCTTTTTACGAGAAGCGGCAGCTGAGACATTGCTAGTATCGGCGTTAGCTAGAAGGCCATCTGATTCTCCGGCTTCATCAGACTGGGGCTTGTGCGATGCGTCTCCGTTTTCTCCAGACGTTTCATCCTCGTCAGATTCGGGAAGCTCCTCCATGACCTTGGCAAGGAACTCCTGCGTGCCGTTCTCGTAGAGATCAAAGGATATCTGGTAGGCAACGGCAAGAGATTTGGGATCATCGCGCTGCACGAGTTGTCGAATAAGGTTCGAGGCCAAAGAGTGCTGGTTCAGATACACTACGCATTTGGCGATTGAGAAGTAATCAGGGTTGGGGATGTCGTTCAACAACTCTAGAATCAGCTCGAGTATCTGATGCAGGGGTTAGACCGAGAACGCGGATGCATATGCAGGTGACATACCTTGTGTCGAAGTCCTCGCTCTTGTACTACGTTCATGCAGATATCAAGCACATACTCCATAAGTTCCTCTCCCCTTGAGGGGGAACCTGTGGCTGGCTTCTTGCCCTGTCTCTTATCCTCCTGGTTAGCCCGCAAGAAAGCCTCCCGAAGGATGTCTAGATTCCGCGCCTCAATAGCAATGCCAACGACTTGCTTGTAATCACCGTTCTCGTAGCAGCTCTCGAAAATGCGTCGTATGGTCGCTTGAAGGTTCTTCTGGACGCTCCTTTGCAATACCAGCGGTGTGGGGTGTGCGCCGACAACTCCTGCGTTGCCGCCACCAGGGATGGTAGGATCGAAGGTTTCCGAGTCTTGCCGGGAGAGAAGAGACTTTGAGGGAAGCGCTGATTGAGAGAACGGTGTTATCGGCGAGGTCATGCTTGCTGCTGTGCTGGCACCTCCAGCCTGGTTCGAGAAGGAGGTGATGAGTTGTGGGGGAGCTTGATTAGCGCGGCTTATCGGAGTGGGAGGGTTGTGCATGGCAGAGAGAGCAATGTAGGTATCGAGACATTTCGCTGCATCCTACTCGTTAGCCATCAAGTTCAAAATAGGTCCAGCTTTGCCATTTGCGTGGGTGTATCCGGCACAACGCCACTGCTGACCCGAGATGCAATACTGTATTGAAGGATCCATCAAGTACTCACCTAGGATTGTCTCTTCGAATTCACCGTTGTGGTGAATATCAAACAGCTTTCCAGCTCCGAGCGCAAAGACCATACTCTCGTTGTACTCCTGGAGCTGGTAATAAACCTTTGCAGCTACAAGAGCAGCGAGCTCCCGCTCCGGGAACGACTCATCCTCATACAAGGCTTCACTGAAATCACACGCAGATTAGCAAGACGTTACAGGACTGGGAATAGAGTTCTAAGCTCACATTTCACTGACTGATCCAGCAACTTCTGGCCACAGCAGGTCAATATCGCTATTGAGTCTTTGGAGGGCAAATGACCGTAGAGCAGTATCGGGTTCCGCCAGGAATCCGACGAGGCCGGCTGCGGATGTCAGACCGACCATAGTGGAAGTTTATTGTCGGCCACAGATCAGGGTTGTCTCTTGATGGAACAGAGGTGGGCGTCGAGATAACGAAAGTTGCGAACGGAGAGGGAGAAGACGGTGGAATCGGGTGGAGCTGGAGAGTGGCGCCTGAGTAGGCTGGGGGAGTTGGCGAGGAAATCGGCGAGTGAGCACCAGTAAAGGCGTTTGGTCCTGTATAGTGAAGGAAAGACTGGAAATGGAGTGGAACTGAAATTGGAGATGGCACAGGGCCGTGGTTGTGGAGTTTGGATGGTTGTGAATCGTGTAGACAACAGCTTCGCGCGCGATATCACCGAGACTTGGCGTTGCACCCCGTTTCGGAATATGATGACATAAGAAAGGCACCCGCGGCCTCGTCATCGAAATATAAGCACGCGATGTCCCCGAAAACTTCAAGCTATGAACATCTTGCAACACGGTGGATGAATAGTCTGGCAAGCAACAACACTACGGCGCATGTTTTTGCTACGTTGCGACCAAAAAGGCAATTTTGGGTAGGTGCGATGCCAAAGTCGGGTGATGGTACAGTTCAGGAACACATCGTCACGTCACATGCGCAGATTTGGAGGTAGTCTGTGGAACCAAATATCTGAAGGGTCAAAAATGGGTATCTCGATTATCCTGTCACGCATCGAACTCCGGCTAGATGCTGCGACATGAGTCTCTAAACAAAGAGACTGCATGCCTGAAAACAACATTTGCTTCCAAAACGCCGTTGCCAATCCTGGCCCAAAGGCCCAGAAGAAAAAGAAGCTAAACTACTCATAGATATAAAAATACAGAAAAAATGATTACTCCTAAGAGCCTAAGAGAAACGCCTGAGTTGCTATACTTTGGTCATCTCTCGAGAAAGCACTCGCAGATTGTTCATCAATCCAACGATGAGGGGCTCATAATTGTTGTTGTCTTCCCCCCTTTGTATCGAGTCGGCCGCTTGCAGTACAAGGTCTGGGTCTAGTTCCAGCTCTAGTTCGTGGTTTCTGGAGGTCGACTGTGTCACTTGAGTCAGATCCACCGTATAGGCACCAAGCCAAGAGTAAGACATGCGATCCTTTCTTCGTTCCTCGACACCCCGCATCCCTTCCTTGGCTGGCTGCAGGCTTTCCACGGGCCCAGGGAAATTGACTTCGAGATTGATGCCTATCCGATAATCCCACTCTGTCCTAGGCGAACTGATCTCCAAATTGACCAGCTTGAGCTTGATGATTTTTCGGGTGATTTGGCCAGTCTTCTGATCTGTCGTAACACGAACTCGCTGGGTGTGCCCTGATCTCTGGATGATTGCCTTGATCACTGGGTGTAGCAAAGCAAATCCCGCTTGGTCCAGCTCATAAAACGTGTCGACTTCGTGTGTATGTCTATATGTGATCTCCGGTCTTTGGACCTCTGGGCTCAAGGCCTTCGTGACCTCTTTGTTGAGGAATTGATTCATCTTCTTGTGCTGCTCGAGTGACATCGTACTCTCGAACTTTGTGCCCTCAACCTGGACGACGCATTCGGTTCGATGTATCCCGTGGAGACGTACATTGGACTGCTTGTCTAGTATCTGTCCCCAACGTGCCTCAATTTCAAGGTGTGTATGAGGATCTTCTCGAAGGACTTGACGGATCGGTTCGCTCATAACGACGTTATCCCAGATCAGATCGCAGACTTGCCGCGAGGTTTCGTCATAAACGACGTTATCGTTCGTGAGAGGACGCTCAAAGCTGGTAAGTTGTCTTCTATCGAGGACAGGCACGCGCGGTCGTTGTTGCGGCGCGTTGCCATTGTGTTGGGCAGAGGGAAGAGGTTGCGCCTGAAGTCGAGGGGTCGCGGAAGGGGCTCGAGACGGCCGGCGCTGGTTACGATGGTCTCTGTGGTGCGCCTCGAGCGCTTCGTGTTCGCGAACAGCCCAGATAGGTCTGGGGTCGTGTCGTTGACGCCTGCGAGGCATGGCTTTGTGTGTGTTGTGAGGAGGTGTTGGAAGCTTCGCGACGGAGATCGCAGGGCTGGCTGCTGTGATGGAATGTGGATTCGAGGGAGAGCGACGAGGCGTCGCCTCTGGCCCGGGGTTTGAGAGGAGATCAGAAATATTCATGGTGATAGTGGATAGAAGGCATTTACTGGAGGGAGGTGCAACTTGCGCTGTGTTGAGCAAAGAGATGAAGATGCGACGGACCGAAGAGGACCCGAACGCGCAAGCTCAGATGACTAAGATCAGGGCGGCACTTCCCCTTCTGGACTCGATTGTGTCGTTCAATGAGACAACAACGACAGCGACACGGTGAGGTTGGACGGAAGAGGATCTCGAGTCTCGGGAATTGAGTAGATGCTTGCAGCGTTTTCTCTCTCTTGAAGTTGTTAGAACGGGTCGAGAGCTTACACAGACCGTGGGCGCACGGAAGTGGTGCCGGAGGCTCGAGAGCACTGATGCTCTCATCTTTTATTAGCGAGGATGCTTTGATTCATTGTACATCCATGCAGACGGGACATAGCAATGTTCACGAGCTTTTAGTACTGATTGAAATTCATTTCCTGTATTGTAATCTGTAAAGATGCTATCATAAAACACCAATTTTGCACCTCATACGCCGTCTTATTTGCTGGCCGCTCTTGTTGATCGTAAGAAGTCATCCCTTTCCAGCATTCTACATGTTGCGCGTCCCAGCCGTCTATCAAGGCTCCGTCTGCACTCAAGCCTCCTGGTCCAAGCCAAGATCCTCAGTTGCAGGAACGATGCGAAGAGTGTTCGTGTGGCCCATACCGCCTCTCCAGCCTTGGACACAGATGACGGGGTCGCCCTTGTTGAGAACACCGAGCTTGATGGCATTCATGATACCCCACTTCAAGCGACGGTCAACGTCCTCCTGCCAGGGAGCGGTGTTGAAATCGGGCTTCTCCTCGGGGAAGTAGAATGGGTATACACCGCGGTATAGATGGGAGTATCGGGCGGCCATAGCATTGCGGGTGACCATGATGATGGGGCAAACGGGACGGTACTTGGAAACGAGACGAGCGGTGGTTCCACTGTTGCAACGGGTCAGCCTTGCACCTTTCTTGTACGGATAGATTTTCGGTTCGAAACTTACCTGGTGGTCAACACCAGAATGGCACCAGCATTCTGCTCGAGACTGGCGCTGACGGCAGCCATGGCGCAAGTCTCAGTGGTAGGGCATGGGACGGGAGCCAACCTCCTGAGCTCATCGAAGGCGCTGACATAGGGAATAGCGACCTCGGCGAGCAAGCAGGTCTCGTGCATGAGGGTCACAGCCTCGACGGGGTAGTTACCCTTCGCCGTCTCTCCAGACAACATGACGCAGTCTGCGCCGTCAAGAACAGCGTTACCGACGTCACTGACTTCGGCACGGGTAGGACGGGGGTTGTAAGTCATGGACTCCAACATCTGGGTCGCGCAAATTGCGGGCTTTCCGGCAATGTTGCACTTGGTGATCATCATCTTCTGGGCGATGAAGACCTGGCTGGGGGGAATCTCGATACCAAGATCACCACGGGCAACCATGACACCGTCAGTCTCCTTAAGAATGGCGTCGAAATTGTTGACACCTTGCTGGTTCTCGATCTTGGCAATGATCTGGATGTCCTTGCCCTCCTCGCCGAGGACCTCGCGGATGGCGGTGATGTCGCTTCCTTGACGGATGAAAGAGGCAAAAATCATGTCGACCTTGTTCTTTACACCGAATCGAAGATCTGCTTTGTCCTTCTCGGACAGAGGAGGGAGATCGACGTCGGTCTTGGGAAGATTGACACCCTTCCTGGAGGAAATCTTGCCATTGTTCACGCACTTGCACTTGACGGTCTGCTCATCGACAACCTCAATCACCTCGAATGACAGAACACCGTCATCGACGTAGATAGTACGGCCAGCCGTGATGACCTTGGTGATGTTCTTGTAGTCCACATACCTAAATCAATGGGTTAGCAAACACACAATCTTCTCGTATAATTTGGGTATAACCAACATGTTCTTGTTGTCGCTCTTGGTGGCATATGCCTCGTCGGTGGTGATGTTGATAATGTCGCCGGCGCTGATCGGGATGTCTTCGTCGTTCACTGTGTTTCCGGTACGGATCTCAGGGCCTTTCTGTAGGGACAATTGAGTAAGTAGACTTCATAGCAGAGCAAAAGGCTGGAGACTTACGGTATCGAGAGCAATGGCGAGGGGCCTGCCAGGCTGTGTCTGCTCGGCCTTGCGGGCATTGTCAATGACGGACTGGTGGTACTCGTAAGAGCCGTGAGAGAAGTTCATGCGAACGACATTGAGACCGGCTTTGCGAAGAGAATTGATCTTCTCTGCAGAGTTGGTCTTGGGGCCGATTGTGCCAATGATGGAAGTACGGCGGTACTCCTTCGCGGGGGTATATTCGGTGTTGAGCTGCGAGAGCCACTCAATTCGCGTGCGGCCCGCGTTCAAGTGGTCAAGAGCGTTGGCCATTGTGTTTTATTTCTGAAATGGTTGGTAGGAGGGCAGAAAGGAGGATGAATGACAAGGTAGTATTAGGTATTTGTATAGGAAGTGTGGTGTGAAGGGAGAGGAGAGAGAGAGAGAAAGTGAAGGAGAGCGCGGAGTTTATGGACCCCGCGGAATGGCTTATTATAAGGCGGGCGCGCACACTGCAGCAGGTAGAGGGGAGAGAGGGCGTGTGTGTTAGATGATCACAATTGGCAGCAATAAGAGGCGGCGGTGGAAAGAAGCTACTACGGTGGTCGGAAATCAGCAGAGCAGCCGCCTACGTTACCCTGCCTTCCTCTAAGTGCATTCAGTAATGACTATCTAGCATGTACTTGGTAATATAAGCATTCAGGTTCGACCGGATAGCTAGGAGGTAGCTTTGTGATGCTGCGGCGCAAAAAATGTTGTTGAGCACTGGAGGGGAAGACAGGGTCCTTGCTTTAGCTAGTACATGGTTTGTTACTACGAGTGCTAGGTGGAAAGAGACTCTCTAGACTCCCTAGGCCACTCTCTACAAATACATAAGTTTGAGTAAGGTATATTTACCTAACCTAGTAAGAGTAGAGTAACTAGGTGAGGTGTAGTACGTCGGCACAGTAAACTACTGTAATAACGATGGGAACAAGTTGGGCGGGACGGGGCTCTACGTGGGGCGTGGCGGCCGACGGCCAAAGCAGAAAGCAGATGATTATTCTGATTAACTACAGTATTATTCTTGTACGAGAGACGAGACAGACTACTGAACGAGCTCTTGCTTGTCTGTTTGTCTAGTTTTGTCTGGATCGCTTGGATGCTTGGTTGCTTCTTTGGCCGTTTCAACAACTATGTAATCGCCCACATACATACCTAGGCACGTAGGATAGGTACATACCCTAGATAGGCACCTAGGTTGAATGCATCGGGAGCCGGCCGTGTGGGCAAAGGAAAGCTGTTGATTGGGATCTTAGAGAATCTCAGGGTGGGTGATGGGGTGGGTGTACATATGTCGTTGATACACACTGCACACTGCACAGTAGATAGAACAGGGTTTGTCTGTGTGGGAGTTGGATCCAGATAGAGTAAGCCAATGATGCCAATCCAAATGTGATTGTGATTGTGATTGATATACTCGTACCTCGTAACGACTACTTAGGTACTGGTAGTGTATAGAGGGGATGAACGCAAGGCCTACCTTTTTGAACCATAGCAGTAAATTGTAACTAGTTGATCAATGATGTTGGTGACGGCTGACAATATCGTACTTGATTATCATGAAATGTTGGAGTCTGTCTAGGCATCCCAATGAATTCATTAGATACCATACAGTCTTGTCCGTCTCATATTATCTCCTTTTGGAGACCCGAACAGTGTCTGACCATCCCATTCCCCCTCTCCTCCGACTCCGATAGCATCTAATCGTCATACCTGGAAATGATACTGGCCAGTCCGACGATTCCACAGACCAACAGCAGCCAGTCAGTTTTACCTGCAAGGTTTCCTTTCGGTGTATTATTTGCATATGTGCATGAGCGGACCGTCCAGCTTCTCCCGTGTTCTACGACGTATACCGATACCCATCGTGCTCATGTTCATGTGTATGTTTATCCTGATCATCAATCCGCCCACTGAGCAGCAGGACAGGGTCATCGCCCACCACCCCACTATGGTTTTACTACTTGCGCATCACTCGGGCAATGGCCATGGGCGCATTCTCGGCGCGCCGTGTGCCAATCCCCGTAGATAAGCAAAAAAATCATACTGTAATAATAATAATATTGAGACAAGTCCTCATTTGTCTAATCCCGTCTGCTGTTCCTGTTACATGCGCCTAACGCTCTCTGTTCGTCCGTGTGTGGAGGCAGAGGAGAAAGAAAAAACTTTCTTCTGTCTTCCCGGCCGGGTACAAGGCCAGTAGTCAGTTAGGTAGTCAGTAGACTTGTTGCTTCTGCCCGCGCTCAATTCAACCCGCGGACATTGAACCAGTAATTAGCCTTGTTCGCTACTCGTACTTTTTTTTTCTTTTCGGTATACGTGGATGTGGATGGCGTGCACTGTGGATGGAAGATGCGGATGATAATACTGTTCTGTCAATAGCGAGACACGCTTCCCATACTGTGTCCCAGTTCAAGTGGGGGGGTTTCAATATCCGCGTGTCATGGTCCAGCAACTCCACCACCGCCATCTCTAGGTCACCCTGAGGTGCCCAGAGTCTAGCATGAGGATACTGGAAAGTGTAGTGAGAGATATGAGACATCCATGTGTGCACATGTAAACACACATGGAACAACAACAGTCGTGACGCCGTGCCTATGGCTATAGGATGGATCCGGATGTGTCGTTGTGAAAGCCAACATGTCTTAGCGCATCATCTGGTGTGACTTGAGCATGTCTCGCGATGTTCTGTTGAGCACTTGAGCCTGCAAATAGTAACGGCCGGAACGTGGGATGATCGGAACGGGTGGATGGCGAACGACGATGACGACGGCCGTATACATCAGGCGAAAGTCAAGTCATGAGCATGAGAGCATCCATCTTCTCCTAGCCAGGAGGAGCAAAGAGGAGGGTAAAGGGACGACGGACAGGGCAATGGGGTTTTACTTATATATGAAGTGTAGGTTCTCTATTTGCGTTCGCATCGTCGTTGGGTCCAGCGCTCCTAGATGACCCGAGGCGGCACCCGCAACACCGTACCTCGTAGGGCTGGACCGAGGGATCTCGAAAAAGATCCGCGAACTTATTCCGGAATCTTTCCTGTATAGTTGGAGGAGGTACATGATTGGGGATTAATTACTTACGAGGACATTCATGGGCCAAATTAGCCAGTCAGGTTCACGTTCACATGTCTTTTGTGTGTCTCTTTGAGTTCTGTTCTGAATCGTGAAGCAGCAGTGGTGGATGACTAAAGGCGGTGAGCTCCAATCATCTCGCCTCACAAAGTGACCTTGCAACCTCCCTCCAACCACCTCTCAAGCTCTCTCACACGACATACCATCTACCGCGTTCCTCCAGTCCGTACCAATACATACAACAAACCGACCCTTACACTCAATACCCCAATCTATACTACTACCACACCTCACCTAACCTATCTCCAACATGGTTGTACGTAGCCTATCCAGATATCGCCTGAGCAGGCAACAAAAGCATATACAACCTACTCACACTTCTGTTACAGTTCGGCAAAGTCGCTCACTACGCCTTCGATGCGGTTTTAAGTATGTTTCCGCGCACTACCCTCCCGTCTCCCGCCGTCACTAACAACGTCCTTCCAGTCTCCGTCTGCCTCGCTGGAGTGCGTCGCTCCACCGGCCTCACGTATGTCCACCGCCTCCTCCGCAAATCCGCATAACAGATCCCACCACCCAAGACCTCCATCATCTCCCCTCTCCCTCTTCCCAAGAAACCCCAAAGGCAAAAGAAACAGAATCAAGAGTGCATACTAACATTGCCCCGCTCCCCCCGGCGACCCCGGGGGCCGGACAGTCCCAGTGTCAAACCAGAGAACTTTTCAGAAACACCCGGCGTCAAGAAGTGGATCGACAACTACCTCTGGGTCGGCGAGTGGGCCATGGACCAGAGCGTCGCCATCGCCTCCACCTCCTCGTACTTCGAGCGAAAGCGCTGAACGGCGGATCAATGATGTCGAACCCTGAGCGCTTTTCCGATTCGCTATAAAGAGCGGGAGCGCAATCGGATTGGGAGGATTTGAGCTGAAGAAAGGGACGGGCGGCCTGGACGGGGAGATAAATAAGAGGAGGAAGAAGGGGGCAGGGTCGACAGGAATTCCATCTGTTGTTGCTGCCTGCGGGTTACGGACATGGGACATGACTGATGTGTATATGTGTTTTGCGCGCGCGGAGGAAAATATGAGAAGCATGACATGAACTCCACTTGGGAAACCTCTTTTATTGTTGTTTTGTTTTTCCGCTGCCAGTCCGACCTCAGCAGGCGTTTCAATCTCCTTTTTACTGACGATAGCATCGATGACCAAAAAATCATCCAAGAAAAAAAATTCACCATCTCAAGACATTTGAAATCTCCACCTTAATCAATTGGATTACGATAGTCACGTTGCGCTGTGGAGAGAAACCGTGATGGCTACGTTATCGTTTTGGTTCGGATATGGTATCTGGTATCTGGTATCTCACGAAATCTATATCGACGCCCACTTATTTTCTCTTCCTCAATCGGAACCCCGTCTCTTCGTCATCGCTATCATCGCCCCTCGCCTTCGTCCTAGTCCTCTTGCTCGGACCCGCCGCCGCAGCAGGAGGAGCAGCTCTCTTCCTCGAGCCCCTCTGCGTCTGCGTCTGCGTCTGCGTGTTGGCAGTGGTAACCTGAGTCTCCTCCACACGCTGCGTAGTACGTCCGCTCGACCTCGTCCCCGCGGTTCCTCTAGGCACGGGAGGGTCTGGGCTGATTTCGGGTTCGCTGTCCTCGACGTTGATGACCTCGGGCGGGCTGCTGCGTTTGCGCCTGACGAACCCGGGCTCCTCTTCAGAATCGGATTCGGAGTCCTGGACGACGACAGCGGCGGGCTTGCTGCTGCCTTTCCTTGTCCTTGTGCTAGGTTGGGTGGTGTCGTCGTCGTTGTCCTTGTCCTTGCTGCTGCCCTGCTGCGCAGAAGGGACGTTGTCCAGTAAGAAAGCATCACCGAGACCGAGGCCTTTCTTGTGCGGCGCTTCTTCGAGCGCGACGATGGCCTTCTCGCGCGCGGGCGGTCTCTCTACACCGCCCTTGCGCCTGAATTTCTTGAAGTTTTTCCGTCCGTTCCATTCTTCCTTCCAGCGATCAGAAGACGTCCCTGCTTGCTGTTGCTGCTGCAACCGTGCTCTATCCTGACGCGGTCTGATCTCCATCTCCTCCACCTTCACGAGCCCCCTGATCTCGGATATGTCGACGCCTTCGAGTGCCTCGCGCAGCTTCTCTTCGTCCGCCTTGCGCTGCTCTTCTTGCTCCTGGAGCCGCTGGCGTGTTGCCTCGCGGACGTCGATCTCCTTGGAGACTTTCATCTTTGACTTTTGGAGTTTGGCTAGGACTTCCCCGCCTACGGTTCTCTTCTTGCTTCCCCCAGCCTGGGTTTCTGGCTCCACGGATGCAGATGCGGCGCGTGTTGCCGCTCGTTGCCGCTTCATTGCTGCTGCCGCCGGGAACAGCTGGTCGATTTGATTGTCCTCTTGCGGCACTTCCACGCTGGGAACGGCTGGAGATTGATGTCTCTGAGATCGTCGGGAAGGTAGTTCATGGCTCGATTGAGTTTGACCGTGAGATTCTTGGGGTAAGTTCGAAGATGGTACATCTTCCATGGGCGTATCTTCTTCCACTTTGCGAAGCTTGGCCGGGGGTTCGTAGTCATCGAACCCTGTGAAGCGACTCGCTGTGGCCCCTCGCCGCATGGGACGCTTTCGAGAATTCGTCTTAGTGGGCTGCTGCTCCTCGGCCGCCTGGGATGGTTCTCTTGATCGGGCTCTGGTATGGCGCGGACTAGACATTGGTTCCATCTTAGCAGCAGGGCCAGTGCTCGAAGGGGCCTCCGCTTCAGGTGGTGGCTTTCGAAGCGCGGAGGCGTCGTTGGAGATGATAGCGTCGAGGAATTCATTCTGGAGGACCGAACGTTGATTCAGGGCATAATCGACTCCGGTAACGAATTCCGACGCCCAGTCTTCTAGTCCTTCGGGAACAATTGGGAGCCGGATCGTTACCACCGGTAGCTGGTCACCAGTTGCCTTGGTTGGCTTCTTTTTCCCAACAACGCTGTGCACGTAGTCCACGTACTCTGCCACTGTTGTTTCGCCCAGCCGAACATTAAATAGAAGGGCTTTTCCATTCCCACCAGTTATAGGCTCATGCAAGCTGTTGTATTGGTTCTCATCCATGAACACGAATGTCAACCCCTTGAACACTTCCCCTCGGCTCGTATCTGGTTCTAGCAAGCGTCCGTCCCGAGGAACGGGTTCAGCGCCAACGGGGGGCACGTATTCCTTCTCTTTCGGCCAGCACAAATCAAAATCCTCCTCCAACTTTGACGCCCTGAAGTTATCGAAGTTTGCGTTCTGAGGGGTTGCCAGTCGAAGCACCGCATCGAGAAAGTCGGCCGTAACAATGTGAACTCCAGCTACGAGACCTTGCAGAACCTTAGGCAGATTCCGTTTCTGGGAAACGACGTGTGTGGTTTTTCCGTAGACGAAATCGGTGGTGGTCTTAACGTCGAGAGCGTGTAGTTGCGTGCTGCGTGCCTTGCTTTCTTTGGATGCAAAGGTGAACACGAAAGGCTGCCACGTGAGCCTGAATGGCGGATAGCTTTCGATCAATCGAATCGTATGCTCCGTTCCTGGCAGGATATATCGATCGTATTCGATGCCTCCTCCCGCTTCCTTCTTGCTTAGCAATTTTTTGTCTCCATCAATGGTTGTTCCCTGTCTGCAACTCAAATCTGTGACCACCACTTGGGACCGTGCGTGTAGCTTGCTTCCATCCTCAGCCGGTACGTCCAGCACTTTGATCATCATGTGTTGTCTCGAGACGGCCTTATGATCGATGAAGATGCTCTTCCCCTCCTCGCCTGCAGCTGCCTTCGACGTCCGTCCATATAATTGCTGCGAACCCGGTCGCAACCACACCCTTTTGCCACCAAAGAGACTTTCATGCTCGAGAAACCACATCGTGGAGTGCTCTGCGGTGGCACAAGTGAGCGTATTCAAGGAGTCGCGGTCTGGTGTCGTCGGTCCCTGTAGTGGCGTGTATGGGGTGAGGTTTGTCAATCGTGGGAGGTTGAGCGAGCAGATATTGAATTGCCATGCGGCAGCGACATGGTAGGCAGCACCGGCGTGCGCTCTTCGTCAACTCGATGTCGCGCTGATTGTGACTACGTCCATGCACGCATACCAGACAGGGTTCAACAGGCTACAACCTCTCACGCGCTAAGGCTGCATCACGCTATCACGTGATAGTAGATAATTCACATCCACTGAAGAACGAGTGAAGAAAAGCCTGAAAAGGTTAATGCATTTTGATTGCGATCCCTTTTTCTTCATCATGATCATGGAAATGCGAAGAAGTTATGACCTTTACGATGGAGACATGTTAGTTCAAGCTACAAAGTATGTATGATTGGCGGTCCACCCCAGCAAGGACTCCAGAACAGCATTGTCCTTTTTGGGCATATCGTACTCGATTTGATAAATGTTCAACACTTCATGTCCAGGTACATGCGCGTTGGCTTTATGTTTTTCATCACCCCTCACAGACCATTGGACTCCATATTTACATTGTTACCTAGGTACACAAGGTCTCCTTCATCCCCACAGGCTCTATTTGCAACGACGCTCGTCAGATGCCCCCTAAACAAAAATGGGCCATTTATTTATACCATAGGACGATAGCAGCATCTCATAAGCGCATTCAAATTTACCATTCTATACTACGATGCGTTCTCAATTCCTATGTTGCATGAGGAGAACTTACCAATCGTCCAAGGTGGCGTCAGCATACCAGAACGAAGTGCGATGATCAGTGAATATTTTTGGACAGGATCTTTGTAATTGTCAAACTCGCTGACCTGGAAAGGTATTGTATACGATCGAAAGATAATTCTCACAAATTGTATTAGAACAATAACACTGGGCGTAAGCGATGTCTCACGTCGATTAAAGCCTTAAAGCAGGTATCGATCTTGAGACCGGCAGCTGCTCCCTGCCTAGATCTGGTCAAGCATTCGGGTGATAGGGCTGGTTATGGTGAGAGTCGAGATGGCTCTCCGCCACTAGGGCGCCTAGCCTGCCTAGCCGTCACTACGGAAGATCGTAGTCCATATTATTGGAGGTATCGTAAAATCATTACTTTATGGTCACTAGATCATCCCAGAAGATGAGGGGCAACAGGGTCACCGGTTGGCGCAGCTGCAGACAAGAAGAATCGACAAAAGAAATACGAGTACAAGGGAAACTACGGATGCATGGATGGGGCGTCGACCGTCGTTCCAACCCCGCACCCCTTCAGCTCCAGCGACGGTGTTTTGTTAGTTTACAAGCCAGAGTACTTAAGGGTCAGGGTCTAGAATGGAATGCCAGTGATAAAAGCACCGCTCTATTTGTTCATTGAATTGCCCTAACTACCCTCTCAAGTTTGCTTCTCCATCTACATCATGACTTTAGAGGAATTCTTTCAGAAGTCGTATGACTATGTGATTATCGGCGGTGGCACAGCAGGATTGGCAGTAGCAGCTCGTCTCAGTGAGGATCCGAACGTCACTGTTGCTGTTCTTGAAGCTGGAGGAAATCGTCTCGATGATGTCCTGATCGATGCCCCTAATCTATTCCTTCAACTATGGGACAAGCCCGAGTATGACTGGATGTACAGAACTGTTCCACAGGTTGGTTCGACATATGTATATCCGCGTAATCTGCTGACTTTGGGAACAGAAAGGAACCGCGGACAGAGTTCACGGATGGGTCCGAGGAAAGGTTCTCGGCGGGTCCTCCGCTGTGAATTACAACATGTTCAGCATGGCCTCCAGGCAAGACTTGAACAACTGGTCAGAATTGGGCAACAAAGGCTGGGACTTCGACGGAATTGCTCCATACTATCGCAAGTTCGAAAAGTATAATGCACCATCGGATGACTTCGGGAAGCAGATGGATCACAAGTATATCGACCCACTCCTGAGAGGCACTGATGGACCTGTTCAGGTATGTGATCCATGAGATGGTGGCATAAGATGACTGCGCAAAACTACTTGCTACATATAGTATAGCAGTCGCGGATATCATCGATCAAGCTAATGGTTGTCTCCCAGATATCGTGGGCTGAGACCGAGTTACAATGGAATCAAGAAGTGTGGCCAAAGACTTGTTTGAACGCAGGTTATCCGTATCCAAATGATCCAAGAACTGGTTCTGCAATTGGTGGCTTCAACCAATTGGTAACTGTAGATCCCAAGACAGTCCGAAGAAGGTCCGTATCTTTCAATGAGCATAGGTGAAATCGGGAGTCTAACGGTCCATTTAGCTACGCTGCCAGAGCTTACTATGAGCCAAATGCTGGAAGACCTAACCTTTCCTTACTCACTGAAGCACTAGTCGAAAAGATTGAACTTGATAAGACAGGTTCTGGAGATGCAGTTGCAACAGGAGTCAGGTTCCAGGTCAACGGCACCTCCTACCTCGTTAGAGCCAACAAGGAGGTCATCGTATCCGGTGGCGTAATCAATTCGCCTCAGATCTTAGAACTCTCTGGAATAGGTGGATCTGATGTACTCAAGAATGCTGGCGTAGATGTGTTGGTTGATAATCCTAATGTCGGCGAGTAAGTCCATGTGCGAATATTTTGTTTCATTTTACATATGCTAAGGCTACCGGATTAGGAACTTGAATGATCACACGGCGGTGGCAGTTACTTTGGTATGTCCTCAAAAATTCATCGCTAAGAGCTAATGAGCAGGCTGATCAAGACAATAGCAAGTCAAGGACGAATATCCGACTGCAGAAGTGCTTTTACGCAACCCGGAAATTCAGCAGCAAGCAATGGAAGCCTATCTAACCCACAAAGTTGGACCATTTGCAAACGCGCCTACGACAACTGGCTTTGCATCCGTGGACCTAGTCGATCCGGACTTGAAGAATGCTGGAGAGCATATTGCATCTCTCGTTTCGGAATTCAAAACAACGAATCCAAAGGCTGATCCTGCAGGGCGCAATGACATTCTAGCACGACAATTGAAAAGCCCTAAAGAAGCCGTCACTCAGATGGTATGCCTCACCGTTGGAGCAGACCCGCGAAAGGTGGGAGAACCCTCCCAAATCTTCATACACGATTCGCCAGGAAACTTCGTGATTGTTGGCGCCTGCAGCACGCGCTCTCTGTCAAGAGGAAGTATTCACATTGAGTCTTCGGATCCTTCGAAACATCCTAGGATCGATCCGAACTATTATGCCCATCCACTCGACCTTGACATGGCAGCTCGAACTGTCCTCCATGCATTTAAGCTCGCCAGAACAGAGCCATTGCTGTCCCACCTAAAGCTGGGTGAAAACGGAGATGTCATTATCCATTCGTCTTGGGGCAAGAAAGAGCCTAAGACACTCGAAGAGGCGAAGGAATTTGCAAGTCAGAACACTGCCACTGAGTATCATCCCATCGGAACCTGTGCTATGCTACCGAAAGAAAAGGGCGGTGTTGTTGATACCGAGTTGAGAGTTTATGGAACCAAGAATATCAGAGTTATCGATGCCAGTATCTTCCCCACGCATGTTCAGGGAAACATAGTCAGTCTGGTATATGCTGTTGCGGAGAGAGCGGCGGACATCATCAAGGGGAAGGTAGCCAACGGCACGATTGTCAATGGGAACGGTGTCAACGGCCACGTCGCCAACGGTCTTCCATGAAGATCAAAAGCAAAGAGATCGTATCTCTTGCGATGCGCTGGAAGTTTTTGTAACGACCTACACGATATTATGTTGTTCTATTATAACGTAATGCGTTTGTCTTTATTGTAGCAAATTGAAGCTCTTTAACGATGGTAAACCCTTTCACTTTTGATTTTCCATGACTTCATGTATTAAGCCTCAGTCCAATAACTCCCACCTCCAATACTCACTCCATTTCCTGCAAACGTCCCAGCACCATGAGCATATGATGTCCCTAGATGCGAAGCATACGTCTCACCAATGCACAGCCAGCATTGACGTGCAATGGCGTGAAGAATGACATGCCTCCGAGAACAGCTATGCTCCGAGACGAGATCCTGCGAAACGACATCCCTCCATCCTTTCGATAAAAACCCAATCGGCCACGAATCTTTCTCAAGTGATCCCTAAGGATTTCCTTATCCACGACACAAATTTCCTCATCCTTCCGCTCAATTTCGAGGTCTCGCTCCCCTCACGTCGTTCATAATCCTGTACTTCGTCCACATTCGATGGGCCGAATGATACTCTCTTTCCATTCTTCGACGACGCACGATGTACTGAACTAGTGCTAATATGGTCCCCGTACTCGAACGTGTGATGTCTAGTCGATGAGTTTCTTTGGCTGTATGCTCGTAACTCCGCGTTTTCTTGTTGCTAGCGCAGAAAGTCGCCGAATGACATCGACGTTTCTTCTCTCATGCTGTGGGGTTGGCTGAGGGTAGTATCGTTGTGGTAGGAATCTATGTTATTGACTAACGATAGGATTTGAGAGCCGAGTCTGAACTGAGTAGATAGATGAGCGATGGAGTGAGGTGGTATTGGCGTAACTTACTGAAGCTATTTACGTTTCGGCGTCGTTTTAAGAGTGTTCGATGGATTAGGTGGGAAGAAGGAAATGTGAGCTGGTGGTGTTTTTAAAGTAGTTCTTTCTGTATTTGAGGGCATGCTGTACACAAACTACGTGTGTGCTTTCCATTTGCGGACATAAAGACTCAAGTGCCGTTCGTAATTGAAGATTACGGCTGGTTAGCATCAGGAGTACGCTTAGCAGAAGTACGTTAATGAGGTCTTCTTAAATTTCAAATCCATTGCGTAAGAATATGACAGGTACAATGCCCGCAGAACCATTGTACACGTCTACGTTAATTCCAAGTCCCATCCCAGAAGCCTACCGAACCTACTGTGACACTATAACGCCCGCCCAAAACAGCCAATATAACATTCATTTGTACAGAACTTCGCTTCATTCATGCTTGCGCAGGAGCACCCGTGCCGTTTTCGCCATTGCCACTGCCTGTGACGCTAGCAACGAACTCTTGATACCTGAAAACTTCCCCTCGGCCTAGGCCTTTGCTTCCTTTTCCGAATGCCCTCCTGCCGCTAAATCCATCCACCACCATATCAATCTCTCGTTCCGTAAGCTTCCTATCACCAGCTTCTGGTGCAGTGTGAAGCAATGCGTCCTTTAGCTCTCCTAGATCGATTTGTCCGTCATCACCGTCGTCAAATGCCTCGAAAGCAGCGTTGAGTTCGTTGGGATGTGACAAGCCAGAGAGCAGGTCTGAAAGAGTGTTGAGATATGTCGCCAAATTGATTGATTTTGCACCATCGGGAAAGTAGGCAGCAAGGCTTGAGGGGGTTGCGCTGAGACCAAGCTGAGACAGCATATCAGCTATGTCGGCCGCGTCGACACTACCGCTATTATCGCGATCCAACACACTGAACGACTCCCGCATGCTATGCAAGAGCGCAGGTGGTATCTTCGAAAGAGAGTCCGTGGATGCGGTCCGTTGAATGGGAGCAGGGCGTTGTGTCGGCCGCTCCACTGCTGGCGCTGTAGAAGGTGCACCATCGAACCTGGCGGCAATTGAAGCCGTACTTAGAGGTCGGACGGTGTTCTGTGTAGATGTGGATACATGTCGAGTTGGAGAGCTAGGAGCTTCAGCGCTTGTGGTTGTCCCGCGAGTGTTCAGCCATGGTGGTGGTGGGTTCGCCGAAGCATTGCTTGTGGTTGACTGACGGAGTGGAGTCGTCTGTGATGGGGTACCGGTTGGTTTCAAAGGAGAGCTAGTTGGTGTCGATGGTTTGACTGTAGTCGATGGAGAATGAGTGAGAGGGGAATTCGGTCGACGGAAGGGGGATGTTCGCGGGCTATTGAATGAAAGAGGGGAGGGTTTGTAGGGTGTTGGAGTAGTAGACTGTCATGAGATTAACATTGACTATGAAGGCTTGTGAAACTTGTTCGATGCGTACCATGATTGTGTTGTTGATTGTCTCAACTCCGCGTGGTATGGGTGGTTTGTATTCTTCGATCGAGAGTCGCGATGTCTACCATTAGTACCTATGTAAGGTACTCGTATATACTAGCTGGTGTTGATGTTTTTGGGGTCTCCGCAGCAACCCACCAAGTGCAAACAACACAAACCAAATCCCACTAATCCATATCCGAGCAAGCGCCCTCTGACCCTGACGTCCCTTCCCTTTTTAGGTGCAGGCGTTCACGTTCACATGTGCGTGCATAACTAAACGCCATCCAATGTCTTCGCTGCATCTTGCATAAGTTCGGATCAATTAACTTTGAATTCATGGAGTTATTGCACTTGTTCCTCGTTCAATCTCTTGTCTTTCCATCCCTCGTGCGTTCGGTTGCCAGTGTCGAGTACCCCACTGATCGTCGGTGAAACGCAGGGATCACGTTTCGGCGCCATTCCCCTCAAGACGCGGCGTCTCCCTCGCTTCGGGGGGCCATTCGTGACCCTTAAGGAGATTCCCCGTCGCAGGGGTTTTTGAAGATGGATACACTCATGACTGAAGTATTCACACAGCCGCGGGCTACAGGGGCCACGCCCGTGCCGACTACGCTGCAGCGTCAGCCTTCCTTCTCCTCTTTCCCCCCTTCTAGGTCCCCGTCGTCGTTGTCCACCCGCAATGACCATAAGAAAGGTCGCTCCCCGCAGCCACCAATGTTGCGAGAGGACGACGGATCTTTGAGATCCTCAGACAATTCCTCTGCCTTATCACAGCGAATTTCCAATCCCAAACCCTCGACAAGACTCCGATCGCAATACCCCGCCGATTCTCTCGAGAGCCATGTCGAGTACATCCTGGTTGCTTCGTTCGATATTGACCGCGGGTCGGTCATGGAACACCAATACCCAGGCCCGATCAGTGGAGATGAGACCATGCTAGCAGAGCTCATGTTGCCTGATCAAGCCCATGTGCGCAGCCAGGATTGGACCATTTTCTTTCTACATAAAGACACAACCACCGAGGAAGAGGAAAAGGAAGCCCGAAGAGAGCGAAGGAGGAAACGTAGACGCAGAAAGGAAGGGTTGGGGGAGGAAGATGATGCAACTGTTGGTGCTGAGGAGAACGACCAGGAAGAGGATGACGATTACGGCGACGATACGGACACGGATAGTGACGAGGGTGACGACGCCGATGGCCCACCTCTGGTCTACGTATTGAATTTGGTGAACACGAAGCAGGACAACACTGTAAAAAGGTACTGTCTCAATTGGCTTCAGACTGAACATTGACTAATTTGGCATAGAGGTGCTATCGTGAAAGCCATGGCGATCTGTACCCGACATTCCTTCCTCCATATCTACAAGCCGTTGTTGTTGCTGGCCCTCGAAGAATATTTCAGAGCGCCCATTCTGGAGACGCTGGCGTCTCTTTACGAAGCACTTAATGCCATGGATCTGTCTTTGCTCCCGAAATTATCGACTCTAGAGACGTTCGTCTTACAGGCAAGCGATGCAAAAGACATGTTCCTAGAGAAATTCCACCAGATGATAGAGCAGCGTAAGGCCAATGACGCAGAACGAGCTTCGTTACCATCGGCGATATCAAGCGCATCGGATCCCAAGAAGAAAGTGTACGCACCACCACGCGACACGCATGAGTTTGAATCCAAAGTCAATTACAATGGCATCCCTGTTCCAATCAAAGTCCCTACGGCTTTGAGCGCAGAGACTGTGGGCGATTTCTCGCTGATCAAGCTGATTCAAACCTTTTCGACGCCTCACTCGACACAACCTCAACCATTCGCGCTCCATGCACACCTGACAACTAGTGGTGCCTATACCCATCCAATCATTGTGCTTGTCAACGCCCTCTTGACTCAGAAGCGCATTATCTTCTTAGGGCATAACAGGCCTTCAAGTGAAGTCGCGGAAGCGGTCCTTGGAGCCTGCGCACTTGCATCAGGTGGATTGTTACGGGGTTTTGTGCGGCATGCCTTCCCATATACCGATCTAACCAAGATTGATGATCTGCTGAAAGTACCCGGCTTCATTGCCGGCGTTACCAATCCAGCATTTGCATTAAAACACGAATGGTGGGACGTGCTTTGTGATCTTCCGACTGGTCGGATCAAGATCAGCAACCGCATCGAGAGCGCACCGACCACTGACGGTCTCGTATACTTCCAGCAGCAAGGTATTCCAGTAACAAACGTGAACGGCTCGCAACCTGGATCCGAGAGCAAGAATGGTGTGGATACGACTGGAGATTCTCAATTCATGGAGGGGCTTCTACAAAGCATTGCAAATCGCCATGGAGAAAATGCCATTCGTGCAAAATGGCGATCATGGATTATGAAGTTCACGCGCATCGCTGCTGCCTTTGAGGAGACGGTGTATGGGGCTTCTGCGCTCTACATTGGCTCGCACGAAACGGATGTAGGAGCATATGGAGTCTCAGGGCATGGCTTCGTATGGCCAGATGAAGGTTCACGGTTGAGGGAATTGGCAGCAAATGTACACAGGGTCGAAGGATGGAGGAGTACACGCTCGTACTACAGCTTTGTTCAAGATCTTGCGAGACGGTGGGACAAGCGACCCGTGCGAGGTATTGACCTTCACCACCAGCACGATCGCTTACGTTGCCTCAAGCTTTCGCACGAGCAGAGTGCTGCCATCTACCTCGCTCTAGCTCGCGCCGTCGAAGAAGCTGGCACGCCGAATCCATCGAGTTCGGACGTAGATCTACCCTCAGCAGCATCGCAGTCGCTGACAATCGCGAACGATCCCGACCGTAAACCAGGGGAACAACTACAGTACGACACAATCCTTCAGCTGCTTTCTGTGGTTCCCGAAAGCAATAGCGGTCTCTTCTACTTAGCGCTGGGATTATTCCATCCAAGACAAGATGTGCGCATTGCTGTCGTTGGACTGTTGGAGAGGATCATGGAACATCCTGCTGGACGTCACTTCTGGGCTACGCTGGGCAGATTCGCCAAACTTGCATTCTTTAGAGTCAAGAGGGAGGAGGTAGGTCATTTAAAATGATGGAGAAAGGAGACGTCGTTATGTTTTTATGTGTCATGCCACATCTCGCATTTATTGTTTAGGAGCATCGGCATTTATATGAGCGCTTGTTGTTAGCGAAGTATTGCCTGGAAAGATATCGATCATCAGGATGCAATGAAGCCTTCCCACTACCGACGTCTCTTGACCAACTTGCACGAGCATCTTTCTTGATGATTATTCATGGATATTCGCTTTTGATCACGCATAGGGAAAGGGGTGGGCAAGTATGTTTTTGGTTATCGTAACTTCGTTACTGTTGATTTGGGGTATCTACTCGCAACACAAAACTAACAATATCGCACCAGTGAAAAGAAAAAAAAGTATTAACATGGAGCCGCAGGGGGGAAAACCGAAATGTCCAACGCCATTATATCCCGTAATTCCAAAGAGCAAATTACACGATTAGCCAGTAACGATCCTCCAAAACGCCTCTAGATGGTAGGTAGGAAACCAACAAACAGAAGACGAACAAGAAAACCCATGACTCCATCAAACAAAGAAAAATTCCTCACCACCTGGATCCTTTGAGTGGCCTCCACTCGTCAGTCTTCGTCCTCTTAATCCTCCTGAACTGCTCAGTCTTCTCCTCGAACCTGGGCTCGTCCCAGAAATCATCGCCCATGACCCTCGACCTCTCCTTCCTCTGCCAATCGACGCCAACCCACTTCTCCTTTGTCCTGAACAACTCGCCGGGCCAGTGCATCATCTTGCTGGAGTTGGAGCGCGAGAGGCTCGGGCGGCTGAATGTAGCCTTGACCTTCAAGCGGAACTCTCGCTCGCGGTTGCGCTCGTCATCGTCGTCGCTGTCCCTAGCTGGCGACGAAGAGCGGTACTTGTGGCTGGTGTACTTGTAGCGGTGACGGTGGTTATGTTCGTGCAGATCCTCGTAGTCATTGTCGCTGTCGTAGCGGCGGTGGCTGTCGTTGTGCGCGTGCTTGGACGGTGACCAGATGTTGTACTTCTCGATCTGGTTCGGTGCGCGGATCGTCAGGGCACGTGAGGTTGTGTTTGGGATGTTGTTGTATGGGTAGTCGTCAAACTCGTCGTCATCGTACATGTCAAGGCGCTGACGCTTGGAGTTCTGGCGGACGAGTGTACGGTTGAAGAGGGAATCGTCGTAGAGCGGGCGCTCACGCTCACGCTCGTGGGTGTGGTTGTAGCGAACGTAGGGCATCGTGAATGGTCCTGATTGGCTGCTCGCTTATTCGATGGTTGGGAACTGGGTGAATTGGGGATTTATCGGACTATGTACGATAAAGCACAAAGTGGATGTTTGTGTATTTGGGATGTGCAGTAGTTGTTGTTGTTGTATGTTGATTCTGATGGATGAGGGGAATAGGAAGATGAATAAAGATGTCTATAGGATTTATAGAGATTGAACACCTGGTGTTTCACTTGCCTTGAGAACAGACAGACACCTTTGTCCTAAGCTTTCCATGACCCAAAAAGGCTTCGCCTCGTGAGTGCATGACGTTTAAATCCAACATCACTGGTCAAAGCCACAAACTGTGGCTGGTTTGCTGTGGCTGAAGACCTGTGATTGGCCACGGTCGCATCCGATGCCTGAAAGGGAAGGGTGGGATGCCTTAAGATGGCACTGAAGGGTGACAAACCCATGAGGCTGTGAAAGCGCTTCTGCTCGCCGGTGATATCACGACCTTGTGACAAACCGGCGGGGTCATGAAGGACGGTTCATGCAAGCTGAAAGTCTGCCGCCACTACAAGGCAATGATGGTAGAATGACTGGATACGAGAGCTTTCGGCCCCTTGATGCACACCACTCGGCTTCGCAAGCGCGAATCGCCCGCAATGCAGGTACACAGTCAAGGAACAGTGAGTTGATGCCTTCGCGGATGTGCATCTTTTCTTTCAAAGATGGCTGCGACCGCGCCGGTCAAGTGCAAATTTTTCGCTGTTGTCTCACACAACTATGGTGGGTGACGAGGCCTGGAATCATGTGCCTCAGTTACCGGCCACCGTCAAAAACTATTCTCGCTCCTGACCCATGTGCCAGGCCCACAAGGAGGAGTCAACTGTAGTGTAGTGTAGGTAGAAGGGCGCGATGAAAGGCGCAACAAGCTTCTCGGGAACACAAAGCCTGTCCATCGACTCTCCAAAGAGCGTGTAAGGTGTCGGGCTGCCAGGTTTTCTCCCCACCAAACTTGACATTATGGGTGCCAGGCAGTTGATTACGAACGCGCGCCTTTCGAGGTATAATTTCTAGGACTTCCCAGGAGGGTGATCACTATAGGCATCCTTCAAAAAATTTGATTGTGGAGGCTGTGATGTTTGGTGGTATATTGGTATTGCTTTGTCAACCTGAAACATCTCTTCGCAAACAAACATTCAGGCCTCCGCACTCCAGTTTGCCACATGAGAGGGTAAGAAAGAGGCAAGAATGGATGTCACTCATTCTGCCTTGTCCAGATCATGTTGCGCAAGTGTAACTGTTCAACCAGAGGAGGATGTTGACACATTAGCCTTGACGTTGTGGAACACGTGGATCGGAGAAGAGCGTACGTCGCTGGTGTATTTTGTGGAAAAGAAAAGATGGAGAGGTGACTTGAATGATGACTGAAGGGAACTGCGCGGACAAGGAGACGAGAACTGGAATACTTGAGCCTCTTCACCACTATTTCTTGTGCATTAAGGGAAACTGCCTTCCGATCTCAACTGAACTGACTCTAGTTGAACTACTCGGGGCTTGTCAATTAGACATAAGCTTCTCGGCTCCGACGTTTCGATGTGATGATTTTGAGAATTGTCAACGTACTGGGCATCGAACGCCCAGTATATTGTTAGGTACCTCGTGTCTTTTTCGACGCCTGCGGTAGTTATGCCAGCACATCCGGGTGCATAATGGAATTGCGTTCGGGTAGCGGAGCGTACCAACCAGAGAAATTTGTATCATGTCACACCCAGGCGGACCACAACAGACCTTGTACACAGTAGACAGATTCTTGGTTTCATCTTGGTGAGGGGTTAGGAGGTGGAGAGTTGATGAAAAGGGTAATGCGTGCGAAACTTCAGGTGCAAGGCATGGCACTAGACATGCCTCGGCTTCGTCTCGTCTCACGGTGACCTGATTGGAGATTCATAATTCTCTCCTCTCCACTCAAACATCAGACATCTCCTCATTTAATTGATTGAGGACAACAGACTTCATCTGTCTGTTGCAAAGACTTGAATCGTTGGTACTTAATTTGATCCGTACCCACCGGATCTGTGCATATCCTCAGTAGAAATGCAATGTAAGTTTATCGTGTCAGCCACTTTACACCAGCTATATCCCCACAAACCCATCTTTTGTGGGTCTCAGCCTTATCCAGCATTTGCAAGCCTTACTCCGTCGCAATGTCGCAGCAATTCAGCTGTGTTAGATTTGGATTAGGGCTCAAAACAATTGCTGATACCATCCCCTAGCTCTATCCTACGCTATCCCAGCTGCTGCTGCTGGATTGGCCTATCTCAATGCGCGCCATGCACTGAGATATGACTGGAACATCATCTCTAATTTGACTGCTATGAATATAGCTGGGTTTTTTCATGAACGTCGGGGCAATCTCAATCTCTTCTATGTGCTCGAGAAGCATGCACAATCCAGTCGAGGAAACCATCCTTGGCTGATCTTCAACGGACGCAGTTGGACATATAGGGAGGGATATGATGTTGTCCTCAAATATGGAACTTGGTTCAAGAGCAAGGGTGTACAAAGTGAGGAAATCGTCGCTATGGATTTTGTCAATTCGGATACGTTCATATGGGTTTGGTTCGGCCTCTGGAGCATTGGCGCTAAACCGGCATTTATCAACTACAATCTTACCGAAGCACCACTCATCCATACCATCAAAACATCGAATGCGAGACTCGTCCTGGTAGATGAGAACGGACGGGGCAAATTCTCACGGGAGATATTGGAAGCCCACGGCTTTAAATCCCGGCCAGCCGAAGTGTCCGATCTCCATGGCAGTCCGGCCAAGTACTCTTATCAGCCCGAGGGTTCCCAAGAACGCGAGATCGAAATCATATCATTCGACAAGAATCTGGGTGACCACATTCTTTCTCTTGAACCTATCCGGCAACCGGACTCCGAGCGTGGAGACCAGAAAAGAAAGAACATGGCCATGTTGATCTACACATCTGGAACCACCGGGCTGCCCAAACCGGCTGTCATGGCGTGGGGCAAGGCAAACCTCGGTGCAAGATTCGTTGCAGGCTTCATTCCCCTGAAGAAAACGGACATCATGTACACTTCCATGCCTCTGTATCATTCATCTGCGGCCGTGCTTTGCGTATGTGCGTCATTGCAAGCAGGCAGCACCGTAGCACTTGGTACGAAGTTCAGTCATAAGAAGTTCTGGCCAGAAGTCCGCGATTCCAAGGCGACAATCATCCAGTATGTTGGCGAAACCTTGCGCTACCTGCTCTCTGCGCCAAAGAGTATCCACGACAAGGATCATAACGTGCGCCTCGCATTCGGCAATGGTCTGCGCCCAGATGTCTGGGAGCCATTCAAGGAGAGGTTCGGAGTCGAAACGGTCTTGGAGATTTACGCTGCTACCGAAAGCCCAAGCGGATTTTGGAATAAATCTTCGAATACGTTTAGCTCTGGTGCTATAGGGCGCAATGGAACGGTTGCTGCTCTACTCATGGGGGCAAGCCTTGCGCTTGTAAGGATGGATCCGAATGCAGAGACTCCAGAGCCCTTGCGAGACCCAGACACGGGCCTTTGTCAACTTGCAGATAATGACGAGCCCGGCGAACTGATGTACAAGCTGGACCCAGCTGACATTTCTCAAAAGTTCCAAGGTTACTACGGCAATGATAAAGCGACAAACTCGAAGATTGCGAGAGACATTAGAGTGAAGGGAGATGCGTACTTCCGGACCGGTGACCTGCTCAGACGGGATGCGGAGAACAGGTGGTGGTGGGTCGACCGTTTGGGGGACACTTTCCGCTGGAAGTCAGAGAACGTTAGTACCGCTGAGGTTGCTGGCATCGTGGGTACTCACGGTGCAATTGACGAAGCGAATGTATACGGAGTCCTGGTACCGCGACATGACGGACGCGCAGGCTGCGCGGCTGTTGTGATCAAAGATGGCATCCCCAGCCCTGATACTATGCGAAGCCTTGCAGAGCATGTGAAAAAGTCACTGCCTTCTTTCGCGGTGCCGCTATTCATTAGAGTCACTAAGGCGATGCATACAACCGGAACTAACAAGCAACAGAAACATCTCCTCCAAAAGGATGGTATTGATGTGGATGCTATTGCTGGAACTGGTGATTCCCTGTACTGGTTGAGAGATGGATCGTATGTGCCGTTCACGCCAAACGACCTCGAGAGCATTCAAGGAGGTGGGGTCAAGTTGTGATCTGGCAAATTCTCCATGTGTATAGTTTCTTGCATGATAGCGTGTTATCCAATCGTTGGGCGTTTGGCGCTGCTACGCCGTTTTCTTGGATCCATCCATCTTTATCGCGTGCCCTTGCAGAATGTCGGAGTTAACGGTGCAGTTTGGAATTTGCCGATTCGGAGGAGCTCAAGGTAAGGCAGCAATGTGTTTCAGCCAGAGCGTAATACTGAATTTGATGGATCGCACATGGAAATGTGCTGGATGTTGTACTTGTACTGGCTCGGATGCGAATGCGAGAGCCGACATGTCCGACTGCAAGTACTGTGCAGTGTGTGTACATAGTCGTTGCTCGTACTCGGGATAAGGCTGAAAATCTCACGAATGAGCGAAACCCCTTCTTTTAATGTACAAGTAGGCACCGAAACTTAAGCGCAAGGGTTTTTTGTGCGAAGCATTCCTTGTTGATGCTTAGTTGCACTCTGGAGTAAGCCACATGGTGCCCAATGTTGACGATTTACAAGGTATCTCACACGATACTGCGTATGTACAGGAGTTGTTGAAGGCAGCCCGTTGCTCGGCTCGCGCTTTCACTAACGCCGACCAGGCCGTGCTCTAGGCTGAACGTCCACGATCTTTCATCGCCGTCGAATCATTTGCTTTCGCTTAACCTACTTGTAAGATGGGATCAAGGCGAAGTAACTATTTATGTGCGAAAGGGGTCCTCGCAGACAATCGGTGTATTCGTGTCGCACAATGTTAACGCCGAAGATATTAGGATCGTATTGAGTAGGGCGTTTCGTACACAGTTTATATAAGAACTAGAACATGCCCCCCTAGCAGAATCAGATAAGAGTTCGACAATCATAATATTATCTCAGGTCAGGACTTCGACTTGAATTAAAGTCTTTTACAGCTTCCCTCCTTTGCGTTTCGTTTCACTTGTTCTCCCCACTCTGCGTCACTCCTCGCCTGCCATGGCAAACCCTACGAGCTCTGCGCCGTCCTTCGAAGACTCCATACAATATAAGGCAGGGAGCGAAATGGAACAAAGCGATTTGGAACAACAGGTGGCCATGCCGGAGAAGAATGGAGATTTAGAGGAGAAGCCAGCACCGGAAGTTATCAGCCCATATCATCCCAGTCAATTCCCTGATGGGGGCCGCGCCGCATGGCTTTGCCTTCTAGGAGTATGTTTATTCATTGGATACTGTATACCATGAACTACTCGCTAACTTGCACCGTAGTCCTTTTGCTGCTTGTTCTGTTCATTCGGATGGATCAACTGCGTGGGCGTCTGGCAAAACTACTACCAGACTCACCAACTTCGCGAATACTCCCCCAGCACCGTCGCCTGGATATCCTCGTGTGAGATCTTCGTCATGTTCGTTCCCGGTCCGATCGTCGGTTTCGTCTTCGACAACTACGGTCCTAAGCCATTACTCTTTTTCGGGACTTTCTTCCATGTTTTCGGAATCATGATGACAAGCCTTTGCACAGAGTACTGGCATTTCATCTTAGCTCAGGGAATCTGTTCTCCTTTAGGACTCAACTGTATCTTCAATGCTGGAACTAATACCATCACCACTTGGTTCTTCAAAAAGAGGGGTGCAGCGTTCGGCATGATGGCTGCTGGGTCGGGATTGGGTGGCATCATCTTCCCAATTATGGTTTCTCATCTGATTCCAAAAGTGGGTTTTGGCTGGGCCATGAGAATCTGCGCTTTCTTGATCCTTGGTCTGCTCATTATCGCCATTCTAACTGTCACGTCCCGTCTTCCACCAAGACCTCGAGCGTTCGAACTGAGAGTTTTCGCGGAACCCTTCAAAGACCTCCGTTTCAATCTAATTGCGGTCTCATCTTTCTTCTTCTTCCTTGGACTGTTCATTCCCATCAACTTCATCGAAGTGCAAGCTATGGCAAATGGAATGTCGTCCTATCTGGCTAGCTACCTCCTAGCCGTGCTCAACGCTGGAAGGTATGTATATCCTTGCTTGATGCTTGATGATTCGTTTCGCTAACCTGACTCCAGTATCTTTGGTCGAATCATTCCAGGTATACTTGCAGACAAATTCGGCCGCTTCAACATGCAACTCATCATGGCCTTCTTTGCTTCTATTATCGTTCTGGGCCTTGCCCTTCCCGCTTCGTCCAACCCCGCGTTCATCGTATTCGCAGCCCTTTATGGCTTCGCATCTGGTGCCTACGTCTCACTCGCCCCCGCCCAAATGGCATACATCTCCAAGGTAGAAGAGATCGGCATTCGCCTTGGCGTGATGTTCTCCTGTGTGTCCTTCGCTGGATTGGCTGGTTCTCCCATCGCAGGAGCGATCCTGGCCGCTGACAATGGAAGCTTCACTGGCTTGAACGTTTTTGCTGGAGTAATGATGATAACTGGCGCTATTCTCTTCACTTTGACCAGAATGTATCTTGCAAACTGGAAGGTGATAATGAGAATCTAAAAGTTTTCCTTCTTCTCCCAAGATCTTTTCTTTTTGTTAGGTAGATTCTCACCTCTTTAGTCTTTGTAATCTATATACTTATTAGACCTAGCAATACAGCTTCTTGATGGTCGCTGCCTCTGGCCGCCGCTTGTAACCTACCTGCCCACTGCAGCTCTTCGGCTGACGATGATGTGTCTCGTCGTAGCAGACGTCTTCTCAGCGTCATTGTAGCCAACGTTGTTGCCCACAAATCTCCTCGTGCCTGAAGAATGTGGCACCCGCTTCGCAACCTTCGATCAAGGGCTGAGCGTCTTCGCCATAAGGGCAAGATTTGACTATGGCTGCAACCGCCTCATTCCTAGCAGCAGTTCACAGCATCAAAATCGGCATTACCACCATGGGCATGGTTCGCCTAAGCTCTATTTATCATGTAATCAATTCCTTGAATCTTAACACCCACACGATGGAGTGATCGACGCACACACCTGAGTAAGAGACTTCAACGGCAAGCAACGATGGTAATTGACAGACTTTGGGTCTCACACCTTAGTGAATGTTTGATTTCGAGCAAGAACAAGAACAAGGTTCGGCAACTTTACGTATCGTTTGCCCTCTACCATCGCAACGGAAACTGCCAGCGTGTGACACTGACCAATTTGCACATTCTCATCAGCCGTAACGGCGAGCTGCCTGACGATGAAGAGCTTGACCAATGATTGCCCAGAGTAGGCGCTGAATAGATTATTAGCGATGCTCCTTGGATGGAAAAAGCAAAACCCACCTCGTCGGGATTCCCACTTGATCCGAAGCCGTTCTGCGCATGGTCTAACAGTCTCGTTCGGAGGCCAGGACGGGCTGCGAAGTAAATCGTTTTTTCTGTTCCATCGGTGGTTTTTACGACTAGTATCGCGTGGCCATTGTTGTGGATGGTTACTGCGTACCTATCCAGGTATGGTTTTTGGCAAGTCCCGGACTGTGTATGCCCTTCGTTGATGAACCCCAAAACGCAAACGCGCATACCTTGGCATGCTGTGCCACCGTTGGCGATGCGATGCGATTGTTTGTCAACTTCGCTCAAAGACGCTGCTCTTTCCGCCATGAAATTTTGCTCATCATCCTTTCGCGATCATCCAGCTGACTCTCAATAGCCTCAGGCCTCAACCCTGAGTCCTTGCGCACTATTGCTTTCATTCAATACGCTCCTCTAGCCGACGGTATCTCTTCACAGACCATGCAATCCCCGTCTTCCCCTCTCGCCACCACTGGACCAAGGGCGAAGGAGGACGCCGGGGTTTCCAGCAACGTACCAAACGGAACTTCGCTCCCTGATGGCGTAAAGAACCACGATCCCTCGACCCACGAAGGCCCTCGACGCGACTCGGGTACTGTCGAGGATTGCTCATTGAATGCAATCGTGGCTGCCGCTGAATTTATTGAAAAAAATTCGGCTGACGATAGTGGCCAACGCTCGTCGTCCAGTAGAAATGGCACTGCCCTGAAGCGGAAACTATCTTCGTATGAACCGGAAGACTTGCAGGAACAGTCCAGCGACCAAATTCTTACCAAGGAAGTACTAGGACCTTGGTTGACGAACCTCATCCAAAGTGCAAGGGAGCTTACCAATCGGCCACACGGCAGCACTCTCACAATGAGTCCTAGTCTTGACAAGACAAAACAAACTACCAGGAAGAGGTTTCCTGATCACGGGATGAGAGAAATTCTCCCTGGCCTAGTTCTTGGAGACATGCCAGCCTCAATATGCCCAGAAATGCTCCGAGAATATCATATCAATAGTATCGTTTCGCTCTGCCATGAGCAACGTGGTTGGAGATCAGCAATGATAAGAGCAGAGAAGCCACCTGACCGTAATATATTTATCCAATGTCAAAACTCATTGACTCTGGACCTCCTGGTTTACATGAGCGATATCTGCGACTTTATCGATCAAATGGCCCCTCCAGCCTTGCAGCTATCCCCCTGTCCATTTTTTTCCGCTCTACCGCCCTCACATTCGATACTAGTGCATTGTGAAGCTGGACGATCGCGTTCGCCATGCATCATTCTTGCTTATCTCATGCGAAAGTACTCCATGAGTTACAAAGATGCTGTAGGGTTTACCGAAATAAAGCAAAAAGTTGAGCCAGAAAATCCCAACCTTGCGCGACAACTTCAAATCTGGGAGGAGGTCGGGTACAACGTATGGGAGGATGAGAAGAGAACGATCCCCAAAGCGCCGTATCAAGAATATCTAGATGATCGAGCGCGCTTACTGAACGGGGAACCGGACCTAGACGCAGTTAGAAATGCCTTAAACGCTCGACACTCGCCCTATCCGATCGGGCCAAAGTTTGAGCCACCATATTGCTGCAAAATGGACTACGATTGCTCCTGCAAAAAGTTACGAAGACGCCTAATGGTAGGCAGGACATAACGTCCCAATCCTCTCTCCTGTCACTGTTGTAAATTGCTGCGGTGACTTCTGCTAGAAGCTGCCCCATCACTCGTCAAGTGTTTGAACATTATTAGCATGGAAGGTGTTCCAGGTACCGTATCAGGTTTTGCTGTCATGTTTTGCATCATCATAAGAAATACAACAATTATTAGGCGGATGTTTTTTTTTGCTGATCTCGATGTCCTCGGTGACAAATTGCAAACAGCGCTGACCAATGTATCCCGCATCCGCCATTTCAGCGAGGAGAGTCGTGATAACAGTCCATGCTATCTTTAGTTTAAAACAGACGCATAGCCCTACGTTTGTCTCAGCTTTCATTTTATCCCCTGTTAAATCCTCTGAAATCTTCGCGCTATTGGACTGCCCGAGGCCGAACCTCCTGTGTCCGGATTCGGTTAGCGTACGTTAGCTGATTCATGGTGAAAATCCGTCGTACATTGCTTCGTACATCAACTCCGCTTCAACCCACCCGTCTGAGTCCTCTCGCAGTCCTCGCGTTCCTTGGACTGACTGTTACATGGCAGGTTAAGTGACTGATTGCCAGAGTCAAGAGTATACAAATCCTCCTAACCAAACCACCCACACGGGACCATGACCCTACATGCCGCCTTGTAGCTTGGACAGCCAGCGACAGCACATTACTGCAACCACTGAAAAGCTTCGTGGGATCTAATGCACTTGGTACGAGCGACATACGATAATTAAAAACAATTACCCAATCGTTGTACGCTTGGAATCGTACGCAGAGAATTTGGATCCTAGATTGGCACTTTAGGCCCATCAACACTATGCCCAAAGCACGCTCTACTTGCACGCGGTGTAGCCAACGTCGGCAAAAGTGCAATAGGGAGACGCCCTGCTCAAGGTAGGTAGAAACATGATCAGAATTCAGATGAGGCATGTGAATTCGAAGGAGACGCTGACCCTGTGCCCCCAGATGCGTGAAGAACAATGAGGCACACCTCTGCACCACAGAGTGGCGCCATGGATACGATCCAAGTGTCCATCGCAAGTACCCAAGGAAGAGTACACCTTCTGTTTCGGGATCTGCTACAGGCAATAATGAATCTGATATGCTTGACCCAGTTGGCCAGGATCTGCCAATCAATCCCATCAACGATCAGGGTGTGGCGGCCCATAACCGACTCCAGTCCACCGTTGACCGGACTCGTCTGCATCCCCACTCCACAAGTTCTAATCAATCTCAAGATGTCACACCAGCACCTGCTGAGAACATTGACTTCATTACCTTTGGAAGATCGGAATTCACGGACATAAGCATCGCGTCACTACTCACCTCTAAAGGTTCATATGTTCGACATAAGGCACTGATGGAACAGGCTTTGGGCCAAGATCAGGGCCCCGGCAAACAAGCTGATGTAGATGGACTGGTTGGAGGATTCTCTCCAGCCGCTCGGGCTGTTGAGGCATATCACATCCAGTCATTAGTACCTGCTAAAGAGCAGGTGCTGCAAATGGTCAAGTATCATGAGGATTATATGTATGTTCCCTTAGCTGTACTGTGTACATGCACTCCCGTGCCTGGTAGTCATCAGTCCACTGGTGGTCGAGATGCTGTACATGATATACCAGTGACGACTTGTGATTCTAACGTTTGTCTGTAGGCTCTACTGGACCGGCGGGATCTACCACGGCCCCAACTTCTATAAGAGTGTACTCGCTGCATACGGACAGTCAAACACTATGAATCTCTCAAGCCTAGATTGGCGATGGACGGCTTTACTTTTCTCTATCATGACATCTACTATCATTGCATGTCCAGATAGAATATCCGCTACATGGGGCTATCCTTCCCATGAGAAGCTTCGGCTGGCGAAACAGTGGGGTAATGCTACCATAGCGTGCCTCAATCTGGGCGATTATGCCTCAAAACATCACATCTATTCTGTACAAGCAATCATTAACATGCATTGCTCGGAGCATCTCATCGGAGCAACGAAGGAGTGGGCAGTCTATCAAAGCGGTGCCGTCACCATCGCGAGAGGACTGAATCTGCACAGGTATGTCGAATGGATTTCACTAGAGTATGAGATCTGATCCGCCTAGACTTGGCCCGCATCCCGATGATAACAAGCGCAACTTGACGCCAGAGCAGAAGGAATCACTATTGCAACGCGAAATGGGTCGCCGGATCTGGTGTTCGCTCGTGTCTCAGGATTGGATATGCTCAACCTCGCAAGGCTATTACACCATTCAGCAGAAGCACTTTACGTCGACAAACCCGAGGCATTACAACGACGACACCATGGAGCCTATCCTGAACGGTGATCCCCCTGTCCCGACTCATGTTAATGTCATGCTGAACGAAGTGTCTCGTGTCATCATTCAGCACCAAGATGATATGCTTGCGGCGCCGGATCAAGCAAGCCGATACAGGGTTGTTCTAGAGTACGATGGCAAATTGAGGGCCTTGCTCACTGGTCAGACTCCATACTCAATCTCGAGACGCACACCGATAAAGCCGACGTGGCCCAAATGGGTCGCCTGGGCCAGGAGGCTTCACCGTGCATCCATTAGCCACAAGCTGATCATGGTTCACCAAGCCTTCCTGAACCCGAGCTTCAAATCACCACAATATACATATTCGCGCTGGGCATGTGCTACAGCTGCGAAGCAAGTCATCGAAGAGATGACGGTCGAACGTGACCCTGAAGAGCCACAGTGGTGGGTTGAACACGTACGTCCAAGTGCCTAGAGATTCATTCCCCACGCTAACTGGTGTTTAGGCATTTGTAGTGACAGCTGGTATATGTTTGGCTCTCGACGTCTTCCACCGACCTGACACCGATTCTGAAGTCGGAGATTATCTGTCTTGGGTCGAGAGGGCCAGCAAGAGCCTAGAGCAATGGCCGAACAGCTCCGTTGCCGTCCATGGCATTCGCCTCTTGACATCTCTCGTACAGGAGTACCACAAGAAAACCGAAGCATCTAGGCCCCATCGTCCGGCCTCAAATTCATATCAACCCTTGCCTCACGTCGTACCGTCTGCACCCGTTCAACCAGTGGCCACCGAATCGGCACAAATGCCGACGCCTGATACTGAAGGCAGTTTACCCACCGATGGTTGGGCGATACCTTCCGTCACGGACATCGACATGGAAGGATTCGAGGACCTCATGGACACGCTGCCTCTTGAGGCCGGCATAGACAACAATCTGTTCTTCGAAAGCATGCAGTCTCTGACGAACACTTATGCTTTGTAACCATCACACCAGGTTGTGCAGATTCCTCCTGACTTCCTCGGTCCGTCCAGGCATTGGACAAGATGAGGACCACGCTTTAACATCTCCACTAAACATACATACCAGCGAGGACTCTATGATCATTATCGGTGACACTTCCACTATGGTCATTTGATGATCCCTCACAAGTGGTAATGAGAGACGAATATTATTCCAAGAGAGGAAACACCGTCAACACTGAAAGTGTCCGGATATTCTCAAGCGCCACAACGCCTACAAACCGTCGAATATTACACCGGAAGAGCCAACACCAATCGCTGAATCCGTTTGTATATGCTCTGTACTTGTATACTATGTAATCGTTCCAGATTGGACTTCCTCACACCGGTCACGTCGTTATTTGTTTGTCATAAAGTGTATAACAGTGTACATTAATTAGAAACGACATGTAATGAAACCAACGTAATGATTTAAGACTTAAACCACCGACTACAAGTCCTCTATGTGAAAAATACAACCTCAGTGTTCCTTGAACAAATGTTGTGTCTGCGCGACACCACGTGACTTCGCGATAGTTCGCAAGAAACGAAAAAAAACGGATCCGCCGCGGAGAGTAATGTCCCGCGTTCTCCCACCTCCTCCACTTCCGGCGCGAAACACTCGACCATGAGAGAACATTCGACACGATCGCATGAACCGATTACCGCCGCACCTGGCCTGAGAATGCCAAGCGAATGCCAGGATGTCCTTATTCGGCGGTGATACCTCCAGGTCCGCTTCACCATACGAAAGCTCCAGATCCGAATCTCTGGTACCGCCAGAGTCGTCGCCGCCGCCGCGTCGAGTTGTGCTGTCCCCGCCTAGCGGCCAGACGTCGCAGCAAGATGCGCAGTACGATCCCACGCTGTACTCGAATACCTTCGCGGACGAGATAGGCGACGATCTAGAGGATCTTGACTACGAAGATGACGATAACGAACGCAATGATCACAGCGATGACGACAGCGACGACGACAACGAAAGTCACAGAGTCCAACGGCGGAACCGGTTCAAGGGAAACCCGTCGACGTGGAGGAAGCACACGGAAGACGCGAGACAGATAGCAGCGTCGTTGGACAGAATCCAAGCGGCGGACCTATCGGCACATCTTTACAATGCGCATGCACTCAAGTCATGGGCGAGATTGCCGGATCAGCGCCTCAAGGATGTGAAGGAATGGCACCAGAAAGAATCGTGGATTAAGAAGGGGAAGGCATTGGAATTCACAGATGCGGCTGGAGAGAGGCAGATTGAGGTCGTTCCTAGGAAGCGATGGACCGCTTGGCCTCTGGCACCGCATAGGATGGACGAGAGTTCCAATCGTGCAGGGTTAGGGCTGGAGCAGGATGACTCGGGTGCTGCGGCTGGAGACGAACTCAGAGAGGAGATGCTCGCAACATTCTTGCGGATCGCTAAAGAGAACTGGGTCCGCAGGAATCAAGCGCATCTATCGTCCATTGTGGACACTGCTGAGGGTGGTTCCAGCAAGCTTGCCAATCGGTTGAAGAGACTGCGATCGGAGGAATCGATGTCTACTGAAGCGTACGATACTGCAGCTACGGACTCAGATGTCGAGATGCCCGATAACAACACCCCCCAAGACGACAAGGACCGCATCGAAGGCGACCCAGATACGGCGACAGCAACAGCGAGCGGTAACAAACGCCGTGGTCCAAAGCAACAACAACGGTCCGTCCGCGCAGCCATACTAGCCGACGACGATAAAGCCCGTCGGCTGCTCAACTCGACCATCAACTACACGCTGACCCGCTTAGACGGCGTCGCCGCGGCCATTCGCCGCTCACGAATGAACCACTTCGGAAGAGGAGCCTACTCAGACACGTCCGGGAGCGAATTCACCTCGGACGCAGAGTCCACAGCCGCAGAGTCAGACCGACGACGATCATCAAGCCGGACGAGATCGAAATCAACCACGAAACCCAACAAGCCACGCTCGCAGAAAAAGCTCCCTCGAAAAGAAGCCGCCACCAACGACTCCCCCTCCCCCTCCTCCTCCTCCGCCGCCGCCCCCTCTGACACCGAACAAACCCAATCCCACCCTCCCACCGACCTTGAATCCAAGGAGCGGACACCTCGCACCACCAACCCCCCCTACCACCGCCCCCACCGCGGCAGCAGCACCGAATCCTCCCTCCCACCGGGCGGCGGCGACGCCCCCTCAGGAGGCCAAGCAGGCCTCATGGACTGGAGCGAAGTCCTCGCCACGGCATCGATGACCGGGGGCTGGCCCGCCGGCGCCCTGTCCCGCACCGCGCAGCGCTGCGCCGCCCTCTTCGGAGAAACCATTTCCTTCCGCGTCTTTGACGAAGGCCTCCCGGCGTCAAAGCCTTTGCCTCCGCCTGTACGCTATACGCCCTCGACCATCGCCGCAGCGGATATGATCGCAGCCGTGGAGGCGCAGACACCGGCTAGGCGTCCGTACTTCGAGGCCGGGACCCTGCGGTGTCCGCATGTTGACTGTCGCGCACACGAGAAGGATCACGATATCCCGTATCGTGTTGTTGAGCACGTGAAGAGGGCCCACGGGTACGATCCGAGGACGAATGACTCGGACAATGAAGATAGGAAGGTTGGTGGGGTGCACAAGGATGGGTTTTTGCAGCCCATCACGCTAAAGAGGGGATGGTTGAGTTCAGGGAAGGCGAAGGCGAAGGATGGTGTCGAGGAGGCTTCTGTAAGGCGGACAAGGAGTGGAGGTGGGAACGGGAAAGCTGAGGCCGACGCAGAGGATTGAGGTTGGGAGCTAAGTTTTCAGAGATGCTGCTGCTGCTGCTGAATGACGGTATTGGCCGGGAAACTTACAACGAACAGGTTGATAGATTCATCGAGGTCATTGACTTTTACACGATTACACAACAATTTCATGAATGAGGATGAGAGTTCAATGTCTGCTGTACAGCTTTTTCTGGCATTACTACTTTATGTATGGTGTAAATTACAACCATGGGATCATCGACAGCTCGAGTACATTCTCCTACGCTGCTGTCGCTTTGACATGGTCCCCGGACCAAGTAACAATTAAATACCAAGATATGCACAAACGCCTTGCCTTGGGAGTATAGTGATGGATGGAATAATCAGAGTGAGAAGGAATGCGACAATCATCACTTTTTCTCATCATTTTTGAGGTTCATTCAATTTAGGCCGAGCTTCATCGATTGCGAGGATATGCACTCCAGGAGAGTTGACTAGCCCCTGCATCGCTTCTTGAGAAATATTGAGCGTGGTATTTAGGCACCATCGTCATCACCAAGACGAAGAGCACCCTCGCGGCTAAGGCCGTGAGCCCAGAAGCCACCAAGTTCAACATTGGTCTCAGGAATCTTAGCGTGGGTGATGAGGAGCCAAAGGCCAAAAATGGGCTTGGCCAGGATGTCGAGTACAGCGTAGGCGATGATCTCGCCGTCAACGGAGAGGGTGCGGGCACCGTCAGCAAAGCCCCAAACACTACATCGATGGTTAGTCTCGTGACAAAGATGGAAAGCAAGGTACATGGCACTCACATAGGGTAGGCAGTCCAGACAAGGATGGTGAAGCCACCGATGGCAAAGAAGAATTTGGCGACTTCGTTGCTCTTCGCTGCGGCTTGAGCACGGCCGTTGACAACAAGGTGCCAGATGACGACCAAGTAAGCGATGCAGGCAATGGTGTACCAGCCCCACTTCTGGGGGGTACCCTCCGAACCGAAGGCAGCGAAGAGACCAGTGAGGATCATGATGACATCGGCAACGATGGCCATGAGGATGTGGCCACCATTGAGACCAGCGAGCAAGCTGAGGTCAAGCAAGAGAAGAGGAGTGGTCAGGGCCCAATCGATGTAACGGGCATAGAAGACCTGGCGGTGGACCTCGGTCGTGGTGTCTGGGACATGCTCGTGGGAGTGACGGATCTTGATGACATTGAAGGAAGTTCCGTGGCCAGTTGCCATGGCGAAGTAGGAGATGGCGGCGAAAATGGTAATGAGAGTGGTGACGACATGGTAGAGGCGTTTAGACTAGGGCAAGACACTGTTAGAAGACGGTTGCTTCTCGAGGCAAAGAGCAGAGAGAAGAAGAGAGAGGGAGGAGAGGATTGGAGTGAACGTACGACGGGGACTCTCCAGGACCAGCCGGCGAAGACAGCAGAAGAGATGACCATGATGACGAAGACTACCCAGAGAGTAGTCTTGCCATTGTGGTGAGCCTCTTGGATCTCGGGGACATCTGGTAGAACGGAAGGGATCGGAGCTACATGTGTAGGAACAGCGGTGGGGATGAGATGGGCGCTGGTCTTCTTGAGGATCTCGGCGGGATCGATGATCATGATGGCGGTGCGGTGGGGGAGTGTATTGACGGTTGTATCAGAGGTTTAATTAAACAAGAAGAAAAAGTAGTGAACAAACTGGGAGTGAGGAAGTAATGGGGAAGTGGGCGGATGAGCAAGCTTTAAAGAGGAGGAGTAGTAGTAGTAGTAGTAGTAGTAGTAGTAGAGAGTAAAAGGGCAAGCACAAGGCAGCAGAAGTACCATGAGGAAGGTACGGAGTAGTCATGCATTCATTCATATGCACAATTGGGGGTTACCATCGCCATCGCCATTGCCAATCGCCAATGACGGCCTGCATCGCTCCTGCCGCAAGCTCCCAGGCGGGGTTAGCCAACCATTGTTTATGGATGACCTCATGGATATGTATGCGACCTTTCCCATCCTGTACTAGTCACGTTTTGGGGAGGGGGAAAGACCCAACCTCCAGCCTTCCACACATACACAACATTCTTCCACGCGGCCATTATTCTCTCCGACCAACGGATTTCATCGGGTTCCTTTTTCGTGCTTGTGTTTGGAATTTAAAACTGACGATTATAATTGCCCTGCTTCTATGACTAGAAATGATGAAAATACTGGATTGTTGTGCTGTGAGTACTCGTACTAGAGTTGTTTGCTGCTGCTACGAAGTACATACGAGTAGTGTGCATGTGGGGAGACGATTGGCGATTGGCGATGGGGGATGGAGATGGAGATGGAATGCATCGGCCCATGGCATTCTCCTAGAATCCCATCATCAGATGTGTACGTACTCGTATTGCATGTCCTCATCTGACTCTTCCTCTTTCCCCCGCTATAGTCAAGCTTAAGCGCGCCAATCATTCACCCTCATTCCACCCGATTCCAGGCCCTCAATGATCCATGCAATCCAAGTTCCATCCAAGTTCCAAGTTCCAGAGTTCTAGAGTTCAAACTTGATTAATCAAAGGAGGTCCATCACTTGACCTTCTCCATGTTACCCTCGTACTCGTAGGTGACTACTCCATACTTCGTATTGGCTTCTGTACTGGATTGGTGCACACAACTGAGCATGTATGTACCGTTGTCCTCGGCGATACTCCCTCCTCAGTAGCAGCGGGCGTCACTCTGAAGTGTTGGCTGAGAGTTTGGCGCCTTGAGCGGATTATTGTCGTGTCATAAACATAAACTACGTCGATCCCAAAAATCGCCGGTGTCTGGTGCCGTGGTAGAAGCGCTTATGAGGGGTACGAGTAGCCCGTCGAGACAACACCCTGCACGTGACTCATCTCGAGCTCTCGAAACGGCAACTGAATTGCTATCTAGGAACTAAGGAGCTCGTGTTCAGCCTACACAGTAAGTTGTATTCGAACATATACTCCACTGGCCATCATTGTCTTCCACTCTCATCATCCTTTTGCTTCTCTATCAAACATCCGCGAAAACCAACTCGTAGATCTTCGGACCTCAACAAAACACTTTCAGAATTCCTCCAGCGTGATGAAACTATTCTACCCCTCTATATCACTTCTTCCTCATAACAACTAATAAATGATCTGCCGAGTTCCTACACTCCATTCTATCAGCGCTCCTCATCACAACATCCACCCATGTCCTGCGTTCCCCATCCGTCAACTTCGCCAGCTCCTTCGCCACACCAAATCCCAGAAACCCTTCACAACTCACCACCCTCTCAACTTCTACTTTTCCTTCCACACCTCTCAAATCTTCATCCAAATTTTCCGGATACATATGATACATATCCATGTTCGTATTGCGCTCGTACTTCCCATGCTCCAAGTAGCGCGAATAGAACGCCCACTCGTTCGCCAGGCGCCCAGGCTCCCGGCGCGCAACGTCCCGCAGATGTGCATATACGGTCACAAACGCGGCCAGAATGTAGCCGCCGGGCTTTGCCAACACAATGCAATTCTCTAAAGCTTGTGTCCTGTCAGCATAGGAGGGAAGATGGTACATCGGTCCTAAGCAAAGCACGATATCGAACCGGGAGCAGGACGCCGACAGCGTCGGATGCAATGCAATGTCCAGCGCATTGGCGTGAATGAAGCCATCGAGCTCCACGCCGCTTTCCTTGGCCTTTGTGCGAGCTAGTTCGAGGTTCCCTGATGAGAGATCTGATAGCACGACTGTGTGTTCGGATCTTGCGAGATCGATTGCTTATACTCGAGTTAGCCACTTGGTCCCACTTTCTGGATTGGAAGAAGGGAAAAGAAGGTACCATAGCGCCCTGGTCCTCCGCCCACATCCAAAAACCTCCCTTTCTTGAGTCCCAGCTTCTCGGCGCAAGATTGGATAACATGCTTCGTGACCTCGAATTCTAACCACCCATCATCTAGACGACGGTTTTCAACATCGGAGTTCTCATCGTACCATCTCTCTGTACGGCTCTTTGCAGACATTTTCTTGATCTAGTCTTCTTTTTTAACTGTTCGGGTCATATCTGCTGTTTTTTGTAAGTTGTACTCTCTGGAGCTTCAAAAAGTTAATATAGCGCTCGTCGCTGGCTTGGTCAGCGCTTGAGGTTGAGGCATTTTAGTTACGAAGGGACGAATCGGAAAGAGTGGATGAGGTTCTGCGAGGAACCATAAGATATCCACTCCCGAAGAAGACGATACATTTTCTCTCTCCCTCGTCGAATTCAACGTCGACCATCATCATATTCCAAGACCAGGCTCAGATGCAATTTCAGATGCAATTATACCACCAGCTGGTGTCTTCAACGCCCAACAGTTGCACAAATGCAGCGTTAACCGGGGCTGCTGTGGCTGGCTGCTGGGATATCGTGTCGATGCACGCAAGCCTGCGTGACGGGACTCACACCTGCCTGTACTGGATTGGTGCACACTACAGGAAATGTACGTACGAGTAGTATGTACACAGTACTGTTGTCCTCGGCGATACAATCCTCCGGATGCCGTTACCATCTGACTCTTCTCCGCATCTCCTCGAAACCGGGACCATAATAAGCCTTCTTAAGCCGCTACCATCAATACATCATCACCCACCTACTACTCGTACTTACTACTCGTACTTGAATCATCCATAGCCAACCGCCACTCAGTATACACAACATGGCCCTGCCTCCTGGTCTGATGGTCTATATACTACATGGAGAGAACATGTACTTCACCCAAGGTCAATTCAGGCCTGCATCTGTAGAGTGAGCAAAGGTTGAACTGTATGTCGATAACCGCTTTATAGGACTGGCACACGTCATGGGGTGATCAAACGCAGCTACCAGTGACCACTATCCCCTGCTACAGTCGAGCATCGTGTTATGTTTCATTGAACCGACTAGGCCTCCCCTCACTATGTACGCCATAATGGGACTCGATCCAGGCCAATGAAGAGCTGCCGGCACGGAATAATAATACTTGTACGGAGTACTCGTGCTCATACTCGTGCTTTTAGCAGTCTGGTGGGATTAAGAAGAGGGCTCGCGTTGGGTTAGCGTCGTGCTGACATTTATGCTAAACACCGCATCATGATTGGCCACAGCTGCTACGATACCTACCGACTTCGGGTCTTCAAGACGTTCTCTCTATGGTGGACTCCCTATCCATAAACCCGAAAATATTGGACACGACTACCTTGACAACATTGTTCCAGGCAGGAAGCGGTTGCACGCTCCGTTCTTGTCTGTCCGCCTCTGTGACAGGTATAGCGCAACCCGGACTGACGATGGAATGGGGCTTTCTATTTCCGGACACATCCTCTCATCTGATGGACTGTGCCCTTCCGGTGGACTACCACAGTTACTCACACAGAGTTACACCAACCATTATATGCAATAACCAATGGCTTCAACTTCGTCCTCTTCGTCGTCCTTCCCTCCTGATCATTGTATAATGCACATATAATCGTAAGGAGATTGCCAATTCCAACGGATAACCGGAAATACGTGCTCACCACCACACATCAGCGAACCGGGCTTGCCATCACGGTGCTCGTTCTAACCAAAACTAGCGAAGCTCCAACGACCGAGATTTCCTCCACCAACGTGGGATTGCTGCGTGCCAGGCTTGTTGAATCTTGTCAAGAACAAATTCGTAGGCATAATCGCCCTAACAAGCTCATCCAAGTAAAGCTTATCCATCATAGTACTCCTCTGGGCGCCATAAGAACCCATCGAACGGCTCCTAGGTTCGCCCGCCAGCTCGGTACCACCTCTGACTACATCTACCAAGTCCATTGTCACTCTTCGGGCCCAGATAAGCTCGTGTCCAAAGGGTTTCCTACCCCTCACGAGCCCACGGAACTTCCATTGGGACACTTCCATCAATTTTTCCATTCAGTCTTCTCTCCTTATCCATCACTTTCACTTGTCCTTCCTTCCTATCAGCAAGAGAATGGCCTCCACAATGGACATCATACGCCTCATGGTGCGCGCAGATGGTGACGAGGAATCCACGCCTCAGTGTGTGACCACTAATGAGTACGACGGCCGTATGGGAGTCCGGATCTCATCCATCTTTGTCATCCTGATCGGTTCTTGCCTTGGTGCTGTCTTCCCCGTTTTTGCCAAACGGCATAAGGGTCTCGGCATCCCGGACTGGTCGTTCTTCGTCGCAAAGTATTTCGGCAGTGGAGTCATCATTGCCACAGCTTTCATCCATGTACGTTCTCCTGGTCCTATTCTTTCGGCTCCGATTTACTGATGACCAATAGCTGCTTGCGCCGGCGAATGAGGCGTTGGGTAATGAGTGCCTCACTGGTGTCATCACAAAGTACCCATGGCCAGAAGCCATTGCTCTTATGGTCATATTTCTCATGTTCTTTCTCGAACTGATGACCATGCGCTACGGTAACTTCGGTGGCGAGGATGGTCATGGTCACAGCCATGGCCATAACCACAGCCATGATCACGTTCCATCCGCTCCGCAGGGGAGCAACGCTGATTCCATCAGCATGGAGGGTAAAAGAAAGACACCTCCCTCCCCAGAGAGCCATAATCATCACCATGCACCCGGAGAAGACCATCTCGGTCATACGCGCGACCATAGGGACAACGGCGCGTTGAGCCCAGATTGGGAGGAGCGTGGTATCATTCCCGAAACCTATGCGGCCCAGATGACTGCTATATTCATCCTCGAGTTTGGCGTCATCTTCCACTCCATCTTCATCGGTCTTACGCTTGCGGTTGCTGGTGAGGAATTCATCACGTTGTACATTGTGCTTGTGTTCCACCAGACATTTGAAGGTCTTGGTCTCGGATCCCGACTGGCAACTGTGCCTTGGCCCAAGTCGAAGCATCTCACTCCTTACGTCCTTGGGTTTGCTTACGGACTGTCGACACCGATTGCCATTGCCATTGGTCTTGGTGTGCGCAAATCCTACCCTCCGGAGGGCAGGACTGCACTACTCACGAATGGAATCTTCGATTCCATCAGTGCGGGTATTTTGATCTACACTGGATTGGTGGAGTTGATGGCCCACGAGTTCATGTTCAGCCCGTACATGCAGAAAGGACCGGTCAGCAGGATGCTCGGCGCTTTCACTCTGATGGTTCTCGGTGCCGGTAAGTGCGAACGATTCCGACATTTTCTCACTACTTTTAGATTCCAGACTGACATGATGAACAGGACTCATGGCGCTCCTAGGATACTGGGCATAGATCCGCCCGGGCGCGGGATTAGCATGTAGAATTTTGATTTCGAATCTGTGTATATATACATAGCCTGCTTACATAGCGTTCAACCAGGAGGTCGCGACGACGGGTAGAATACACATCGACCTCTTCTCTGTATATTTTATTCTTTTTGGGTTTCAGCGGGACATTAATTCGGTAGGACGTTAAATCACGACCTGGGTTATGATGGATTTTCTGTTCATTATTTTTAGACATTGCTGCTCTGTCGAGTCCAGCACAGCGTAAATGATAGAAGGAAGGGCTTTATCTTTTTCTTTGACACATTTGGTCCTTCCATCCGCTTACCTTCCATTCCCTGTTGACCTTGTACCTTATACATACCTCCCTGACCTGTGCGTATATGTGTGCCCAATACTCGTCATACTTGGAAACGCTACGTGTGTCCGTGCGGCATGCCCAAGTCCAAGGTACTTTTCTTCGTACCTTTTAGATGTACATATGTAGTTACAAATATCAAAGCGTTCCCGCAGGCCGACCGGGCCATGTACGGAGTGCTAAACATGCATACGTCATTTGTCTTCTTCTATGCCCGAGCGTTGGGCGCAAACCAGACTGATGTTCCTAGTAGTTGAGGTTGTAAGGAGTAAGTATCTACTAATCATTAGTTACCTACTCAAACCACCTCCCATCCAATCCCAGGAACGGAAAAACAAAAACAATCATAAAAAAATGCAAGAAATAGAGACAGAGATGCAAAAAACCACTCGTTTGAGATGAGGACGGGCTCTTTTGTCAGTCGTCTCTCGTCTTTGTTGACCGACTGGCGTTGTAGTTGGGTCATTGGTCAGGTTTTAGGCCCGTTCCTCGCTGGTGAGTTCGCGGCGCGCGCGCGCAGGCCACAGGTGACGTTGGTGGGTTGCCCTGGTCACGGGCGGCGCCCATCTTGGTTTCACGTTTCCAGGTGTAAGGTAGGGATGATGATGTACAGGGAGATTGCATGATTGTTTGCATGTGTGGTATTATTGTTGCTGTTGTTTATACACAGAGGACTACGTATTTAGTGGTAGAAGGTTTAGGTTTAGGTACCTATTACTATATTGTTTGGCTGGCGAAGCTTGGAGGTTGTACTCGTAGCTTACACAGTAGAGACGGAAGAGGAGAGGAGAGGAGAGAGGGCACGAATGACCGAATGCGGGGCAGGTCAGTCAGGGTAGCAAGACAAAGTACACACACAGTAGAGCAGAGGTAATAGGTCATCGTCTATGAGGTTAGGTGGAGGTACGTACTCACTCATCAACTACATAACAACAAGATACTTCCCTGGTGTCTTAAGCATAACAATAACTCCTCGTCTCACTTGACCTCACCTCATGTGTCTCTCCATCCCATCTTGATCCTGATCCTGAACAAACAAATAACACATCAACCCCCTTCGCCCTCTTCATCTGTCCTCTTACTTTAACTACAACTGCCTCTTGCCTCACTCAACTCACACCACCGCCCTTTCCTCCTACTCCTACACTACAACTCAACCACCGCTTCAATTGCTGTCCTCACAACTCTACATTCAACAACCACCACCACCAAAACAACAATAACCCAACACAACCATGTCCACCGACGCCGCAGCACCCGCCTCCATCGACGAGACCCCCATCTCTCCCGTCCGCCAGGCCGCTGAGCGCCGCAACAGCTTGGAGAAGCACCTCCAGCAGCGACCCGACGCCCAAGACCTCAAGAACAGGCATATCCTGCTCGACACACAGACTGCGCCGTACGTTTCTCCCTTTCAATTTCTCTTTTTAACGACGCCCTTACCCTGCATTTGTTTCACTTTGCTCTTCCTTGAGCTTTGGTGTATCCCCGTTCCATGCAATGTCTCGGTGTGCATGCCCATCGTCGTGCTCGGCTGGGTGCGGAGCTACGGTTCTCCAGCAACCGAGGGCAGCGATGAATGGCGGTGACGACAGTTGTGCGATTTGAGGCCAACATGTAATTCCCTGCATTCGTCTGTTTATGCGACAGGCAATTCGTTTCATAATTGACAGTAGCTTACAATGACCACAACAGAGCTCTCCAGGCCAAGGCATTGGAATTGGAGCGACAGCGCGCGACGGACAACCTCAAGAAGGGCCTAGCCCACCGACCCGACCGCGAGACCCTCGTTGAACGTGCGTAGCATCTTTCTCTTCCCCCTCTCACTTCCCACAGCTATCTACCTATGCATTATTCTGCACCCCACGAATACTGTCCAGACGGGACAACGACCCGTTGAAGAAAGTTGCACAAGACATAGCTAACATTACCCCTCGATCGTGCTACACAGGCAACATCCTCCCCGACTCCACCGCCGCACCCGCCCTACAGGGCCACCAGAAGGACCTCGAGCGCCACATGCGCGCAGACAGCCTCGAGAAGAACCTCCAGGCCCGACCTGCCCCCGCCGACCTCATCAAGAAGGGCATCCTCGAGGAGGACGAGAATCCCCTCAAGGAGGTTTAGATACGAGAAGATGGATTGATTTGATATCAGTCGGAAGGGAGGGGCAGATGAAGTGGTGGATAGGTTTCTGTTCTTCGTTGGTTTTATTCGCTGGCGTTAAAATAATGAACGAGAGATGAAGAGAAGAGAGGGAGTAGAGAGGGGGGAGCATACACTTTGATGAAGAACGGAGGAGGGACAGGCGGACACACAGACAGACAAGAGTCATCTCTCTCGCTATATTCCGTAGCTCGCCCCCGTCGGTGACGTCGTGACAGTATAGGAATAAATTCGCGATTACTATCCACACCACTTTGATTGCATCACGTTCATACGAGTAGTGTGCATGATGCCGGTTCTTCAGGTTACTCTTATATGGGACTAGGGTTCAATCGTTTCCAGTGATTCGATTGGATTGGATTCATTCGTGAGTTATATACGACATGACATTCATCTACATACGACTAATTCGTTTTCTTCTTCGTTTTTCCAGATCATCAACATCCATATGGGCACCATCGTTCATTCATGTTCGTCATCTCCCTACTAATCCCAGCGCCCGGAGATCTTGTCCTGGAGCCACTTGGGCACGACGGGCTTCTTAGCCCACCCAGCCTTCCACTGGTCCTTCCAGCACTCGACGCTCGCCGGTAGCGCATACACAGCCGTGACGAGCCACTCCGTCTGCCCGGCCTTGATATCCGCATGGACGGTCGGCAGCACGGAGCGCGCCTCGACGAGGTTTGAATTCGCGTCTGCGAGCAGCACCTCGCCTTCCCTCTTCCCTCGCCACAGCTCCGCGATGCCCACGGCGCCAGACCTCGACGCCGCGAACGCGCTGTTGAAATCCGCGACCCCGCCCTCCGACGTCGACTCGTCGAGCTCGCCCAGGTTCCTGCCGTCCGACTGCCGGCACCCGTATATCGCGAAGGCGCCCTCCGCGGTCTGGACGTCGCGGCCGGTGCGCACGCGGTGGACGCGGAGGTGCCAGTTGGGCGTGTCCTCAGCGGGCGGCACGAGGTATGTCAGGACGTCGACGTCGGGCCAGGGCTTCTGGCGGGACACGAGGACGGGGACGCCGTCGTCGTGGTGCTCGATCTCCGAGTCGCCGTGGAGCGCGCGCCGCATCTTCCACAGCTCACCGCCGTCGTCGGACAGCGCGAGCGACGACTCCGGCACGAACTGCTCCAGCGTGTAGGACCCCGTCGGCACGCTGTACGAGAACGCGGAGCTGTATGCGAACTTGCCGTACTTGGCCTGCGTCGCCTTGAGCGGGTAGTGGCACGACTGCCCGCTGGAGAGCAGGAAGGAGTGGCCGCCGCTGTTGATGACGATCTGGCGGGGGTGGGACAGCGGACGCACGACGCGTTGTCCCGCGTACGGATGGGGCTCCTCGGGCGCGCTCCAGAAGGGGTGGGATTCCGGGACGGCGAGCGGCGCGAAGGCAAGCATGCACCAGTACGGGGAGCCGGGGGAGTTGTAGTTCTCGGCGAGGTAGTAGTTGGGGTACGAGTAGCCGATCGTGAGCATGCCGTTGGGCTGGAAGATGTCCTTCTGCGTCGTCCACCAGCGCAGGTTGCGCAGCCAGATGCCCCTGACGGCTCCCCAGGACAGCGGCGCGGGCAGCTCGACGTCTGCGAAGGCCACGGCGCCCCAGAAGGCGACCATCGCCCACCGGTACGTCAGTGAGCGGCCGAAGGTGATGGCGCGGCCGTCCGGCGCGAAGTAGTGGACGAAGTCCTGCGCGTAGAGTCGTGCGCGGTTCTTGTACTCTTCGGCCTGCTCTGGGTCGGTCTCTGCGGCCAGCTTGGCGTACAGGAGCTGGAGGTATTGGATCGCGAAGGAGCCCGAGTAGTAGTCCATCTGTCTGTAGCCCTCGGGCCCGTCGTTGGACCATCCATCGCCGCGGTAGAACGTGTTTAGCTGTTTGATGTCGGCGTCGACCCTCTCCTTGGACCATGCGGCACCGTTTTTGGCCAGACCGAGATTTGCAAAGACGCGGAACCATAGCCTGTTGGAGCGTCAGTCAGTCATTTCATCGACGAACGAGCCACATCACGTGTCACATGTCGTATGTATTGTCAATGTATATGTAGTGCAGTGGTGGACGGTGGGAGAGATATGTCACAGGGCAGGGGGGAATGAGAATTGCACAGAACGGACAGTAGTGTCCTGTACAGCGCGCTCTGTGCAGGGAAGTCCAAGTAAGATGAGCAAGCGAGATGGTCGACGACATACCAATTGGTATTAGGCATGTCTTTATCATTCATGCTCCCTAGCCAAGACTCGATATTCTTCTTCTGCTTGTCAGTCAAGGGATCCCAAAAGTCCTTGTTAGCAATGGCGAGCGTGTACCCGATGGGGCATGCCTCCACCATCCTCTGGTCCTGATCCTCCATGAAACCCCAGAACTCATCGCTGTCTGGGTCAGTGCCGGCGATGATGCCCTGTACAAAACGATCAGTGCCTGCATATTTGGAACCTCCTGCAAGCAATGGCGCCAGGCCCCAAAGCGGACGGGCGTAACCCTCAACCTGGGCGGCGGTTTCGTCAAACCTCGTGCCAGAGCTGCCAACCTTGATCATGGCATGTTTGGGAGAATCTCCACCTGCCAATGGATCCAACAAAGAGGCGACAGCAGCAACGACATCGTCTCGTGTGAGAAGGGGATTCGTGGAGAATGGATGGAGAGGGAATGATCTATTGGCGTTGGCTGTGGCGGCCGTCATGTTTGAATGTGGCACGCTGCTATTGCGGAACTTTGTTCTGGTGGTAGTACTCTTGTACTGTTTTGAAACTACTCGTGACCTGGGCCTGAGCAAGTAACTCTTAGTGTTGAACACAAGACTCAATTGGTGAACAGTGAACAGGGGGCGATCGCCAGTTTCGAGTGGCTGATGTGAGATGTGGTGTGGTGTGGTTCTGGTATGGTATGGTGTGGTATGATGGGTGGTGGTCTGGGGAAGTTGTTCCGGGGAGGGCTGGCCCTACTTACTCTAGATCCTCCAATGATACGGGTGCACAGATGGGCTCGTTCTCCGTATGTACAGGACGAGGAGGATGAAGGAGAAGATAAGGATTGACTACTACTGATCCTGTTGCGAAAGTTGCTGATGCTTGGTTTGTGTCCAGATTTCTTGAAAGGTCTGGAGATCAAGTGGCGGCGGCACGCTGTTTCCGTCTGGACTGCCGTCGGTCGTTTACTTGTAAAACGTTTCCTTGTGGTGGTGGTTTTGTTGGGAGCGAGAATGGATACAGACGCAAGACAATCTCCAACTGATGCAAAAGAGTTATCAATAATGTGGAATGGAACCTCTAATTCGATGTGTGAAAAGGCCAGAGATTGATAATCGACATTGTTTCGATGCACAGCAGGGCCATCAGCACAAAAGGGCTCGCTCTGTTAGGATCCGCGGGGCCGTCCATGGCAAAGACTTGATTATCAGACAAGCCTGGGCTCCACTGCCCCGAGCGTGTTTGCAATTCACGGATAAATACAATTCAACCGCTAGAGACGTTGAGGCGGTGGGGGAGTTGGGAAGTTAGGGAGCTACTAGGGAGGGGGTAGCTAGACAGACTCGGTAGACTCGGTGGAGGAAGTACGGAGTACGGGGGAATAGTAGAGACGATCGAATGAGATGTCTTGGATGAGGACTGAGGAGAGTAGAAGAGACTGAGACTGAGACTGAGACTGAGAGGAGACGGGGATGGTCAATTGGGGAGAATGATGGGAGGTGGGAGTTGCCGGACTAGTCCACAATACCTACACCAACAGTTACACTCTTACACGGTTACACCTCCCTTACACTTCATGGGGCACGGGAGCTACCCTCTACTCCGTATGTTCGAGTATGTACAGCTCATCCAACTAGGTAACCCCATCAGCTCCCAGCCTCACCCGTCGTACTCGTGTTCATCTGCATGCCTCGAGCCCCCAACTCTTGTTCTGACCTCGCGGCTAACTCCCTCTTGTCCCAATCCAGAGTCAGTCCGGGGTAATACCACTCCTCCACAGCATGGACTCGAAATGTACGGAGTAACGCCTATCAAAAGTCCACTAACGCTTGCAACTCCTACAAAGCCCTGCAACGCCATGGATGTCGTCGCGTGGATGGAAAAATTACATGCCCTTGGCGACCGGGAGAACACTCCCGTTTTCCCACAAATTAGCCCTCTCTATTTGCGCCATCGAACGGCCGTCCCTATTCCAGAAAACATGCCAACGACCATCCGCTAGCAACTCACTTCATCTCATTCGACGGCTCGACCAATTTGCCCCCGGACGCACCATCGTGACGATCCAGACGACCCCGGATCTGGGGACTAGGCGGTTGCTCTAGGTTGCTATGGATGCTATGGGATGCTCTTGGGACAATGCATCTTTCCAATTCACGGGGGGGAAGACGCGGGACGGGCATGGAGCTTGGACCGCCGTATTTCATCTATATACAGCACTACCGCTCATGGATAATTATCTTTTGATCCAGCGCATGCTCTTCTGTCCTCCCAGCGGCCTGCTCCATTGAGTCGTCAAGGTATCGTACATACCAACAAGGTGAGAAGCAAAACCTTTCTGTCCATTGTCCTGTTCCTGTTCCTCATCGAGTATCCTGTTCCTTATCTGCCATCGTCTCGGTTGATATTAGAGCGGAACTCCTGTGGGGCTTCCGATCGAACTACTCTTTTTCCCGAGCACGAAGTGGAGAGGAAAGCCAGCGGGCCTTCCCCAGCTCCCGCTATCTTCGCTTCTACCCCATATCTCGTGTTGAGCTCCACTTCTAACAGTGTCCACTAGGTCCCTCAAGAATCTCTCTTCGAGATCACGCTGTTCACGAGACGAACTTTTATTATAATTCGAAAGCCAATCAGAGTGACTCTCAGTCAATATGGCACACATTCAAGCAGATGCCGGCCCTGGTGCCCGCTTCCTTTACAAGATTGTCAAGAACGATGCCATGAAGCAGGATCCTCCCCAGATCTATGGCTGGAGAGCTTTCATGATGGCTTGCTCCGCCTGTTTCGGCGGTATGCTTTTCGGTTTTGATATCGGTACCATTGGTGGCGTCCTCACACTACCGGCATTCGAGGAGTACGTGTCGCCTGGCTGCCATGTCTAGCCACCCTCTGTGGCAATACACTGACTGGATGTAGGAAGTACGGGTTGAAAAAGTTGAACGCTGTTGGCGTGGCGAACTTGTCTGCCAACATTGCCTCAACTCTCCAAGCTGGATGTTTCCTTGGTTGCTTCTTGGCCCATTATGTCGCCGACAAATGGGGACGTAAATTCGCTCTGCAGTTCAACGGTTTCATCACGGTCATTGGCTGTATCATTCAAGCCGCTGCCATGGGTAGTCTCGCTGCCATGTACATTGGCCGGTACGTTAAGATTGCCAATTTTTGTTGCAACCGTCTCTAATGCTTTCACAGTTTCGTCGCTGGCGTTGGTGTTGGCGGTGCCTCCATGGTCGTCCCCCTCTACATCTCTGAAAATGCTCCTCGTGCCATCCGCGGCGGTTTGACTGGTATCTATCAGCTCTTCATTGCCACCGGTACCATGTTGGCCTTCTGGGTTAACTACGGATCCATCATGCACATCAAGGGCCCTGCCACATACATTGTTCCCCTTGCCCTCCAGGCCTTGCCTGCTATCCTGCTCATGGGATGCATGGCCTTGAACAAGGAGTCCCCACGTTTCCTCGCAAAGGCCGACAAATGGGAAGAGGCAACCGCTGTCCTTGCCCGCATCCGAAATCTCCCAATTGACCACCCCTATGTCCAGGCTGAGATCAACGATATCTCGGTGCAGCTTGAGCACGAGCGCATGCTCATTGGTGGTGCCAAGACGAAGGATCTCCTGCGGGAGATGTTCACCATTCCAGGAAACAGGAAACGAGCTTTCATCTCCATCGGACTCATGATCTGCCAGCAGATGACCGGAACCAACGCCATCAATTACTACGCACCTCAGATCTTCAAGAATTTGGGTCTGCAAGGAAACACGACCAAGCTCTTTGCCACTGGTATCTACGGAGTCGTCAAGATGGTCACTTGCGCTGCTTTCCTCCTCTTCGCTGCCGATTCGCTTGGCCGCCGTCGCTCGCTGCTTTGGACCTCCATTGCTCAGGGTTCCGCCATGATGTACATTGGTCTCTACGTCCGCATCAGCCCACCTCTCCCAAATCAGGATGTGCCCCCGGCCGGATACTTCGCCCTCGTCTGCATCTTCTTGTTCGCCGGTTTCTTCCAGTTCGGTTGGGGACCCGTTTGCTGGATTTACGTTAGTGAGATCCCCACTGCGCGTCTCAGGTCCCTTAACGTCTCCATCGCTGCTGCGACCCAATGGCTCTTCAACTTCGTCGTTGCACGTGCCACTCCCAATATGATGGCCACCGTCGGATCCCACGGATACGGGTAAGTGAATTCTCCGCAGTGCTAAACAATAAAACCTCTCTTGCTGACCAGACCTGCTTTACAGTGCCTTCATCATCTACTCCTCCTTCTGCTACGCCATGTTCTTCTTCGTCTGGTTCCTCATCCCCGAGACCAAGGGTCTCTCCCTCGAGAAGATGGACGACCTCTTCGGCGTCACGGAGCTGGTCAAGAACCTCGAGAACGACCGCGAGGCCCACGGCTCCGTCACCGAGGTCAACCTCGACGGCAAGGAGGTCGCCAGGGAGGAGCGCCAGGAAGTCGTTCCCGACAGCCCCAAGAGATAAATGAAACAACGTTTTGGTTTAATTTTTCCCAAAAGGACGAACATAGTATTTTCATGTGGGAGCGAATGGGATGGGTGTTTGCCCATGTAATTTGACAAACGATATATATCCCGTTGTTGTTGTCTGTCTGTCTGTCGTTTTCCCAATCCAGAGCGGGGTGTGTTTGAGAGAGAAAGGGAGGGGAGAGTGATGGTAGTCGAAAGTAGCCTCTTGTATATTCCTTATTAGCTACGAAATCCAAACTCTTGCCCTCCTTGATTTCATCATTGCTGTCGCTATATTTTATAACAGAATTGAGACATGATTTCTTACAAACCTTATGCTAGGTCTTCTACTCACCACATTAATCACCGCATGTGCAAGTCAGCCAGACGCCGAGTGTGGATACCATATTGCCCCCCTCCCCCCGGCATTCTTTCAGCTGTTAGTATATATAAGACACGTGCATTTATGTATATGCAGTTGACTTTTCTCTCAACAGATTAGCCCATGAAATGACAGTTGGCCAGGTACGTTCTCCCCATCGGGAGGCCACTTCCTGTTTTACACAGATCGAACAGAAGAGCAACATGTTTGTTTCTGGGACGAATACATGATTGATGGATTAATTCTTATATTCTTTGGTCTGTGCTCCCGGGTCATCTCTCGAGAGTGTACGCTATGCTCGCTATGTATGTGTATTTATGTTTGGGGTATAATGTATGTGTGTATGAGCCAACATCGGTCCTTCTGTACTGAACGAACCGGATGCCGTGCTCGAAGAAAGGGGAGGGGTATCTTAGCAAAAACGCAACGCGAGTGAACGCAACGCAACGCAACGCTACGCGCGTACAAGTACATAGCAGACCAAAAAACCAAAACGGGATGGGGTGGTAATGCAATGAGAAAGGTTTTTTTCCCTCCCGAAGATGGAACAGACAATTATCCCGCCTTATGATGGTTTGATTACCGCCGTAACATTAATGCTCATATGCCGTGACAAAGGAAATATTCGTGGGGGCGTTGAGATCGCACTCAACGTGAAGGTCCGGATGCGCCGTGGTCGATTATGCCAAAACCGGAAAAGCAAAGGTAAACGAGAGTAAAACCTGGAGTAGATGGAGGAACGCCGGGATTTTGCAGAGTAATTCGATCGAGAACATAGGAAATGGGAAATTTCTTGAATGGTAGTTTAAATTAGTAGGTCTCATCGAGACCTGCCGCGAGTTGAAAAAGTTGTCGGGTGGATTCACCAAGTGGTGATGCAAGTGGTGAAATGTCGCTGTGGAGGTCCGGACCCATAGGCTTCAGACCATCCACGTCTATGCCGCTGTCACGGTCTGTTCGCTCCGAGGGTGTGAGGGACACGCGATCAAGTGGATCGGTGGTTTGGTAAGTCGGTGTCCACGGGCTCAAAAGTGCCCTGGAATCATCACGTCCCGCCTCTGGTGCCTCTTCATCATCGAGGACACGGCCACCTAATTTAACGTCACTGGGGCGAACCTGGTAAGCCAAAGCCTTTTGCGCATCTTTTATGAGCTCTTCGGTCCAATTGAGGCATCGCTTCAGGCTTTGGTTCATCTTTTGGCTGTCAACGAGTAGGTCCCTGTGCTTAGAAAGATCGAGCTGGATGCGTTTTTCGTCCTTGAGGCGATGGTCGGCGTCGCGTTCTGCGAGAGCAGAAGAGCTCATAGTCGTCTCATCTATGGAAGAGTCGCTGCTGGAATCTGGCTCCTCCTCCACAGGCTCTTTCTCTTCCTCTTCTGACATGTCAGATAAATCGCCGTGCTCGGCGCCTGCAATGGCTGAGAATGAGTCCGGATTAGGCATTGAAGAATCTGCTGGGAATCGTCCTGCACGACTCATTCGGCGGAACCGCCGCAGTTCAGCTTTCTGCTTCCGCACTTCCTTTTCAAGCTGGCGATTGATAGCAAGTAGGGAGGAATTGCTGATCTCGAGGTCGAGAACTTTTCTCTCGCGCCGGGCATTGGCCGCTAACTCATTCAATCGTTCCAGCTCACTCTTTCCCTCGGGTGTCTTCGTTGGGCTCATAGGTCCTGGCGATGCATTGGTAGACAATGCTTCCATTCCCGGAGGAGGTGCTGAGGCTATGCTCTCAGCCAGGGAGCCACTGCTGCTCACTCTTTTCTCATTGTAAAGTGGACTAGATATGCCGTGAGAGTCTATTGGCAAAGAGCTTTTTACGGGTGTGATATCTATAGAAGATAGACTGGCGCTTTTGCCATGTCCCTGTCTAATTATAGACGATGCTACACTCGAGCGTCTTCTAGATCGGTCGTCTACAGCTTCAGAGGTGTGCGATTGACCTGACAAGATGGATAATGCGGATGGACCTCTGTTTAGAGCAGGGCGAATGACTTGTGAAGCGCCTTTCCGGTAAGAAAGATGGATGTTCTCCTTAGAAGGGGACAGTGGGCGGACTGGTTGCGGCTGGTTTAAAGGATTGGTATTCATCCATGGCTCTGGTGAAGTCGGACCCAGTGGTGGAGAGAGAACTGGCGAGTTGCCCCTTCCTTCTGATACCGAGTCGGCATGGAAGAATTTGCTGGAGGAAGAGGCTCTATCTACCGAGGACAATGGAGAAGATGGGCTCTTAGGACTACCGTCTTGCTGACCATTCGCATAAAAGAAAACGGGTGCCTTCTTGGGCTGTGGGGCAGGCTCATGAGCTCGGACATCACTGGCATGGAAGAATCGTGGTCCGTTGTCTCGTCCTAGGGCGTGATCCGTGGTTGTGTGGTTATATACGTTCGCTATCGGGGGTCTTGGTGTCGGGGTCGTGATATATTGATTCCCTCCGAGCGTGCTCCTTGGCCGATTAGAGCTCTGGGCACCCGTCTGTCCATTAGTCCCAAGCCCATTATAACCTTGGCCAGGATCTCTCAACGGCAGGTCGATATGAGATGATGGTCGGGAACTGCTCGGTGTAACGGAGGGCGTACTGCTCGGTGTGGAGTTGGTGCTGCTCACGCCGACGCGAGACTTTCTCGAGGAAGACCGAGGAGTGACATTGCTGCTCAAGAATGACTTGACTGGCGTTGAGACCTCCTCTTGCGATGCCGTAGCCGCCCGGGGTGTAGTGGATGCGGTACTACGTACGGAACGAGTAGACTGCGTAGTTGTAGCGGAAGCGATGTTGGCTGCGAGTCGAGGAGTAATTGGAGTTTTTGAGGTACGGGTGGTTGCCAGCGAGGGCTTTAAAGGCCGTCCATTGTTGGTGTTTGTGCGGTCGATTGGCATGGTCCAGTCTTCATCTGGCGGAGGTTATGTGGCAATACTGTTCGAACAGGTCCGGGTAGTGGGCATGATCGTATTTGCGGTGGGAGATTCGGTGTGTGTGTGCTCGTAGTCGGGAGGGGAGAGCACAGAATGTATCGTTGTTGCCGTCCAAAACAGAGGGGGAGTTTCAAAACAAACTAAGCGAACAGAGCGGTGAGGTAGTTGCGTTGTCGGAGTTTGAGGCGATTGAGAGATGTGTGAGGAGGCCCTCGCATGGCCAAATGACTGTTCTGAAAATAGAGAGGGGTGTGCAAAAGGCCTGTTTGCCAATTTCCTGTAATGTTTACGGGTGGCCGTGGTGTGATGGATGAGAGGGAGCCAGATCTGGCGGACTTGATAGACGGGGACTGGGTGACTGGGCGCGATATGATCCTGGCCAAGTGACACTTGCCCCCGATGGGATAAGCGCAGTAGCCTCAATCTCCCATCTCCCGTCTTTTCCCCCATCTCTCTCCGACGCGTCATCCATGGCCTCACTCGGATAATTTACGCGTTCTACTGTACGGAGTAGTCAGCAGAAGAACAATCTGTTGCCTACAAACTGTAACTATTTCGACTCCATGATATAATCTTACCAGCCCGCCATGCTCAATCCTCTCCTCAACCCGCCATGAATACTACACCCGCGAGCTCAGAGCTGTCAATAGATTCATCGACGATAACAACTACAAACCCTCAAGCCGAGAATCCAAGACATTCACGTCCCGACACCGATTCTTCCGCTTCCGAGATCGTACATACCCGAACCAATACATTCGATCCAGATCACGTCGAGAAAGATTCGCGAGATGCGTCTCAAGTTCCTTCCAACCGGCCGGTGCCATCGAGAACGCCTTCGAACGAGCACGAGTCCTTAAAGTATCACCTCCTTGGTCCCTCTCTGACGAAAGCGGGGCAAGACTCGGTAGATCAGTCAAAGGTCTCAGAAATTATCTACAATGCATCCAAGGGCAGCAAGTACTTCAACAATGAAGAGGTGAAGGATAAAAACCTGTCCGGGAAGATCGATCGAATCCTCGCAAGAAAGCGCCAGTTGGAGAAGCTCGATTTGAGCCATGAACTGCGCAGGGCAGACGACTACATTGCGGAGCTGGAGCTAGGAAGAGACCTCAGTCAGATCGTCGTGCACATAGATTGCGACGCATTCTATGCTGCAGTTGAAGAGCTAGATAATCCACATTTGCGTGATGTTCCTATGGCTGTTGGGAAGGGCGTTCTCACAACATGTAATTACCACGCCCGGAAGTTCGGCTGTCGGTCAGGTATGGCAGGATTTGTAGCCATGAAGCTCTGCCCACAGCTCATTTGTCTGCCCCTCAACTTCGTCAAATATACTGCCAAAGCCGAAGAGGTACGCACTGTTCTGGCCGAATATGATCCACGTTTTGAAAGTGCTAGTTGCGATGAGGCATACCTGAATCTCACCCAGTATTGTGCCGAGCATCACTTGGACCCTGAGGAAGCTGTGAGCCAGTTGCGAGAAGACGTTCATCGAAGAACTAAAATCACCGTGTCCGCAGGTATAGCGGCAAACGCGAAGATCGCCAAAATTTGTAGTAATCGCAATAAGCCCAATGGTCAGTTCCGGGTTGCCAGCGACCGACAGACGATTCTTGACTTCATGAAAACCTTGCCAACAAGAAAAGTCAACGGAGTAGGGAGGGTTTTCGAACGAGAACTAGACGCTATTGGAATCAAGACTTGTGGCGATATATACGCCCATCGCGCGTTTCTCTCGCAGCTTTTCGGGCAGAAGGCATTCCAATTCCTGATGCAATGTTACCTTGGCCTTGGCCGGACCAAGATACAACCTGCTGAGGACTACGAGCGGAAGAGCGTAGGCACTGAAACCACCTTTCGTGACATCGGCTCACCGGATGAACTCCGAGAGAAACTCCGGTACATCGCAGGAGAATTAGAGGGTGACCTGAAGCGCACCGAATACAAAGGCCGAACACTTTGCATTAAGATCAAACTTCATACATATGAAGTGTACACACGACAAATGAGTCCACCCTTTGCCATCCATCTAGCGGAGGATCTGTACAAGTATAGTCTGCCCATGCTGGAAAAACTCATGAAGGAAATTCCCAACATGAAGCTGCGACTCATGGGTCTGCGAGTGACCCATATTATCAGTACGAAGAAGCCTGGCATCGACTTCTTCGGTCGACATAGGGTCACGTCAGTGAGCAAACCAGCAATACCCGCAAAGAACAGTGACGATGGCGAATGGGAGGTTTGGCCAGAAGCCGAATTTGAAGAGGCTGCGCGTCAAGAGAGGGATGATGAGATGAACGAGCTGGAGAAGTTGAGTCAAGAGCAGGATGCAATCACAGCGGCACCTTCCAGAAGGCCACCTGCACTGGAGTCCAAGGAGTCTACACGCAGCGATCAAGCCGAGACCCCAATCGAAGAGCCGCAAGAAGAGCATTGGATATGCCCCATATGCTCGCTCCCCCAATCTCCAGATGATACAACATTCAACTCCCATATCGATTACTGCCTCTCTCGACAAACCATCAAAGAAGCCGTCAAAGAAACGACACCTTCTCTTGTCTCACCTCAGAAACCCCAAGCATCTTCATCATCCGTAAAACCGGTGCCTAGTTCCAAGAAAGGCAAAAGGGGTCGGTCGAAAAATGAAGCATCGGGCTTGGACAAGGATCGCGAGAAACGACGCGCCTTCTTCTTCGCACAAGGTCCACAGTAAATAGTGTTATTATGATACCAAACCATGTCGTTGCAACTAGGTATAAACCTGTTCGGATAATGAACCAATAAATTCAGTAATAAAACTTGATATGATCTTCTTTGACACGTGAGATCGTGAAGTATTCACGTATGGTGTTACAAGCATTACTCTAGATCGGTCAAGAATGCCAGCATTGTAATCTGTGCATGCTAAGTGATTGAGTAGACAAGCAATGGAGTTTGTCAATAGCCAATTGGGCTACGAATGCAGTGTTCTTTACAGTAAATAATTATACATCAAGGGTATCAAGACATTGAGAGGAGTGTAGCCTAACCTGAACTCCAGAACATCGACCTACCGGCAACCCATCAGCTTTGGATCGCTTTCACCAATTTTCCTAGATACTCTTCTTTTCGTTCTCGAAAGATACTCGCATGCGTATCATCCGTAATCTTCAACGTGGCATTGTCCCCAATCCTCTTTGCGACCATTTCCCCATGGTGCGTCGGGACATTCTCATCCAGCGTCCCATGCCATATCTGCACCTTCAAATCCTTCCTGATCTCCTCGATCCGAAACCCAAAATCACTATTCAGTAGCCTGAAGTCCTGGGAGAAGCCACCCATACCCTGGCTGAAAGCCTCGGCGGCAGTCCGCAACATCACCCACCTCTGATCGAGATCGCCGAAGAAAGCAGCGTCCTTCGGATGCATGCTCGCCTTGCTCTTCTCGAAGCCCTGCCGCATCAGCTCCATCCTCTCGGTCTCGGGCAAATCGAGTCGCGCTCCCGGTTCGCGGCTGAACCACCAACGGCACAGGCCGGGGAACATACGTTGCCCGAACGTCCACCCCAGATAGTTCATGAATTTCATTCCCCTGTAGCCCATATCAGGTGGTCCGAGACCGCATACCACGCCAACTGCGCGTAGGTTGTCTGCGGGAAGCGCTCGCGCACATGCGAGTGCATATGGACCGCCGCCCGAGACTCCCAGGACTCCGTATCGTGTGAGCTTGAGATGGTCGGCGAGGACTCCCGTATCCTTTGCATGGCTGAGAAGTGTACGGTCCGGGTGTGGTGAGCTCCAGCCGAAGCTGGGACGGTCGATGGCGATGATGCGGGCGCCTACTTTTGAGGCCGCATGGTGTAGGGACGAAGCTTCTATGCGGGATCCCGGAAATCCGTGGTGGTAGATGATAGCCGCTCCGGCCGGTGAGCCGTATTCTGCGTATGCAAGTTTCCGCCCATCGGGTAAGGTCAATGTAGATGAGGTTGTGGTGTCGAGGGGATACCGACAATCGTCGGGGCCATATGACGATGACATTGGCTGCTACTATGTTCGGTCGTTTGGGATGTTAGCGGAATCCTGGATAAGTAACGCAATGGGAATGTCCACCAAATATTATGTAGAGACTATGGTAGAAGAATAATCGTGGAGGCAGAGCCGTTGCGTCCTCGCAACGGTAGTCGGACCTCTCAGGCCTCCGACTTCTTCCTTCGGATTTTGCTCAGCCTTGCAGTCACGCCCACGAGTAATTTGTGGGTCTTCCCATGATTGCCATATGAGCTGGAGAAAGAGGTCATGGGTATCGTTAGTGCTTACAGTAGTAGTCACAACATTCCATTGCATGTTGAACAGGAAATCTTACGAGCCACGATCGCTTTTGAGCACATTGGGCTGACGTCAATTCCATCCTTTGGGGGAATGGACGTTCACAGCTATGACTCACATCATAGATCTGATTCCATGGCGACTCTAGAATCATGCAATAATTAGAGTACCGTAGTATTGATATCAATGTCTTGAGTTCAACCCTGTTTAGAGTTAGTATTGATCAGAAGATTGAGAAACAGGGTTCAAGTCAATCGAAAAATATAGGAAAACAAACTCAGTCATTCGGAAGTAGCCATATTGCCTGCAGGTCAAAACATTCAATTATATGTATTAGCTCTCCTTTTGAGAATCTCTCCCCGAGCCGCATTCGCTCATTAGGCGACAGAGTCGTGAAATAAACATCAAACGTGTGCACATCAAAACCAACACTGAACAGTAATACAGGCTAGCCAAAGTGAGAATTTATACCGCACAAGCCCCCAACACCTAGCCAAAGTTGTGCCCTATTCGCCTAGATTCGCGCCAGGGGTATACATCATTACTGACGCTGACATAGTCCTAGCGCAATGGGACTGCAGACATTACAAGGTCGAGAAAGGCTTCAACTAAGCAGCGATTTGTCTCTCGTCCTCTCGGCCACGGGTCTCGGTACCAATGGTAGATGGCGCATCTACATCTTCCTCGTCCTCGTAACCATTGCCTTGGTGCTCGGAAGCCGGAATCCAGAGGCCTGATTCTCTGCTATCCAGAGGCGCGTCCTGGTGCGAGAGATCAACACCTTCTCCCTGGCGACGAGCGGCATTGCGGCGACGCTGAGAGAGTGTGCGAGAACGAGTAGAAAGCTTGGATGAGACAGCAGCGTTCTGCTGCACCCAGTTTGTAAGAGCGTCCTCGCAGTCTTGAATGATACTAGGTAAAAAGGGTTAGTCATGCTGATGGTTAAATCTTCGGGTAGAACGGTACGTACGCTTTGCTGGCTTCGTAACCATCATATGCATTTCTGGTCTCACCAGGAGTAACTGGGGTGTCGTCAATCAGCTCCAGGAGATGCTTGCCAAAGCCCGCAATGATAGCCAATTTCTCGCAATGCTCACGCAGAGCGTCGAATTGATAAGTGAATGCGGCCTTGAGCTTCTCTCGGGTGATGTTGGATAGCTGGGCTTCGGCAACAAGCGACTCGGCCTCGGCACGCACAAGTTCTTGCTCGAGGACCACAATCTTTGGGGAGTTGGGCTCCTTGTACTTCAATTGCGCAATTTGATCGGTGATCTTCTGCTTGCCTGTCCCACAATGAGTGTCTGCTGTACATTCGTACGAAGTTGATACACTTACGATCACGGCTAGGCTGAACAGAGGCTTCAATGTTGCGAATACTCTTGATCGTGACACGATACTGGTCGTAACGATCCACAAACTGATCCTCTAGCTCACCAATCTCGTAAATCAAGACACCGAGCTTGTCGGTGACATCGGATACGTCATCGTCGCATGCTTCGCCCCAAATGGACAATTGTTGCTAGAAGCCATCAGAATCGGAGCGACAATGGGATAGATTTTGGTTATAGAGGAACACAATACTTACAGCAACCTCCATTCGTTCTCTGCTAACTAGTTCCATACTGCGCATGACATTCTTCTCCATCTTGACCAACTGCGAGAGCTTCTTGGCAAGGTCGGGGCCAAAGGCACCTGCGGCATTGCGGCGGAATGTGTGACCTAGTTGTGGTACTCCTGTCAGCTTGTGACACTGTAAATTGGAGGATAAAGCGGCCCATAGTAATTTCGAATGTAAATATTGGGTTGATCCAGATATCCGGGATCTCCGCGGATTGCCATTCCCAAATGCGGGGGACTGATTAGGCAAACAGTCGTCCTTTCGCCTTCAAACTTGGTGTGGACAAGACTGAAAAATGAACTGACCGAAATTTCCCTTGCCGAAGAAGCGTCCAGTCTTCGTCGACGACGACGGAGGGGGTGGATTCTGAATTTGCGACGCCGTAGGGGCGCGCGATTGTCTCCTACATCATGACGGTTAGGAATCAATATCAACAACTCGAGAGACTGGCTCGTGGCTCACATAGAGTATGTGCGATGCATTTTGGCAGCGTTGAATGGCGAGATATTACGGTGAAGGGAGGCTTGAGCTGCAGAGTGCGTGGTTGTAGTGTGTATATGTGTATGTGTGCGAGGCGGAGTGGAGAGGGAAGATCGACGTTTTGTTTGCGTAGGGGGAAGACAGAAGGACGACAATGACGTAGCTTCAGGGTGCCAAGCTTACCCGGGCGATCGTCGACTCCACCGAACACCGCAAATCGATATCTCTGATCTCAAGCTACTGCAACTTTATGCTCATTATTGCATACTTCATGACTTTTGGTCGATCACAATTTTCATTAACTACTTATTCTCGTAGTTCCATTGTGTCTAACCTTCTTCATCCGAGCTTCTTCCCAATTCAATACTGGCGGGCTACATTCAGGTTTCGTGCTCCCTTTACGACAGCACCCTGGCCTCGATTGAGTGAGGAGAAAGCAAGGCCTAGTCTAGAGTCTGGGGCACGGCTTTGACCCCGGTCTGTCCTGGTTTGCCAGCTTTGACGTTCCCGTCCACATTCTCAAAGACCCATCGAACATTCATCATCACGTGTGATCCATTGATACCCGAGATCTCCGTGGAAGGATGCAGGGCAGAGAAAGATATGGACCCTAGCCAGGATACAGCCTCACAACGATTCTAAAGCGGTCCTAGACGTCTCGATGCGCAGTCCCTAACAACCGCTATCAATGATTCGGATCATAGGCTGTGGTAAGTAATGCTTCATTGAAACAATGGGTATCATTGGCGCCAGTAGGTAAAGTGTTTTTGTTTTCCAACACATGATGATCCGTCTATCTTATTGGTAATTCGTTGGCGAACACACTGAGGAAGCTCCCGGCTTCCCCTAGACCTGTACTTGGGCGCTGTGCTGCCCAAAGAATCAACCAGTCTCCTTCTCTAGGGGAACGTTTGTGATGAGCAGCAAAGCCAAAGAATGCGGTTATGGCTGCAGCAGAGAAGCCCATCAATATATTTACCATAAGGGCCGAAGGAAGAGACGAAGAAGAGCCCCTTACTACCATTGATCTATCCTGAATTATTGTCCCAGGTCTGAATATTGTAGAGAGAACTGGGAAATTATTCAAGATCTCACGTGTGATAGATCTAGTTGTGTAGACAAGCCCAGACTGCGCCTGGATTTTCCATGGCAGACTGGGTTGCTGTCGCTGTTGAGGAAGATTCGTTGTTGGCCATGCGTCGGAAACCTTTACTTCTTCATTGCCTATCAGCCGCTCCCTGAGGCGAGTGACATAATCATGAATGCGTGGGAATCTAGTGACGACTGCCTCTTTCAGCCAAGCTTGAGGGACCGAAGGATACAGCATCAGAGCAAGGTAGCCAAAGGTGAGGCAATCAAGACTGGAAGGCTTTCCGTTTCCAAGGAGATATTCCTTGTTGCCTAATAGCTCCGACAATGGCTCTAGGAGCTCATTCGACAGTGCGTCGAGTTTGAAACGGGCGGCATATATAGGAGAACTCAGTAAGCCCCCAATGCCCTTTGCACGGCCCATATTGAGTATGCTGTTTTGTGTCGTGCGACCCTCTCCTGGTATTCCTGCGGCTCGCTTTCGTGATTCGAAATCATTGCCCAACCCAATGCTATCATCTTTGTTATCAGGCAATTGTACGTCAAGGCTGCTGAGGCCTAAATGCCCAGTACGTATCCTTGCTTGGTCGCGTCGCGTCGGAGGAATAGTGTAATTCAGATACCATGGGAGAATCGCGGTATACGAGGATGTGGTGATTGCGCTGTAATTCTCCGCTGAGACGTAGAGGGATAGATCGATGAGGGGGGTGGCAGTAGATTCGAGGAACGAAGCGAAACTAGAAACTGTGTAAGTACTGAGCAGTGCATCATACGAGGCGATACCTACGCAAGTTTATTATTATGTTGCTTCTGATTTAGATCAATGTCAAGATCATAGCTTCCCAGCGTTCTTTTTCGCAGGTATAAGACAATGCTTGCGAAGCCAGCCGTTCTGGAAGAGCCATCCATGAGGAGAGGAAATTTCCCTAAGCAAGTGAGAATGTGTAATTGAGGATAGTAATGTCTCGGGTACCTTTGGGACTGAGAGCAGTGTCATGGTTGGCGACAAGTCTCCAATCTTCTCGTGGAACAGTGGAATTGAGGTAGCCAACGGCAGCAATACACTCGGCGTCAATTGATGGTAACCCAAATGCAGGGCCCCAGACATGTAGCTCTAGGGCCATGTTCGATCGGAGGTAGTTTCGCTGTGCTCAAGGGGCGCACTTGTGTAGTAATTATAATAAGTTGTATTTCATGATACTTGAAGATCAGACATAACCACTGAATTCCAGCGCTAATCCGAGAAAGTTTAATGCACAGTTCGCGATCACATGATCACGCTCTCCATTCGCAAATGGCTCTTTACGTCTGACATCAACATCGAAAGCAACTATAGACTTCCAATCCGTCATTAAAATATCAAACCATTGGGGAAAGCAGTGATTATTGGGCCATGGCGCCACTAAGAAGGTACTTGCGCATTACGAAACATTCCGTCCTCGAGGTGCGAATATACCTGGATCGACCATCTGACGCAGAGAGCTGGCTTTTAAAGCGCGACAATCCAGCTCTTCCACGCATCATAGAAGCCATTCGTCCTTATGTGTTACCCAAGTTGCGAGAGGAGAACGAAAGAGTCAGAGGAAAGGGCTCAAAGACCAAGAAAAAGGGCGTCAAGGATGTTGTAATCGAAGGTAAGTCTGTTGCATGTAGTTGCACGGGATGAAGCAACTTGGGGTATGATTGGCATAGAAACATTTCCCGCCGCCCTTACAATACACTGCTGACAACATGCCATAGATGATTTCGAAGTTTCAATATTTCTGACTGACCTATCCTCACGACACTCCGTGTTGACCAAGCAGAAAATGTTCAAGGATAGACCCCGTATTCAAAGCAATTCAGGAAAGCTTACAGGGTGGCTCAAGCCAGGAACGAGCGACCAGCCTGTTGTCATCAATGATAGCACGGATCCTGTCATCGTTAGGGAGGAAGAAGATGACAGCGTAATCAACTTGGATGATATTCCCGAAGCCAACACTTCTAATCCGGGCTCAAGGACGCGCAGAGGAAGGGAGATTCCTTCCGATGTACCTGACGAAGCTGACGACGCGTACAATTCCGATACATCCGAGCCAGTGCTCGACGATAAGAAGAAGCTGGGCATGAAAACATCCTACGATGGATTCAGCATCTATGGCCGTATCTTATGTTTAGTGGTAAAGCGCAAAGGTCCAAGGAATACAGCAGGGACAGTTCCCCCGGCATCAAACCAACAGATGATGGAGAATTGGGTGTCCACGCAAGCTGCGGCCGAGCAGGTTGATGACGACGACAACGCATAGCCTGGTTGGGGATGAAGCAGAGTTTGAATAATGAGCAAGCTCACAATCGTCCTATCATGAGACATGATAACTCAAATTCTCGAACACCAACTTGTATGGTCTTGGGTGTCGCACACCGCACATTCATATAAACTCGGACGATTCGCTGTCATTGAAAGGGACAATGCCTGCAATATCATGTTGAGAAATACATGATTCGTAATGTCATGGGTCTGGGTTCTGATTTATTGGACCGCACTTTGTGTTCCAATAGCACACAGTTTTCGACTGTCGATGCTACACACTGTACGCCACCCCACAGATATGTCTGTGTTTAGAAATTCAGGTTGCCTCATGCAAGACACACCTCTGCGGGGCCAACGATCCGGTGAATCACCCCACAACATGCGGTTCGAGTGGGCACATACATGGGTTTAGAGACTGTTTCCGATGCCCTAGTAGCGTTAGATAGCACGGTCGCAGATGTGCTCATGCTGGTTCGATAAACACCTGGGACACGAACAATATCGTTACGTACCAGAATGTTCTTAACAACAATGGGTCCATAGTGTAGCGGAATTGTTCAATGTCGCGATACCTTATGTAGAACACGGCCTGGGGCACCTCGGCACGCTGAAGATTGTAATCAATCTAAAATGAATTCATAACTCATCTTGTAAATGCCATGGTATACAAGGAAACTACGTATCTGCCCGATGGTAGTTAAAATGATGACGTGCTGGATGATCGACAATGAATCAGCTGCTTTGAAATCCTGCTATGCCATGCTCTCAAGTAGTTCTCCGGAAGGATGTTTGTACCAACCCTTCTCGGTGTTCTCGATGGCTTATAGTCACCCACCGACAGAGTCATGATCATGCGCCAACACTACATCCACATTTGGTAATCCTATAGACCACCACGGATGAGGTATGTTGATTGCGGACACTGACAAGCCATGACTTATCTGATATGTCCAGACCCCCGCAATAACGAAGGGAAACTTGTTCTTAATTCTCACGTGAGCTTATAGCTGCGACTAGAGGACTTCGGATTCAAGCTCTCGCTACGAAGGTTCCTGATCTTTGCGATGCCATCCACATATCTGCGCAAACTCTATTTAAATTGCTCGAGCGAGCCAAAGTTAAAGCCAACAGTGCAAGGCAAGACAAAGGAGTAGCTGATTTCGTCAGGCCTCAGCGAAGAAACAGCAGAAAGAGGGTTCGTCACCAGAACGAATCGAACCAGACCGGGAGAGCAGATCCACAAAGACAATTGTTCTTCATTTCTACTCCATTTAAATCCATTGGAGGTGCCAAATTAAAACATCATCTGGCAACTTATACTCGAGCTCCGTGGCAAGTCCCTATAGAAGCTCCGCATAATCTTGCTAACATTTCCCACCCCAGGCAAGCTATTGTAAGTATACCTTAAGATTTTTGGTATAGACAAGTTCTCACTCATGACTAGTATATAGCTTATGGAACTTCAAGAGATAATGGGCCCAGTCAAACTCCAAATGCTTGTACAGTGTCGCCATCTTCTGCCTCCAGAGCAGCAAGACAGAAGCTTGGCTGCTACAGGCATTGTGGGAAATCCGAAGAGCTGTGCAATGTTATTATTTGATTCTTTTTTTTCCTCTTAATAAATTCTTTACATCCACTTTGATTTCCATTCGTGGACATGATCAAAGTATATTGTGCCTGTTTAAATATATTAAAACTAACAGTATCAATTTTACACAACGCAAAGAATTACGTCCACAAGGAACAACTTGATAGGTAGAATTTATGAATTATATATTAAAGCACTACTATATCTCGTACTAGGAAAGAACATCATATAGGAAACTGCTAGTTGTACGTTGTAATCTTTTATTATTTTCAAATGATATACCTAGTCCCTGACTGGAACGATATGACCCCTTTCAGGTACCTATCGATGGCAGAGAGAGAACATGTCGCTCCCCAAAACCAAAGAATAAATATCATAGAAAATAAGCCATACTAGTACCGCAATACTGCTCAAGTCTTGTGCTGGTCATTTTGGAGACGATTGAAAGTTCGCAATTACTCCGTACAATATGGTATACTGAGTTACACAGAATCACAGGACTGTCAATGCATTAGCCGTACATCATACAACAACACGACTACTCCACCACCCCGCAACGCTATACTAGAAATATGATGTGTATTGTAAATCTGTGGATCCATTCTCGTACTCCTCTATCGATCCATCTCTAATGCGATTCCAAGCGCCCAGATAAGGACCATTGCTCTGCCTTTCCCTAAGAGGGAATCGTATAATGCCTCTGATCGAACACTCCACCACCTCACATCACATCACACCACCCCATCCGATGTATGTACTGCGCTCGTTTCAGATACGACAGGCCGCTGTGCCAATGACATATATCTCACCCTCTCCCCCTTTCGGGCAACTTCTAGCGAGTACCCGGTTACCGAACTACCCTGGCCTTACAGCAATACTTGTACAACGCGCTGCATTGGGAAATCCTGCTCCGCCTGGGCCAAGCGTTCGGTTGTTGCGGAGGAAGATGAGGAGGGGAGGGGGTGGGAGTCTTGACACCTCGTGATGTATCATGTATCGGATGGGACGGGTGCCTGCGGCAAGGTATGGGTGCGATATGTACGTAGTATTGTATTGAATGCACTGGAGGACTAGATAGACAAGACAAGCGAGGCGCGTCGTACCTTGTTGAAGTCAACTAGGCAAAGGGTGTACGCTTTAGGCCGTTTCTTCCAAGAATATTGGCAGGCACCATTCGGATTTGTCTGTTGATGATGGCGAGGTACGGCGCCATCCAACAAGGCTGAGGAGGCATAGCAACAGTCACAGCAACCGCCAGGCAACAGGCAAGAGGCAACCGGGGGATTAAGCGGACTGGGTGCCTGCATTCGATAGTGATACTGATCTACATGTATGCACACATGTACGTACGTGTGCTGGATATTTGTCAGTCAACCAAAGTAGGCAATGTTGACATTCGGCTGTTATCTTCCTCCGCTTGCTTCCAGCTGAAAGTATAGCCTTGGAGTGTACTCCGTATCTAGGTATACTGTTTAGTAGATTGATGGTTCGAATGTGGGATAATCAGAGTTGTAGTGGACTGCGTATGTTGTTGGTGGGGGCGGATAGGCTATTCTTGGGGATGTGTGCATGCACCGTATAGTACGAGTTGCAGCAAAAAGGCCCCCCTTGTCTGTTCCGTTGTTTATCGGATGTTGTTTCTTTGTTGCTGTGGCTGCTGACTGCCACACCCATCGACACAGTTACAGTACACCCACACCCATACGCACGCACGTACGCACGCACGTACGCAGCCCACGAAGGATTCCACGTGGAAAACGACCGGGGGTTGAAGCAATCTCACAAATGTCCAATACATCCTCGGATATGCCGGAGTCATGCAAAGTACAGCAAGTTGGCAATTGAATCTTGTGTCACTGCCTTGATGTTCCGCCCAAAAAAGAAAGCAATCAATCAATCATGGTTGATGAACCAAGCTATCTTCTTTCATCTCTTTAATGACTGCCGGCAATCGCGATGAGATGGATGAGACGGTGACATGGTCAAATGATGGAATCCCGAGCGTGGCGGGCTTGTCAGGGACCCTGATCACCACCACGGTCGTTGTCGTCATGGTCTTTCTTTGTCTTCTTGGTCGGAGAGGGGAAAACAAGCCGTATCCTGTTTCGATCGGTTACCTTTCCTTTCATCGAGGCCCCCCAGTTGGTCGTCATCCCGCAGAACGCATGTCTCAGCCCACCAGGTACAAGACGTATGTACGGGACTGTAGTCTGATAGTGTGGGTGTTATAAAAATACATGATCGAAAGGGAAGAGGGGGAGAAAGAAAAAAAGCCCCGAGACCGGGGCGAGTTTGGAGGATTCGCCAGCTGCGAGCAATCCATCATGGCGTCCGGACTCGCCGGGGGTGGCTCTATTGTGGCGTTCACCTCGTGGTTCGATTCTTGTAGCTTTGGTTGGTTTTGGGTTCGAGCGCAAGCCACACAGGAACAGGAACAGGACAGGACAGGAACAGAACAGACAAGACAGGACAGGACAGAACAGGGCTAATTCGGCCATTCGCCATTCGCTGTCGTCGCTGTTCGAGCAAAAAAGCTTGGTGGGTGGGCCGGATGTCATGGCCCAACGATTTCTCTCTCCATCTCACTAGAGTGGTCAGGCTGGAGTGGATGATGGTGGAACCGCACACTTGCGCGTACCTGCAGAAGTCGGTCGGCTACCTTGCCTGCTTCTGCTGATGTTGACGCTAGTACATGCGAACCAGACGGTTCAGCTCTTAGAGCAACGAGCTTGAATCGATTGATTACTTAACAGTTAACTATGGTGTACCGTAATCACCAAGTTGGGGACTGGGCTGAACTGGACTGTGACACAGCGTACAGTACATGCAGTAGTGGTGATGGTTATCGCCGTCTTCGCCGCCATCGAGAAAGAGGGGAAAGGAAAGAGAGGGCGTGCGAGATCGAGAATCGGTGGCTGGTCCAGGGCCTGGATCGAGATGCATATACGAAAGTGTATGCGAACAATGAGGTACAATATGGAGGCTGTCAGATAAACTTTTCGAAACACAAGGCATACGTTCGCATCTTGCGCGGCAATTGCTGTGATTGTATTCCGTACTCGTAGCTGTTGCTGTGCTGTGTCCTTAAGGTACGGAGTACTAGATCATGCATCCATCCACGATGGCGCAGGTATTGCACCACACCCATTACTCAAGCGTGCGCATACCCTCTCTCTTCCTTTATTGTGGTTACTCGTATGTAGATGGTATACTTTCGCGAATGCTGGGCAATACGGCGAGCAGACTCTTGGAAGAGGGGAAAGTAGGGTCAGCAGAGCTCAAGACGAGACGAACCATGCCGCGACGGTCGAATGTATGCAGCATCGTGCAGGTGCACAAGAGTATTGGCAGTATATGCGATGCGAACCTGCGATCCTGCAGCTTGTCGCGACGCGAGATGTTGTATCAAGGTGATACAAACTGTATCGATCATGGAGTGAATGATATGGCTGTAGTTAACTCTAGCACGAGGCTTGTAAAGAGTCATTCCGATCCTGCAGGTCCATGTCCTACGGCACGAACACCCTCGTACGGTAATAATCCCCTACTAAGCAGGGCAAGGCAAGACAAAGGCGCCTGCTACGATGCACCTACTTGCTGCTTGTGTGCCCAGTTCTCCGCATTGTTTCCGGACACCCGGGTCTCACACTCAGAATGACTGTATCGGTAATTACTGGTAAGGTTCGAAACAAAAGCAAATTATTCGACGCCTGGCGCTGTGTGTCGCAAGAACTGAGAGTGACGTTTCCATTATTTCCTGCCCGGACATTGGCCCGTGAGGTCCCCGCCCCGTGCAGCGCAATGCAGTGCAGTGTGATATCTGCGACGCAGGAAAATTTTCCAGGAAAGAAGAAGGCTGATCTGGAAAAGAAGAAAAAGAAGCGTACCAGATATTGACGATGATCTGGCTGCATCTCGTCGTAGTATTGCCGAATAGGGGAATCCAGACCAGGAAGCCCCTCGTAACGGCTTTGTTCGGCCAATTTGTCCTCCGCACAAAATCAATTACAATATCAAGTTAATCAATTGACTGACAAGTTTGGGTGGTCGGTGGTTACACGACCTGGCAGACCTCGTTCATCGCATGCGCTTCGATTGATCATCATGGCTATGTATGCATTGGGCGCGCCGATAGTACTGTGTAAAAGAGACACGGAATCATACAGCAACAGTGCATAGTCGTACTTGTAGAATGCATTTGCCGAATCTCATGTTTGTGGATACAGTTTGGCATACATGACAGTAATACAGGACAGTATTGTCAGACAGGGCACGCGTGCCCCTGAAGATCCGATCATGCATGAAATCATAGCTCTAACGTGGTCCCCACGCCACGGACTCTTAATTCGGGCCATTCATATGAGATGAGATGGTATCTGCAGCATGAAGGGGTAAGATGTTTGGTGGCAAATGAAGCAGTCAGATTGTTTCATCAGCTCGTTTGGGCCTGTTACAGGTCAGGTACTGGACTTGTGCCTACGTACAGACCAAGTCGGTAGGGTCGCTCTGGAGTCTGGTCTGGAGTCCAGCAGGATGGTACGAAGGCTAAAGAGGGATTAGGGCAGATGGAGAAAGAAAAAAAATAAGAAAGGAAACGAGGAGCGCGGCCCTTGATGGGCTGGTCTCGAAAGGAGACGGATCCTGGAAGTCCACGTGGTGGACCGTGGGATGGCTTCGATGGCTTCGATGGCTGGCATGGCCGCGGCTCAGCTGCAATAACCAAGCTGCTGGGTGTGTGTTTGTCTTCCTCCTCGTATGTGCATACCGTACAAGGTATACAGCAATCGTGAAATGGGAACGCCGATGGTGGCTGCTTGGGCATGCTGCCACAAGTTCCCACTAAGCTGAACCATCCGTCCAAGACTCCAAATCCAGACTTGAAGTCTTCAACGTACGATGCTGCATCCCACACCATAGACCTATCTGGAATGTTGACACGAAGCCTTCGGCTGTCGGCCAGTCGCAGCGAACGGAACGATCACCCAAGACGGAGCCTTTCACACATGCAAACAGTTACCTACAGACTCTGGCTGCACAGTAATTACACTTTCGGCCAGATAGACAGGGCAGGTTACCGCTAATACGAGCCACACAAACAAGGCGGTCTGCAAACGCTTGTAATTATCATCATTTCGTCACAACTTGGAGTGGCTGGTGGCAGGCAGGCAAGTAGCTAGCCCATCTTAGTTGCCCAGTTCTTTCGTTTAATTTTTTCTTGTTTGCCCTTCTTTTTTTCTCTTGCCGAGACATCCTGCGCACAATGGACAGAAGCATACGACCCATATCTGTTCCGGACTGTCGGAGATGTAGTAATACAACTACACGGTACACCATCGCAAGCCAGGGTGGTTTTCCTGGGGACTTCCTGGGAGCATGACAGGTGAAAAGAAATCTCCCAGACTCACCGCTGGCCGATTGTCAATCCCCAGGCAGGACTAGGTCGGCAAGGAAAAGGAATTAAGTAAGTAATTAAGTGGGAGGCCACAGTGGGGAGTGGGCGTGGACTCAGCGGAGCGAGAACGGAGCGGTCAGGGGCACGGCACCGACTTTTGCACCACCGAGAAATGAAATGGATGGAAGGTCAATGGAAGGAAAGTAGAAGGACGGGAGAAGACGCCCCACTCTCCCTTTCCCTGATCGTCGTGCCCACTGCCCTCTGTCAGCACCGTAGGTAAGTTGTTGTAACTTGGAACCTTGATACAATAATACGAACCAACAGCCAGCAGCCCAATAGTCAACGTCCAGTAGCCAACACCCAACACCAAAGTAGCAAGGCAGCAAAACTCACGATTGGACTTGCAGAACAAGCCCAAGTACTGGAATAATGGACCGGACTGGAGAAACGGCGGTGGGCTAGCGTTTTGGGCAGCAGTACTGCGCAGTGTGTAGACCAACGTGGGAGCATTTTGAAGCCGACATACGTTGTTGACTAAGATCCGACTTGCTAACTAACTAACGATCTTCGCCTACCATCACCGTGTCTCGCAGTTCATCATCGTGGTACGGAGTAGGTATGTAGTAATACTGGAGATACTGTATGAGTATGATTAGTCTTTCAATTTACTGTACTTTTTTCTTCCTCGCCAAGTGACGCCCGCCGATTACCCTTCTGCTGTGTCAGGTTTCGGCGTGGTGACAATAACGGCCACTGCAAACCCCTGCGCATTCCTGGCCCACCTCACTCTCCTCTCGCAACAATGTCCCCTTCGCAAGAACGCACGCACACAATGACATGCGCACGCACTACTTACACAGTACAAGCCAAAGTACGGAGTACACGATCAGATTTGTACAAAACATCTGTAGACGAATTACACACACAGCGCGTTTGGCGCTCCTGTCACCCTTTGAACAGTCCACCCAGCCTTATGAGACAGACCATGCCAGTGCCGGACGTCACTTGTACCACTGGCATTCCTATGCTGCTGACCGCCGGCTGTTTGCTCCTGCTCATACCTAGTCACTTGTACAAGTAATCATGCTGAGAAAGGAGACAGCCTCTCGGGTCAGGGGTGGATTTGAATTTCTTTGATTCCAATATCGGCGTGTCTCCGACCCGTTTGCGCTAGACAAACGTCTGGCACCCAAGGCAATCCCTACAGCCCGTACCTGTGTATGAATGTGTCTAATAATAAAATTGAATAAAATACATCAGCGCACACCTCGTACTGTCAGCAGGACAAGGGTTAGAGGAGGGCGGAGGGGCAATCCTTCTACGATAATGAAATACCTAATCATCACATTGATAACTAACTAACTACTGCATGTATTTTGTAATACTAGGCAGGGCATGCGGTTAATGAGGATGAGCATGAGGATGGCATTGAACCCCAAACATCTTTCTTCACCTTCTCCACAGCAAGCTTAGCGATTAGTGACGAGTGATGTCAGGATGTCAGAATTAGGCATGCAGCCCTCGTGGTGATTCAGCGAGGCGCCGGTGTGCTTCGTCGCCCGCGTTTCAAACACGCAAGGCAGCGCAAATCGTACCCGTACACAGTACTTGGTCGGTGGTAGCCTTGCCCATCATTCTTGTGTGCGAATGAAGAGAGAGGACAGGTCTCCAGTACTTCCGCTCAAGCATTACCGACACACCGTTAGGTACGAGGAAGAGACCAGTCTGATCGGGGGGGCAAGGAGGCGGGGGTTTAGTCGGTTGGATCAACAGCAGATGATTGACACAGTCACGAGGACGATGAAACACGAGAGGATGAGAGAGAAAGAGAGAGTTGTGAGCTGTGCGTTGTGTGCGTTTGCGTTGTATGATTGAGAGTGGTGACAGCCCCTTGTTTCCTCCAATCCGTAACGATCCATGAGTATCCATGTCTCCATGCCATGCCATGCCCCCATGCCAACCTATGTTCCATGTCCCATGTACCTTGTCCAAAAGCGAAGCAAAGAACACCCATGCCATCGTCATGAAAAGGTCCTGACTGACCCCCTCCTCCCCCCCCTTTGGCGTGGTGTGTGGCATGTGGGCAGTAGCAGGGCATTGGCGATGTGTGCACGCTATGCACGGCTCAGAATAGACCCACCCTCGTCGTTCCAAAGCAAGCCCAACCCCCGTCTGCGTCCGTTCACGCCGCCGCCGCTGGCCATCTCCACTGTGGTACCGCTGTTATTACTTTCTTTACCTACTCTACTCTACTACTGTAGGCGTGGTGTGTACCGAAATGTGGTGGTGGGTGTGGTGGTGGTCACTGTAATGGTGGTGGTGGTGGTAATTCACCCCTATCCCTATTCCCTCCAAACAGCCCAAGCCTCAGCTCTCACCGCTTTGGCCTTCCCATGCTCGGTGCCCAGTTCAATTACACCATCATCAAAAATTGTACGTAGGTAGGTAGACTAGGGACGTGTGAAAGTAGCCTTGACCGTCCTTTTCTCTCATTCTCCCCTTGTCGCAATCAAACCCCAAAACATAAATACTCTTTAGCCCCCCGGTTTGCCATAGCTTGGTTTCATTAACACTACACACATTCACATTCACACATATAACATCGACTTCTTACCTCTTACTCTACTACAAGAGAGATATATATCTACCTACTCACAGATACTACCACTACCACTACCACCATCACCATCACCACTACTCTACTATACCACACTACGACATCAGTCTCGGTATACCTTCCTACCAACAACGATCAACTCAACCAATCAACCAATCCACCCAAGAGCCAACAAACTCCTCACATCCTTCGAAATGGCCATCATCAGCAACGAGTCCAACATGTCCACACAAAACCTCCCTCCTTGCCCGGGCCCACCACCAACCCGTCCTTTGCCTCCTGTCCCATCGAAATAAACAGTCCATGGACCATCGTCCATGTTCATGTTTGATTTCTTGACTCGCAATTGACTTTCGGCACGCATCTCTATCTTCTAACCTTACTTCGCCTTACATACCTTTACCCTAATACTCGCTTCGCTCCACACACCAACCGGCCGCCTCGCTCGTGGCATAACTGCGCCATGTCAGTAAGGCCTTCTGCATTGCTATTACGATCCGATCTGGGGAATTGGGGATTAGGCAATGATCCTCCTCTACCTCTTAACTACGACGCCCCAACACTGAACGTCCGTCTTGTCATACGCCAACTCCACGCTTTGCCTGGCTTTACCGGATGAAGCCAGTCTATGCAACCTATCGGACGCCGAACGCCATCATTGCTGAGCTGACATGCGATGCAAGGCTCCTTCCAACGCCTTGCATCCCTGTCGCCGCCACGAGTCTCTGACTCAACGTCGGTCCTGTTTCTTTACTTCGTCTTTCTCTGCTCACAGGCTGGTCCGGGTGGAAGGAACCAGCTTCGTTTTTGTTGCTTATTTTTTTGGTCCTAGTTGCTGCGCCCATCTACTATGGTTCGCATGCACAGCGTTGTAATACTGGAGCGATATCTCCTTCCAACATCACTTTTTCAGTTATGCATCTGCTGGCGCGAAACATGGGGAAATGAACATGTACTGTAACATCATCATTAGACACGGATATCTCTTAGGATTTGCACCAACTTTGGGAGGAGCTTCACAGCCCTCAAGGAATTACGAAATACCCCACCATATTTACTACACGCATTTTAATCAAATCAAAACTTCTCGATCGCTTTTACCTCAAAGAAACATTTGCTCCACTTGCTTTTCTCTCTGTGTGCCTCGCATCTTCCATCCTGATTCCGCTTAGTGACAGACGTGAACCTGATCGGCATTACACAATCAATTGGAGAGGGGAACCTCATCCCAAGGAAACTGTTGTGGGGACGACTTTGTAGCGTAGGGTACCGTTGCCTTAGAACCTCCACGCCTCCCACGGGGACGGCACGCACATGCTAACAAGGGTGATGCGACCATCCCTCGTTATCATGATCAACCTCGCACGTCGGTTAGCATGATATGCAATCCCTTGGACGTATGATATGGAGCATGACGGCAGCGTGGGATCGACATTCTGCATGCAAGTCCTTCTTAGAAATCCTTGCTCTGGGCTGAGATATGATGATGAGAATCATGGGTCGACGCAAGTTGTCCACCGATAATGATGGACAGGACAGGGACGGGATAAGACAGGATAGGATGAGATGCATGCACCGCCATGGCTGAGGCCTAATTACACCTTAGGTAGGTACTGTACAACGACAACAATCCCGCGATCCCCACAAAATCCATTGCAGCGGTGCACAGCATGATGCTAACGTCAGCCAACAATATAAGTCAGCTAGCCCAACTAACCATATTACTTGGTACAGTAATTAGATAGTTGAACATGGTTATCGCTCTAACGTCCCTAGCAATATCCATCATGCCATCCGAATGCGCATGCGTTTTCCTTGCTTTTCGAGAACTAGGACGGAGTACTTGGTCACGGAGTTGCTGTGGAGTATTAAGTGCATACATTATTGCATACAGACATGGACGAAACCTGCTCCTTGCCTGCCGTAGCAACTGGGGCGCTGCTGGATCGCTCGGCATGGAAGGTGGAGTGTGTTCGTAGGAGCCGGATGGCATACAAGCTAGCATGATTGATGAACTGATGATTGCAAGTACCAAACAAGGAAATCTTACGTTCGAATAACAAGCGCGAGTTGCTTTGGGCGTAGACTATACCGTACTATGCATACATACCAACAATTCACTAAAGATGATCCACTACTAGGTCTGCTCGGTCCGCGTAATCCCATCTTAATCTACCATACTGTGTACAGTGCAATGCAGCATGTCTCCTCTCTATCTATACGAACTTAACCACGTGCGATGGGAGGAACAGGTTGTTCTGAGTAAAGTTGGCACGCGAATCTCCTTCGGTAAGCCGTTGGTGCATTTTCCAGAATAATGAATGGGGCCGCTGCTGCATCCGTACATCCATGCTTGCATCATCATCACCACCACCAACATCATCAACAGCATCGTCATGATCATCATCGCGATAATTATGATAGTGTACATGGGCAATTTTGTATTCGAGATTAGGGGGTAAACATTACGAGCACGGAAGCAAAATGCATGGCATATTCGTTTTGGTCATGGTCCACCCGGATACATTCATTATTGTCTTTCATTATTGCTTCCCCTCATCGCCTTCTCCTCTTTCCCCTCTACCTAACTTAATCGTGGCGGGGCAACCATTATGCATCCGCCCTCGCCGTCCCAACACCACAAGACCAGTCTGCCAACCAGCCAGCCATCCGCCAGCCTTTGCAACACAGATCGACGATGGCACAACAGGTCGCCTCATGTCTGTTTGTACTGTACCTTTTCCGTCGCGAGGGAGAGAAATGCATTGTTCTTTACTCCCGCGGAGTCGACGTCGTTCGGTCGCCGCAAAGGCACAGCCTCCACCCACTCAACGAGTTGATCTGGAGACAATTGTCTACCTAATTAGGGTAGGTATAAACCGAATCGAATCATTATTGCGCGTAAGCCGTGTGGCAGAACAGCCACAAGAACCTTGATAGATATCCGGCCCTGAACGGATCGAACGTGCTTATTCCCTACAAGTTCAAGACAAGGACAGTGGCGCTTGGGGCGCTTAGTCTCCCTTTGTGTTGTCTACGGTCAACACTCCGCCCTGGCGCATTGGGTAGAGGTCAAGTCAATAATTGGTCCATAACTATATCCTACCGATCGGTGTGACCGTCAGCAAGCAAGCAAGCAAGCTGGAACTTGAGTTGGATCTAGGGCTGGAGCTGGAGCTGGAACTGGGCCCTTTGATCCGGATTGAGGGCAAACACCATCACCCATTGGTATCAACCACCCCTCTTCCTGCTCCTCATACGGCTGGGCTGTTCAGCCAAGGCGCTCAACTATCTACTCCACAACGAATCGGTTCAATGGCGATGATGAACGTGCACAGAACGAGTATCATCTTTTAGAAACGGTTGAACGGACGGGAGGCTTGCTGGCCGCACTGCCCTGCCCTGACCTGGCCTGACCGGACCGACCTGACTTGACTTTGACCGGACTGAATATGCAGGCCAACAGGACGAGATGGAGTTAAAGTGCAGCGCAATAATAGAACAACATCCCAAGGACGGACAGAGAGTTCAGTCGAGCATGGCGCCGCCAAATGCAGCCATTGAAGGAGCTACTAGCTAGCAATTGATCATCTGCTAGCACTACTCGTATGCAGCAATTGCTCCTCACGATGATTCCTTTTCGTTTTTACTTTTTCGTCTCTGCATCGTCCTTCCTTCGCTCTAGCCTCTACCTAGGTGGTTGTGTTGTTGGCGCGGCACGCACGCACGCACGCACGCACGCAGCTGCACACACGTATGCTCTGCAGCATGCAACTGCAGATTATTGCTGAGAAAGTCGTTCTTGCTTGCTTTTGTGGCATTCTCCGAACCTTTTTCGTCCCTCTCTCTAGGTACTCCAAGATTGGGGATCTTGGGTCCCATGACCACAATGTCTGTCTGACACGAAACAGCATAACACTTACCCAAGCAAGGTCTACAGCATCATGATTGATGGATATTTATCGTTGTCATCGTCGTCGTGTTGGCAACATGCCTTGTCTGGTCCATTTGAATACCTGCCTGCCTGGCGCCTTGTCTTGTCAGGAACGATCGGTCGCGTCAGCGCATCAGCAGCGCATCATCACCACCACCGTCGGAGAGAGCGCCGAGCCCCCTCTCTCCACCTACAAATTCACATACAATTTGCCTACACCCTGATACACATAAACAGACTAGCTGTCGTACGGAAGAGTATCGACTAGCAGGTATTGCCTCCATCATCAAACAATCAGCACTTAGAGGGCCTGCCGCTCGAACAGAATGCGACACAGCATGTACGCCGTCTGTATGCATGCATGTGTACGGAGTACTTCGCACCAATACAACAGTACAACGCAGCGGCGTCTGGAATTCTGCAGCCTGCCTTCGATGCAGTACGTGCAGCAGCAAGGCAAGCCAAGGCAAAGCAAGCAAGCACATATCAATCACATGCGCATGTGCATTTCGCGTGCGAGAGAGACCAAATGCTGCACAAGCATCCATCGTCTCTGCTAATCCTTGCCAGCAGATCCTTTTCTGTACGGTATTTTACTTGCCCAGCCGTTTCTCTTGTCTGCAAGTTCAACTTGCACGCCTATTGCGGCAGAACGAAGACATTTCCCACAATTCATCTTCCCGCCTTACGGAGACCCTGATAATCCAAAGTGGATTCTAACACGGGAAGACTTTTATGACTCCTCGCTGGGCCGCAAGGCAGCACCCCACAGGAACCCAAGGAAATCCTTCCTGAGCGGTGAGCCACGTCACGAACAAGGACAACGCTGGTGAATCGTGATGATAGAATTGCGCTGTCCTGGTCCTCCTGGACCCTTGGATAGGTAGTTATAGTTACCGGTTCATAGTTCACACTGTGAACGGGGGTACTCCGTATCGAATACCCAAATCTTCACGAACTTAACGATCATTTACAGGGTATTGAACGACGGGCCACTACTGCAGGAAGACCGACAGAAGCATACCAGGATCTCTGCCTTATCTGCGTCTTACGACTCTTACCAACTTCATCCTTTGATTATTATCCAAATGCCAATTCCTTGTGTGCGTGTGAGTCATTCGCTTCCTTGCAACAATGATCTGCATTTGGCGCCGGAGCGACATCACCAAATTTGAAGAGTTATGTCCGTCTCTCATGCTCTCTATTGATGAGGTTTCAGATTAATAATGATTACATTCGCCGTACCAAAAGGCATAGGGCTTCATGTCAGAAATAAAAACGAAAGGCTTGAGATCATGAACGGAATGGAGGGATAAGTCCATGGATTGAACATGAACTCTACTCTGTACAAATGACGTCCACCATCAGTTCGAGAGATGTGCGGAGTGACAGTTCGGTTGTTCAAACTGCAATTGGGCAAGGACGGTCGTGCCCACAAAAGTGACGATTGCCGGTGTCGAAATCTACAATTTTGTCCATCCGCCAAACTCACCAGAGGCAGGATGTGCGACATCGCCCCGTGCTAGCGATCAAATCAATCTTGAAGCGAACTGACAGGACGGTGGGGTGGGAAAGGACAGGGCAGGCTTGTCACACGATTCCAAGGCCATGGGAACGAGAGTTACGAGACAGAAGCAAACCTCGCAGCGATTCCCCAATTAAGTCTTTCAGACACCATTTTGGGGATCGTGAACAAAGAGCGGCTCCAAACGGCAGCGGACGACCGTTTAACTTACTCCCCCTTGCTTAATATTCTCCAACCTCTTCTTTTACTCGCGCTCTCTCTCCTGAACGCTTCCTAAAGCCGCTAAGAATGTGACGGCCTCTTGCACACGAAACAGGGAATCCATGTCTAATTCGGCGAAATTCGCTCGGTGTCCTTGGGCCTTGCCATAGCGAGAACGATAAACTTGCCTCCTTTTTTTTGCCACCGCCTAGGGTTTGACGATGTCAAGTTCGTCGAAACCTTTTTTTTTTATTCTTTGACCTTATTTCTTCCGCCCTGCCTCACCCTGCCCTGTTCGTTTCGCAATTGCTTCTCATTCGCCCAATCAGACCGCCTCCCCTGAAAATCTTACCATTGCCTGTGACCTCATTCCTTCCTTTACCGAAGGTTCACGCTAAGTGCCGTGATTCTTGGCAGGTACAAGTTCATTCAGTACTGCACAAATCCTGTGTACCTGACCTGGTCGGCGTCAGGAGGCCAACGACTCGTAGCAGATTAATACTACAATGTTATACCCTCTGAAACATCGCTTCGAATAGGTGTATCGTCGGGCAATTCAGCCACGGCCGAGGTTCCCTCGCCACTACCGTACGTATACTTGTACGTATGTGGTAGAGGCGAGGTGAGAAGGGTTTTATCTCCGGTCCCAGAAGAGACATTGCTCTATCATACCAACTACAATCTCACGCCCTGTTTTCTTCCATGGTCAGAAAGACGAGACGATAGCTTCGCCGCGGTAGCCGCACCGCCACTTGCGCACGCCCCCAGGTACAAGTGACAAAAGTGTAACAAAGACCAAGCAACATGCGAACAAGGACAGGAACAGGAATAGGAACAGGAACAAGCGAGCGACCCCTACCGCTCATTCACTTAAATGCCGTATCATGGGGTTGATGGGTCAGAAGGCCTGCATGCCAATCCCAAGGCCGCGGGGGGATAAATGGCTATGAATTTTGCATAGCAATTCTCTACATATGCATATCACTGGTCCATTGGCCTTTCACCCGCCTCGCTCGTGAATGGCATGGCATGGCATGTATGGCAAAATAAGAATCAATCAACTTCCCATCACATCCCCCCACGCACGCACGCGCGTGCTGCGCGTGACCATTATCCATGGACCATATCCTCCCTCCTCTTTACCAGGGTGAACGAACATCAATATCAATATCAATCAAGCCCAGCGTCAGCCAGGTCTTCGAAATCGTCGTCCCACGTGCGGCATTCGCGGACGTCACCCATGCTGGATGACGCTGATATCGCGGCCCACATATAACTGTAATCTCACCCTGCCTATATAACTCCTGGGGGAGGGAGCTGAATAATGTCACGAGCCACATGAACATCGATCCCCGTAATTGACTCTTGCCCGTGTGAATTACTCATAATCCCTATTCCCGGCCGGGGGGGAGGAGGTCGGTCACTTGATCGGTCGAGCGAGGGAGCCAATTGAGATAATGCTGATGGTACATATTGATGATAGTGGTATTAAATCCATTGGTTTTGATCTATTTTGGGATTCAGGCTACCTACTTATCGCTCCTATACGATTGCAGGGGATATTGTCACTAATCGATTCTCTCGTTGATATATCCGCTCCTTATTGACCAAGGTCGGTAAGAGGACAGGGCAGGGCAGGACAGGACGAGGAAGATGACCAGCCACAAGACAATGGCAGCAAGCAAGGTAAGGCGGGGTAGATTTTCACCTCACACCGCCGTAGGTCACGAACTTGCGCTTGTCTGTTCCATTGTAAGGCCTGATTCGAAGCTCAAATGAGCGCAAAGAGGGATCGAATGGGGAAGTACACAACATGGTTGGAAGTGCTCAGAACCCGACTTGTCGTGCGAGAGTTGGGCACGTTCTCACCAGGAGCAAGATCACTTCAGACGTCACTCATAGCTTCCAAACGGTTGACTTGGGAAGATGAAAGATACGTTGACATTCCCATGACGGAGGACATATCTGAAGCACCGGCGCGGCATCATTGTGAAAGAACGGATGTAGTCCAATTCCGCCCAAAAAGAAAACAGCAATTACCGTCATGATATATCATAAATCCTTCCCCCAAAGCCCATCATTACATCATTATTTGTGCAGGTTGATCAAGCAGCGTAGAAGACCCTATGCTCGCTCCCCTTTCCTTCCGGTGGCCTTCAGCTTTGCCGCAAGATCTATCACGCCGTTGGCCCATATATCCATGTCTTTCTCCCCCTTCACTGTGTCGCCACAGAAGTTACTAAGAAAATCGCACATGGTCTTGACTTTATACTTCTCGCCGTAGATGAGCTCCGCCTTGGGCTCGACTTGCGTTTCGATGCCCTGCGGAGTTAAAGCAACCCCTATCTCGAAGGTGACACGGACTTTGGTTTGGAGAGTTGGTAGAAGCATATTCGATGAGATTCCCATGCGCTCATCAGAGAGGATGAACTCATCCGTAATGTAGCTGTGCTCAAGCCAGCGGGCGCCTTCAGCAACAGCCAACGCAGTTGACCAACCATTCTTGACCAAGGCAAGGACGTCACGGATTCGAGTCTGCGATTGTGGTATCGAATGTAGATGCCCTCGCAGAAGTTGTAGGAAGAAACGTTTGCTCGTTGTAAGAGGCCGTGGGTGTGGGGTTGCCGTGTCCCCAATGTAGGTCAAAGAGATCGACGCATTGGGTGTATCGGCCCCCGTAGCGAAAGCAGAGGGCTGAAAGTACAGCTCTAGATCGTTCAAGTGTGCCATGGTGATTGCCTTGGACGATGCAGAGGTTATGCTCCAGCCGTGGGCGCGTTCCAACGTGGTCACTTTGGCTGTTCTCATGTTAGATTCGTTCCTACGTTGCAAAAAAAGATCTCTCGCTCACCTCTGAGTCCATTGACTTCAGTTGTAGACCAGCCGCGGTACTCTTCCCGAACACGTTCGGCTTCCTTAATCTGATGCACACATTCCACTTTGCGTTCTTTCGCGGCCTGTATGAACGCTTCCTTGTTGGCAAGTTCACTTTGTAGCTCTGCAATCACCCGTCGCTTCGATGCTAGCTCGGAGTCAGTCGCTTGAAGTTGCTCGCGCGTGAGTTCAAGTTCCTCGCGGTCACAACTGTTCAGCTCGTCATGTCGCTGTTGCAGCTGGGAACACTCCACTTGCAATTGCCCATGCTGCTCCTCCAAAGAGGGCAGAACGGAATCAAGCAGCTTCTCTCGCTTAGCTAGAACTCCTTCATCCCGCTTGAGGCCGCTCATGGTGCCTAGTAGACCGTTTTTGAGATCGTGAAGCAGGGTGCTTCGCCAACTGTACCATTCGCCACGTGCTTCCAGCCTGGCATTAGTCTTAAGATTCTTGAATTGGTTATCCATGACAGCGCGCTGATCCGGTGGAGCAGTGAGATATTCGCTGAATAACAACGGATTATCTTCCATGACATTGGCTTCCATGGTCCTTACAAAGTGGCGTCCATCGGAGATATACTTCTTCATTTCGTGACATGCGTGTTGGTAGAGTTCGAACTCTGGAAGGGTACAAGCCGCCGCAACAACGTAGCGATCCAACGATTCCTCCTTCTCTTCTACTTCCGTATCGCGGAATGCAGCAGGCGCGGCGGTGTGCCTGCGTTTCGTCGTGCTCAGATCCATAAAACGAATCTTGGTCATGTCGAGGAATTCCTGCAGGGAGATTCGCTCCACTTCCTCATCGGGCTGGCCATCATGTTCATCTTCGAGATTACCTTTGTCCTCCTGCTCGGGCTCTGCACCAAATGCTACTCGCTTTTGTGGGCTAACACTCCTGCGTGGGGTTGCTTTCTTGGGGGTAGACGCTTTCTGTTTTGGAGTCAAAGCCTTTTGAGGAGAACGCGATTTGAAGGGAGATGGCGCACCCCGTTTGACTGGCGACGATAACGCTTGTTTCCTGGGGGTAGACAATAGCTTGATATTGTCAGCTAGTGATGTTGCGGCCTTCAGGACCGGAACTTGTGGGGCAGTTGCAAGGGGACTATAATGGACAGATGATAAAGAGGATCGACGTCGATTGAGGATCGGGGCTGCAATGGGGTCGCCCGGTATCGCTTCTACGAAGCCTGCCGAAGACCCATCCACTGGCGTTGAGACACGGTCATCATGAGTTGAAGATATCTGCGGTGTGGTTCGCACGAAGGGAGAAGGCTCGAAGTCCTCGATTACTTGCGCTGGGATGGTGTCAGGGGTCAAAAGAGTCGCGCCTTTTCGGCGAGCGTCTGGTGATTTCTGCGGCGTAACAGATGCTTGCTTTGGGGAAGGCAAAGGCTTTGTTGGTTTCAGATCGGACAGTTTACGTTTTGCTGGAGATTTTGATACAGATCTGACGGGAGTTGGGGACTCGATTTTGGACGGCGTAGAGATGCTCACCCCAGTCGTGTGCTTTTCTGGAGTGCTAATCTGCTTATTTAATAGCTGGATGCCGCCCACGACGGTTGTGAACTCCATGGACATATCCTCATCGTCGTCGTCTTGATCACTGCTTTCAGGCTGTGTATGGGGGGGTGCAGGTGCATCTTTGATGCTACCCATGGCTACCGTGAAGTCCATCGTTGCGTCCCCGAATGATGTTTCCACGCTGTTCCGTCGCGAAGCTGCTTGCTTTGGCCCGGGCGCCTTGCTAGTAATGCCACCAATGGCTGTAGTAAATTCCATAGTCATATCTCCGGGTGACGAAGCTTCTTCAGGCTGAGTTCGGTTGCGAAGGCTGGTGCGACGACCTGTTGGCCGTTTGGCTGGACTGCCTTGTGAACCCTCAAGCATCGAGACGCGTCTCTTCAAACTCTTTCGCCGGCCCGCGTTTTCTTGGGTACTGCTTTGCTGAATAGCACCCAAGGGCATTGTCAAGTCCATGCTGATGTCCTCTACATCGTCTTGGCTGCTAGCTGGAGGTACGATTCTGCCCATCGCGCGGGTGATGTCCATGCTCATTTCCTCTTCATCGCCTTCTTCGTCACTTGGTGTCGTCGCAGGAAGTGCTGGATAGAACGGGTCCATGCCATCCTGATCCTGGAGTGGTGTTGCGGCAGGTTTCCTTATCCAAGGCGTAAATGTCGCTGTTATCTCGTCTGCTAGCTCCATGGTCTTGTCCCCATCGTCGTCGAAGTCTAGTCTTTGAGTTTCCGCATGCGCAGTAGCTTGGCGTAAAGCAGCATCCAGCCGCCCGCTGCTTGCAGTTGAATCCTCCGATGGAGATGCATTATTCTTCGCTCCTGATTCCTCGTTGTCTTCCGAGTCGCTCACGATATCGTCCCCACCGCTCGAGTCATTGTCCCCGCTTGCTGGACTGGACGAAAGGATGTCGCCCGGGTTGTTGAAGTTCATGGGAGGTATTCCAGAGCTCCGACGACGATTCTTCTTCTGGTGCAGGTCCCGTTGGTTTGCGGGCGATGATTCAACTTCTGGTTCTCGCTCCTCGACTTGCTCCGGAGGTGTAGAAGGCGGCTCTTCGACATCGAAACTAGGCCCAGGCGAGGCGCCTGTGGAAGCCTGAGAGACTTCGGACGCTCGCCGTGTTGCGTCAGACGATGCAGATGAAGTAGTTGCGTCGCGCAGGTACTCGACCACGTCCCATGTATGTAATGTAGCCTCGGGGGCGAAAGACACGCGTCGTTTAGCTATCCGGCGAGTCAGATTGGAATAATGCCATTTGAGCGTAAGAATGGTGCACACCTAGGGATTTGCGTCGAGCTTCGCGTCGCTTTTTCTCATCTTCATCGTTCGAAGCAAGGATGGACTTGACGGCGGGGATGAATGCAGACTATGTTCGCAATTAGTTTATAAGATTCAATGATTGGGCCAAATTCGCGCTTACCTTCCTGCGATTTCCTTTGCTCTCCTTCAACGCGGGCTCTTCCAGCGCGTTCAGACCGCCAGGGCCGATGCTCTTGCTTCGCGTGCGCCGGGCGGATTTCTTTGGGGATAGGGATGAACTTCTGTTGCGAGACGGGGCGGATGAGGTTGGTGCGGCGACCAGACCATCCGCGATATTCTCCTTGCCTGAGCCATTCGCCATGGTGTGGGTGTGGAAAGGAAAATGAGGAACAATGAATTGAGGCCGTGTTTGGCGCAGGCATGCAGAGTGTAGATGTTTGTTATTGATGTTGTTTTGGTCAAGCGCGGGTCCTCCCAGCAGTCCGTGCGCGACGTACATCATCCCGCCCTCCAATAGCGATCCACGATAACGCCTGCCAATCCTATCGGGCATGCCCTACACAGTATACATATATCACGGAGGAGCGAAATATTCCCTATTATCTTCAGATGTTCCTTCAATGTCTCATGTTCGCATGGCCATGTTTGTTTGTCTTGAAGCCTGAACAAACCCAACCGTACTCTTCTGTGTATTTCTCTCTGCGTCGTCGCCCGTGATTCTTGTTCACTGTCAATCGCTGGTGATGAGATGGGATAGATGGCCCAAGCGCGGACTATCCCATCACAAACCTACTAATTACTGCCTCGCGGACGCCTCTCGCCAAACGCTGTGGCACTGTCCTGCGTCCTCTCCAGGACTTCCTCAGCCAGACACGGAATACATCCTATACTATCGTCACCTCAAAGAAAGTATAGAAGATTCCTCATGAGAGCCTCTTCTTTCGCCTTCACCTTCGGAGTCATGAATCAATGATCACTTAAGCAAAATCTTGAAAGGCTGTCGGCTGCATCTTGTTAGGCCATAGACATGGCAAATAGAATGCATTCGCAGCCTGGCAGCAGACATGATCCTATCGAGGTCGAAGATAGTGACGAATATGATGACCACCCAACGCTATCCTCACATCGAGAGCCCTACGTCCCAGCACGCGTTCGACTTGGGAATAGTCATCAGCTTCCCAATCACCATTCTGGTATCGGACTTCCTTCTCTCAAGGACGCTATATTATCCGGCGATAAGTGCCCACATCAATTCCAAAGGCCTTCGACGTCTCAAAATGTCATCAACTTGCTCGATGGAGACAACTGTAAGGTTGAACAGAATCTGAAAACCTACAATTCCACCGTGAAATTGCCATGGCGAACACCTACAAAATCCACTGTTCAATTTGAACCACTTAAGACCAATCAAAGCCACGAGGTTCCGAAACGAGGACCGGCCATAGATGTTGTAGGTGGTACAAAAGTCCCCCCACCATCTTATGTCCTCAATCAAGATGGTGGCACACGCGAATTTTCGGTTGCTAGCATGCTCAATGTCGAGAAACTAGGACCTGCAGGTGATACAATGCATGTTGCATATCACAGCCGTACAGATGACCGCAGAGATCTCGATCATCATCGTCGTCCACTCAACGGCACGCACCAGCACGTGTTACAAGCATCTCACCAACACCAACACCCGGAACGTTTGAGAAACATAAGTGATATGGGCAGCACTGTGTCCACATCGAAGCCAAACATGGCATTGCATGGTGCCGAGAGCATCGTTACGTCGACGCTCTGTACGTCGCTCGGAACTACTGTGCAAGTCGACGCTAGTACATTCACGAAGGGCGACCCCATCAGGAGCAACGGTGGTACTGGGACAAGCGCAGATCGAACTAGCAAAGCATACTCAGACTTAACGTCTCGACCACTCGTTACCAACAAAGCTGGAGATAACATTCATGAACTGAGGGAGACTCTGGAAATGAAGACGCGAGCAGCACACAAACATGTGGATGCGCTAGCTCTTGCTATCTCTCAGAGAGAGCCCCCTGTAAAAGGAACACCTGCTTTCACAGGGGCAAAATCTAGAACCGATATTGAAAATCTTGTTCACAAGCACGTTACCGAGCTCCACAAGACTCATGCTTATTCTATAAAGGTACGTTGAGTTCACACATGTGGAGACAATTACTAAAATACGAAGCATCTCCTACGCAGACAGCGCATGACTCTCGCCCGTTCTTCGAAGATGCCGTGCCGTTCTCAACTTTCCGACGTAAGCGTTAGGGCTCAAGATGGGGAAGAATCAGGGCAATTGGATCCATTCTGCAACATGAAACCCATTTCTGTCGCCAAGGGAAACGTTAAGTCGCAACAGAAGATGATGACCTTCAATCAACTAAGAACAGATGGAAGCAAAGCAGCCGATATATCAGCTCCTGTGACGAAGTATCGAACGGATGTGCCGAAGTTGCCTACGTATAGGCAGCATGTTCAACTGCAAACCAGCTTTCTCCAAGTGAACAACGACACTTTGAGCTACTGGCCTCTCTTCATTGATGACCCCGATAAGCGGGCTTTCGACAGAAAAATAGAAAAAAACTACAAATGCACACATGCGCTCCACCCTCTGCAACATGTGGAACTGGAGAGATGTCGCATTTACACTCCTTATGTCAATCAAATCGTGGAGTCTATCGGTACAAGCTGGGAAGCAATTTTGTACTGGTATTTGGTTCCAGATGAATCTGTACAAGGAATTGGGCGTGAAGTGAATAACTTGAGTGGAGAATACTTCAGACGTATTATTGAGGATCGCACAGGGGATAGGCGTATCATGGATCAAGGCAGGAACAAGACAAAGTGGAGGAAGGTTTTTGAACGTTTATCGCAACCGTCTCCCACGCATTTGCAAACGGTAGCAATATGCGCCACAAGCTTCTTACAAAGGACTGGTTTCAGTCTCTGGCAGCTAGTACGGTACAGTCCAATCTTGAGCAATCACATTGCAAGCATAGTCGGACCAGCTACCCAACCTGAGTTCTCATACAAGAAAAATCTTTGTCGCGTCTGCTTCCAGTAAGTCAAACAGTTTCAGTCTTTGTCAGCAGCATACTAATCAGCTTATTAGGTATCAATGCCAGTATCACGGTGAAGTTCGAGAAGTCGTCGACTCGGACAGTGACGCTACGGATCTGGAAGAATCATCTTCATCTGACTCGAGTAGCGAAGAGGAGGGTAGTCAGTATTCCGCCCAAGGATCAACAAAGAATCTGGCAAGGGATGTTGCAGGTCGGCAAGGCAATGAATGCGATATCCAAGACGATACAGACGTCGAGACTGTAATCAATTACAGGCGAACGCCAGGTCTTCATCGCGTGAAGCGGCCTGATGCAGACGCGACCGACAGCGAGAAAGCCCTTCCGAAATTTGACCGTAAGCTTTGGCAGAAAGGCAAAACTCACCGACTGGATGTACGAAAGCCTTTCCTGCCGTGCGATCATGAAGGTCGCTGTGAGGATGCCTTGTGCCGTTGCTTTCGCCAAAATGTCATGTGTGAAAAGAGCTGTGGGTGTTCAGTCTCATGCTCCAGACGCTATCGTGGCTGTAAATGCCGAAGCCTGGGAAATGGACGCCCCTGCGGTGTCAGGTCGTATTGCGACTGTGTACAAATGAACCGGGAGTGTGATCCGGACTTGTGTGGAGGATGTGGAGCAGCCGAAGTTCTCGATCCTTTAAACCGAGACAACGACGACATTCTCGACCATCGGTGCAATAATGTTAGCATTCAACGGAATGTTCCTGCAAAGACTCTTCAAGGGAAGTCTCCAGTACATGGCGTCGGGCTTTTTGCGGGCGAGGAACTTAAGAGAGACAGTTTCATCGGCGAATATATCGGTGAAATCATCTCTTACCCAGAGATGAAAAGGCGCAACTACATCTACAAGCCGCTTAAGATGTCCTATTTGTTTAAAGAAAATAAAAGTAAGTCCTTCAAAAACGGTACAATATAGATGATGCCTAACAATCCATGCAAGGCCAAGATGTAGATGCGATGCGCGCCGGTAACAAGCTCCGCTTTATCAACCACGCCGAAGAAAGCAAAACAAACTGTTATCCATGGGTCAAGTTCTGCAACACAACTTTCCGAATTGGCTTCTTTGCGAAAGAGAACATGAAACCTGGGACCGAATTGTTCTTCTACTACAACTGGTCAGATGAAGTTACCGAAGGCTACAAGCAGCCTAATCAAGAGCACGACTCTGAAAGCAAGATTATGGCTGTCAAAACCAAAAAGGGCGTTCCACGGGCTCCAACAGGCCAACTTCAGAAAGGAATGTTGCTCGGTCCCCCAAGTTCAAAGGCAAGAAAGCACGGCTCTGGTGTTTCGCTGCGTCCAAGGTCACTCCTAGAGAGTCAAGAAAGCAATGACTTGTGGCCGCCCATGCCATCTTCAGATAAAGAAGATGGTGATTGGGGAGCGGAACATAGAGGCGAAGAAAATAGATATGCCGTCTCCAGTAAACCCAAGAGGACGAGTAGAAGGGCCCGAATCGAAAGAGACGCTGACACAGACGATGACATCCCCCTAGTGCCTGAATCTCGCCGTCGGCGTTGGCCTACAAAAAGGAAGCGGGAGGCAGATGATGACGATGACGACGAAGATGAGGAATGAACATATATCCAGGCAAGGTCTTCGTCAAGACGGCGCTTTATCATAGCGCTGACCGAAATGATACCGTAACGGGCTCTAAGAGGCCTCTATGAGTCCAACCCTTGTGAATATCAGCTGGAAAGCCGAGCGCTAAGTATACCCATCAGGAGTACGAATCCAAATTTACAACATCTGATAATAGCGTGCCTTCATTGATCATTGGGTATCACATAAATTCTATCTAGAGTTACCAACAAATCATGGTCTTATTAACGCTTATTCCATTAAAGAAATTCCGTGGGTCATTGCGACTGTCGTGATTTTATTACTTCTATAATGTGTAGCTAATAACTCATTTGACCTTTCTCGATTTTCTAGTTCTCCTCTGCTGACTAGAATTTGAGCCCACCCCTTCATCAATGTCACTTCCGACATACTCGTCTGCAGTATCGTCGGAGGCTGCATCCTTGCCCTGTTTTCGTTTTTTCGTCCTCGTATTGCTTGTTATACCTTCAGAGACAGCGCTTACAGTCTCGACAGCACCATCCTGATCATCCGGCTGCGACTCATCTGGCGCTTGCCTCTCCCTTTCTGCAAGTCGTGTCAGGGCAGCTCCCAGTCTCTTCCCTGCAGCTGATTTTCCCTTCTTCTTCCCGGTGGGCCCCCCCTCTCCACCGGCCCTTGCCCTCGGAGCGAATGCTCCTGCGCCGACGCTTCCCTCGAAAAACCTAGTGATGTTGCTTTGGGTGCCTTCCTTCTCCCTTTTGTTCATGTCCTTGATGACTGGCACCAGTACCTCATCGGTGCGCTCCCAACTCCAGCCGATCTGGGAACTGAGAAATGTGCGCAAGGCGGCAAGGTCAGGCACACCCCATTGAAAGGGCTGTGGGTCGCTGTCGACATCGGGCTTAAGGTACGCCTCGGTGACGTTGAAGTCTGGAAAAGTAGGCGGGAGGAAGAGCTTGGTGCCCTGTGAGCGGCGGAACCGGCGACGAAATTGGGAGCCCTTATCTGCTTCCTTGGAGATGCTGCCATCCTGGACGCCGGTCCACCAGTCCTTGAAGGCCTGTAGGGTGCCAAACTCGGAGAGGATCTCGAGAGCAGTCACCGGTCCGATGCCAGAGATCCCGGTAGTGTAATCGGAGCCAAGCAGTTGGGCGATCGCAATGAGCTTGTCGCGGGTGAGAGAGAATTCCGAGGCTAGGTCGTTGGCAAGATAACATTCTACGAATTTGGCGGCATTGAACATGTTCTTGTAGACACGCGTGCCGCCGAAAAGGAAGGTATCGGAATCGTCGGTGACAATACCGTCGACGAGGCCGAGGTGTACGAGCTCCGCGCATTGAGCTTCGGCTTCCATAGGTGCTGTGATGTAAGGTAGGCCGAAGAGTGTTAACAGATGCTGGCACTCAGCGATCATTGTTTGTGTGACTTCGTCGGCATCCCTGCGATCTTTCTTTTGTTGAGCGCGAAGTTGCTTTAATTCCTCGTTGAAGTCGATCCGCGTGGTCTGGGCGTTGTTGAGCTCCTGCGCAAATCGTGCATGTTCTTCAGCTTCTGCAGCTAGAGACGCGAAGAGCTCCGCGTCTTCTGGGTCCGAGTATTGGTCGGACTCATCGTCAGGAAGCTCCAATGGTGCATTGTCGTCGGCAAGTCCATCTCGCGGAGGAACAACCGCAACCTCAAGATCTACAGCACCTTGCAGCTCTATGGGGGATGGCTCACGCCTCGGAAGCTGAGTCAAGTTGGCTTGAAGAGGAACATCCTCAAATTCGGGCGACGGGGATTTCGGAAGCTCAACATCGTTTCTCCCTTCTCCAATAGGTACATCTTCAAACACGGGGGATGGTGACTTTGCACCCGCCGCTTCAAGCTCGGTGACGTTACCGGTTGACTTTGATTGCTGACGTAGAGACCTGTCAAGATCTGGCTCGCTTTCAGACCAGTCGATTGGTTCGTCATCCGACTCTTGTTCGAATGGTTGAGTGGGCTGAATCTTCGGGGCCTCTGGCGATGGTTTCGGTGGTTCAGCTCGGACCTTTTCAGCCAGATCACCCATGCGAACGTTTGGATCGACAGTGATCACAGCTTCGATATCTTCCTCTCCATCTGACTGTATCGTGATAGGCTCTCTTTGCGTTTCATGAGACGATGGGCCGTCAAGGTCTATGACCTCACGAGTGTCCTGTTTTCTCAGTCGTGGGACTTCCTGAAATTGAAAGTGTGTCTCTTCTTCTTTGCGTGCTTGTTCCCAGCTTTGCCGTTCCTCTTCCCTCTGTGCAGTCAAATCATCTCTCATATCCCGTTCACCTTGGAACCAAGGTGGAAGTGGCTCAGCCTTCTCTTTCTTTCCCTGCTCTTGCTTTTTCTCGAAGCCGCCGGCAGTCTCTTGCTCTATCTTTTCCATCTTCTTTTTTCCAAGTATGGAGTTCCCAAGATTGAGCCTTTCAAATGGCAAGGGTCCGTCGAAACCAGGAGCATTCGTGGGCTTGTGGGCTGGCTTGGGCGTTGGTGAGTGTACTGCGACCGGCGATCTTGAGCTTCGTCGCTTCGCAGAAGTGGTTCTCTTCGATCTCCTCGATTCTGCCAATGCAGCTTGCAGATCCATGTCATCATCCTCACTATCGCTCCCGTTGAATGGACCTGTTGGGGCAAGTTTACTACTCCGCTGATTTGCCATTCTTGCGATGGCTAGGCCCGAACCTTTGCCAGAAAAAGGAGCGGGTTCTTCAACTCGTTCTTGCTGGAAGACTTCTCCATATATATCCTCTTCTGAATCATTTGATTGATCTGCTGGCTCTCCGTCCTGCTGGCCGAGAGATAGCGCAATGGCTTTCTTCAGCTGCTCATCCTCCTCACTGTCGCCGGCTTCTTCGAAAAGGTCGTCTTCATTGTCATCTGGCACATGCTCCCATTCCGCCGCTTGTGTCTCGTCTGCAAGAAAGAGAGAATCGGGATCTTGTTCGGGCTGTTCGACTCTCCTTGGCTTAGGCTTTGTGGATCCCCTCTTTCTTGATTGGTAGAATCGCTGCCTGCGCTTCGCCAGTTCTCTGGAAATGAACTCCCGACCCTCTTTGTCTTTCTCTGATGCACCAGCTTTAGGCTTTGGTAGTCTGTTGAGACCTTCGATTGGAACATCTTCAAAATCATCCTCATCCTCCCAATCTTCTTCCTTAAATTCGGGTGGTGAACTTCGATCCACGTCTATAGGCTTGTCTGCTTTACCTTCATCTTTGTTGGTTACTACTCCCAAGGCCCATCCGCCCTCCACACCGTCATTTTTGACAAGTACATATTCTCTGCCCTTCTCGCCAGCGACGCGATTTACAGCATTGTTCCCAAACATTGCATCATCTGACATGCCATTAAGATTCATCAATCGCTGTGTCAGTTCATTTCGTTCCCGGACTCGCTCAATCTGAAATTTCGAGAACGCCATTCTGTCTGGAAACATAATATCTAGCTGTTCTTTTGAGTATCCCATCCTCAACCGACTCCTCAATCGAGCGGCATTGAGGATGTTGTATCGGTCAGAAGCGGGTAGGCTCACAAAGAAGGGACTATCGAAATCGATCTTAGAGAAGTCGTAGACATTGATGTCCTCTCCTCGATCGAACTGTCTGGCATACTCTTCGAGTTCTTCCAGTGACATGATCCTGGGGTCATTTTGTCCACCCATCTCCGCAATAGAGGTTCCAAGATCAGGTAGATGATATTGATCTTTCCTCTTGAAAGTGCGATTGGCAAGCCGTTCTTGTTCCGTTTGCGCGACCTCCTCGGCATATACTAGATTCTCTGGTATCTCTTCCTCGGGTTCATTGCGGCGTTCCCGAGCTGTCTCTTTCCTCCTTTTCTCCTCCTCCTCAGCTGCGCGCTGCATTTGTATTGCCAACAACTTCCCAGCTGTTCGGACAGCATCCTCGCGTCGGCCTTCACGTCTCGATTTACGGTTACTGATCGTCTGTCGCTTCAGCACTGGTGCGCCGCCGTCGAATACAAATACTGGCTTGATCCCGAAGAAGAGAAGTTTGCATATTCGTCGAAAGAAGCCAACGATATGGCTGTTGCGCAGGGCATTGCCTTCCTTATCGCGGACGGCTTTGAGAAACTGATAGATCCAGATGGAGGCATCTACAGCAAGACGCTTCTTGTTCAACGTTTCGATTCTGATAGGTCGCGCGCAGGGCTGAAGAACGGTCCAGAGACCAGTGACACCCATGGCGACGTGAAATGACGAGCAACCATCGACCACAGCTCGTGGAAGAGTGCAGTTCCTGATCGCTGAGACAGTCGCTGGCTGCCTTGTGACTTCGCGTTGATGACGTGAACTCGCGGCGTGTCTAAACTAAAAAGGAATGGCTGCCAAGATAATGTCTGACTGTTTCTTGCTCTTGATTACCTGCGAACGGATGCATTTACATAGCTGCTACTCATTGTTCGCAACAAGATAATTCGTGTGATATTTTCTAATTTACAGTATAGAGTTTCAGCAACTCTGCTAATGTCAATTCCTTGCCAGCAGCGACCAAGAGATTGAGTGCACCACTACCGAGGTAGACTGGACTCCTGATGCTCTGTGCCGCACCGACTGCCTCCTTCAATCTGTTCAAATAGCTATTCAAACTTGATGTTTCGCCTCCCTTTCCTTCCAAAATCTCAATGATGTTGGGACCGAGGGATTTGAACATCGCGCTCCCACCTGCAGCATCTACAGCCAATTTGTATAGCTGCGCCAATGGCAGTCCGACGTGTTTCGCGAATGCAATGCTCTCAGCAGCTGCGACAAGATGAATACCTGTCAACAGACTGATGACTAGATCAATCTTCGCCTTTTTATCCTCATCCGATAACGTGCTCTGAATGTTGGCAACCGGTTCAGAAGTCCACAGACGTACAAGTCCGGCATCGTCGTTCGCTCCCCAGCCTCGGTCGACTGCTGAGAAATATACCTGTTCCGCGATGGTGCTCAGGGAGGCGGGGAAATTGACCAGGCGTGCTGTGGAAGTTATTATGCTCTTGACTCCCTGTTAGTATCCAAATCATAGGATGAAAGGGATAATCGAGCTTACAGTGTCCTTGAGAATGATCGTTACAGCACTTGCACCAGGAAAATAGTCTTCTGTTAACGTTCTTGTACTTCGGTTCTCAAACATCCAGCTCCATGCCTCACTACCGATCACTGCTTCTCTAATATCTTTGCCATTGAGGCCGAGCCTAGCTCCAAACCCGAAGCCTTCGCTCAAAGCCAAAATCTGTATAGCCGCGAGGACTTGATGTGCCATCTTCATATTACTTCCAGCACCAATGCCTCCCTCAACGATGAAGAGTTTCTTAGGAGCCGACATCTCTTCCAGAAGCCATTGGCCCTTCTGGAAAGCAGCAGATGATGCGCCGGCCATGATCGACAGCGTACCTTGAGCAGCTCGAATGGCGCCTCCCGATACAGGTGCGTCGATAAAGAATATGTCGTCTCTGCCGACATCCTTCAATTGCTTTTCTACACCCTGTGCATACGCACTTGGAACTGTAGAGCAAAGCAGCAGTGTTGCATCTTTTGGCAAGGCGGATACGATTCCGCCATCTGGACTTTCGAAAAGAGCTGCCTGGGCTTGCTGAGCAGTTGCTACCATTACAATATAGAACGGTTTGTCCCTCGCGGATTCGGCGAGTGAAGTGGAAGGTACTCCTCCCGCTGCTTTAAACTTCTCAAGAGTTGGCGCATACACATCGAAACCAGTCACAGCATATCCTTGCTTGACGAGATTCGTTGCCATGCCGAAGCCCATGGCTCCCAGGCCGGCAAAGCCAATGGCTGGTTTGGAAGACATTGTTGGACGTGTGAAGGATGGGGCAAAAGGGGATTGAAGATCGAAGAATGAACTCAGGCTTCGAATGAACTACCTAAATGCCAACCCGTGTCGGCTGACTACAAGTGTCATGAGGTGGGATAGTTGCGGTGCTAATTCGGTCTTGTACTATTCCGATGAATCGGAAAGTGGGCAAAGAGACCGTATCTCGAACCTACTAATATAGGATGGACATATTAGGACATCCGAAAGCTCTGCCCACTCTTCGAGTTTCTATTATCGAAACATCCGATCGTTGAGGAATTGCTGAAGCAAAAATGCCTCTTCCGCATATGAGGCGGCATTTTCGAGCGGAGCCCTCTGCCGGCAAAAGTCGAGTTCAACCCTCATGAACAGTCGAAGGTGCCCCCGCACTAGGAAAGAATCAGGTGGTGGGGTAGCTTCCGCCGGCAAATGTCCCACCGAAACGTCATGTTGGGCGGCGCAATGGAAGACAAGCGACGCCTAAAAAGGAACCCCGGAATCGAGCTTCCATCGGCGTGGGATGCCCACAAGCCGCTCTCCGTTTCTTCCTGTCCACTAATAATTGGTTAGATATTTCTAGTTTTGTCATAACGGCGAACTCGTTCATCTTTCTCAATTGATTGAACAGCTCCTGACTTCGAAGACCCTCACATCTCACCAAATCGACTCATCTCGCTACGAAAATGGAGTCAAACCGCGCGATACCTTTGGTCAACAAGGCCCAGAGTGAAAACTATGGCATACCTGCGATGTGCTGTTACAATACCGAAGGTATTCTCGCCACAGTCCGCGCAGCAGAAGCTAAGAAATCGCCTGCCATGATCTTACTCTTTCCCTGGGCAATCCACTACGCAGGCTCATGTCTTGTGCATTTGGCGGCAGAAGCAGCGCGCAATGCTTCCGTGCCTGTTACTGTGCACCTCGACCACGCGCAAGACCCGGAGATTGTCAAAAGAGCAGCAGACATGGGCGGTTTCGACAGCATCATGATTGACATGAGCCACTACGAGAAAGAGGAGAATTTGAGGCTCACCACTGAGTTGACAAAGTATTGTCACGACAGGGGCATTGCCTGCGAGGCCGAGCCAGGGAGGATCGTGGGTGGAGAGGACGGGGTTGGAGACACAGAGGATCTCGAATCGCTCTTGACGACGCCTGAAGAGGCGCAGAGATTTGTGGATTGCGGTATTGATTGGCTGGCACCATCCTTTGGCAACGTCCACGGCAATTATGGGCCGCGAGGCATTCAGCTTGAATACGACAGACTTGAGTCCATCAAGCAGGCTGTTGGTGATCAAGTTAGACTAGTGCTCCACGGCGCAGACCCCTTTACAACGGAGATCTTCCAGAGATGCATTGGCCACGGAGTCAGCAAGATCAACATCAATAAGGTTTTGAACAATCCTTGCCAGGATGTTTGGGAGGAGAAATCGAATAAGGCTCCATTCACGAGTGTCATTGAAGAGGCGACATTGAGAATGCAGAAGGCAGTAGAATCATGTTGCGACATGCTTGGATCGACAGGCAAGGCGTGAAGAATTATTGTAATACATACAGATAGTGTGTGCTCTGCAAAATTACAGACTAAGAAATTTGTATGGAAGTCATATTAGTGTACAATTCCTTTTCGCAGTGACTGCCCTCGCTTCTCTTTTCACAGCCATGTCGTCTATACTCATCGTTTAAGACCAACTCTACCAACCGGTCACCCTATCTTATAAATATCGAGCTTCATCGTATCGTTAGCGAAAGAATTTCCAACCCTTCTTACGCCTTGGCCATTGTGTGCTACTTCAGCTCGCTCCCGATGTAAAATCTCTGGACCTACTTCCCTTCATCCAGTAGTGATGTCAATTCCGCTCTCCCTCTTAAATCTGGCCTCGATTAGAACATAGGCTAGTCCAAGTGATGCTGGACCGCCTACATGTAACGCCTGACCCGAGCCGACCTTAGTCTGGTAAGTAGGCTCTTGAACAATCACCCACTAATGCGTGAGAACTGAGATGGCTATACTGTAATTAGAACTGATGTCATAAGTCTGTTCATGACAGGAAACACGTGAGACATTGCAGCGACGCATGGGGTGATGTGGATCGTGCAGCAACAACGGAATATCAAGCTAGGTAATTAAGGAACCGGTACTCCCCCAGATATCATTTTGTTTTGTCCATCCCGCTCTCTCAGCAAAATCATTACTTTAATAGACTTTCAGTTAATCAATTTTTTCTCATACCATGTAACGCCCGGTAACTCCTCATGTATCTCGTTCGAATTCAATTTCTCCATTTAGAATCGCATTACTCGCATCCCTCGCCAGACAAGAAGCGATCTTAGACGCGGCTATGAATCATATACCATCCTGTCAACCTCTAAGAGGAGCATTGAACCGGTGAGTGTCATTTCAATATCACTTTTTCTGTACCACATGGCTGAAGCAGCTAACTGCGCAATCCTTGTCTGCAATGCTAATACCTTTTCAATAAGTGCAGCGGCTCTCTGACGAGCGCGACCTCTTCGCCGTCGCGCTCGACTGTATAGCTTGTACGTATCAATGAGAATGTGTTGTCAAGAGTTTCGAAATGCACTACCCTGAGGCCCTTCAAACCTTTGAGCAGATCCAGTAAATTTGGATCGAGGCGCTCTGAAAGGACTACGAGCTGCTTAATAGCTGACATCTGTGATCGTGACAGGTGCTTGAGGTGGTATAGGTAATTATCTAAACATTCTCAGTCTTATCCCTTTGGTGCAGCTAGTTTGAGCATCATCTGGGGTTGTTCAATTGCGGAACACTTACACATGACGAGCTGGGTAGCGAAAAGCCATCGGTTGGACTGGAACGGCATGAGGGCAGTTTCCTGGTGCATTTGTCGGGAAACAGCACTGAGCAGGGTCATCTTGCTTGGTCCCGCAGGCTGTTGTACAGCTCTAGAAGAAGCATCCTCGTACGCCTCTGCGTAATAACGAAAGGGGATGCTTTTGGTGAATGGTGTGTGACGCACAGCGATAGTCTTATTTGCAAGTAGAATATCATAGATATGGGTTCTGATCTCTACTGGCAGTCTAAGGAAATAAGACTCTTCCTGATTCCGTTTCCATCTAAAGGGTATCAGTATCCTCAAAAGCCACCGGGCAGCACGAGTCAACAAACATTTGAGCGGCCATTGAAGTGTCGCTGAGTCTCCTACGCCGGACGTTGTGTCTTGGAGGCGGTGAAGATTGAGCAAGATACTGCTTCTGCAACGAAGCTTGACAAGCCAACGAGAACTTTAGCAGCTTCGGTCTATCACTCACACGAGATTCGTGTGCTTGCGATTTGCCTGAATCACGATTTCCGTTTGTCACCCTGGGTTCGCTGGCAATTCCAGGGACAGATGCTCCCTCGGTCATATCTTGATCAAAGGAGGTCTGCGATTCTGGCACCATGATACCCGCATCTTTCACTTCTTTTGCTTTTGGGATGTTTTTCCGTGCATCACGCTCTATAGATGTAGTAGTCTTAGCGTCAGTGTCAGGCGTAACAGAATCATCCTGGTCATCATCGTCGTCTGCATCTACGAAGGAAATTGGTCCTTTGAATCTCCTTCCCGCAGCCGAAGGTGGCACGATTTCCTTTGGTGGATTCGTTGCCGGTGATGGACCGAGCCTTTTGTGTCGTTTCTGGCTGTCATCTCTTTCAGGTGAGTCTGTGGGCACGACAGCCATGGACATGTTCCGTCTCGAGTATGTCCTCTTGACGGAGCGAGTGGAATCCATCAGCGAATCACTTATGTGTCGACCCTGTTGGAATTGATGAAAGTCTAGTCTGCCACGAGGCTGAACGCTACCTCTTCGAATGATGTCGCAGCCGCAGTTCTTGAAGGAAAAGGTGGAGAGCGAAATCAAGACCGGATTCAACGTACACGCGTAGATAATACATGAGAGAATCGAAACTCATGAAAAGCAGGTGAGTTGTCGATTAAGTTTGAGTATCAGACGATTGCACATCTACAGAGGCACAGCAGTAGTAAGCAGTTGACAACGGCGTAACTTAGCTGGAGGGTTGGGATGACGCGCGCGCACGTGATTGATTACATCAGCCGACTCCAACCCCTCCAGGGCTCTCCAGCGCTGCGACGCGCATGTCTTGTAAAAGTCCGCACAAACGCACGAGGGCGGGAAACCGCTGGTTATAAGTTATGAATTACACAGTATACCCCGTACCATATTCAGCAAATAGAATAGCGTGGACTACCCCTTGAACCCTCGCATTCCCTTCCCTTTCGAGACTTGTCTAGGCGTCTAGGTAGTAGTGCCGTTAACCTTCATGCTGATCACTGGAACTGAAGCCTGAAAGAGACGAACCTCCCATTAGGTACCTTCCATTAGGTACCAAGGTAGGTTTAATAATAAATTCATTGTGACTGATAGATTCTTTCCCCTTGCCTTCATCGTATTGGTTTTCATGGCCCTCTCGCATGTGAACAGTTCTAACGGAGTACAGTACTTCAGCTCTCTCATAAATATCTGCAATATTCTTTTCCCATGCAGTCAGAAAACCCTACTTGTACGAATGGACCTCGTGTTGACAGCAAAAGTGCGAGAGGATCGACGTTATTACCCCTGACCCGGCCTCGACGCTAATGAGTGCTGGAGATTTGGGGCTGACACTGGCTGGATTCCGTCTCGCCGTCTCGCTTTCATCGCACTTGTGCCTTCAATTTCGGTACAATAATGGTGCTCTTAGTGCCACACTACAATCTATCTACCTTCGTATTCTCCAGGCAGGGCTGATGCTTATTTATTGATCATGCCTAGAAGAGCTTAGATTTGTGAACAAGCGTTCTTTAGTCACAAACTTTTGCCATGATTGCGGAGACCAAGCTTTGTCGCATCGATGATTGACTGGTCGATATGCATTCTGTGGCTTCAGCTCCTCAACGAGGTGTCTGGATTTAGTACGTTTCGTTTAGGACCGGTGAAGATACTGAGAGGTAAAATGCGGCTTGGGGGGCCTAGTAGGTCATTTCAGCATCGACTATGGCTTGCAGCTAACGAAGAAGCACGTCTGTCTTAACTTAGGTACCTAGACGTGTAAAATCAAATGACGATATAAATAACAACCTCCACTGCCCACGCTATGTCTTCAAGTCCCCAGCATCTGCATCTGTTGATCTCCTTGTCGCTCCTTTCCCGTGAATCACCACGACTTCTTAGCATCTGATCATTCTTCTTTACCACATTTCGATAGCAATACTATTTAATCTTCTAACAAGATGCATTTCACCAACTTCATCCTCCCCCTGACACTCGTCGTCGCTGCTGCCGCCGAACCTGTTCAAGGATCCGTGGCGCTCCCTAATGGACTTCAATTCGCCCAGCAATACCGTCGGGAGGCAGGCAATGGATTATCAGCTCGTCAGTCCTTGGATCCGGAGACACTGTGCGGCAAGGGTTATGACGACTGTGGCGATGGGTGGTGCTGCAGGTGGGTTCAACGTCTCCTACATTTTGGAGATAGGCACACGTACTGATAGTTTCCCCAGCGAGGGCACCAAGTGTGCAGGCACCCTGACCGAATACAAGATTCCCGTCTGCAAGGATCCCACTGAAACTTCTGGGCCTCTCAAGGGAACATCTCCCGCGTTGCCATACAAGGACCCTCTCTCGGCTTATCAAAGTCTGAGCTCAGTCCTGGCCAAGATGACGGGTTTGCCCACTGATCCCGAGACGCGACAAACGACGACGACGGCTGCTGGAACAGGACAAACGAAGGCGGCGGCCGCGACTGGCTCTAGCTCTCCAGGTGCAGCGCCCATGAATACTCCAGGAAGTTTCGGTCAGGTGGGAGGTGCCATTGTGGGCGTTTGGACGGTTGGCGCACTTGCTGGTGCTGGATGGTTCTTGATGGTTTGAATCAACTGTATATAAGCTAGGTACCTACCTAGGTAACTGAGCGTCACATCCTGCTACACCAACTTCACCACTGCTCCTTCATCTTTTCTCTCTACCTACCTTGGGCGGTGCACTGTTCGCGTTCAAAATAGTGGCCCAGTTTATCCCAGGTGCTCGCCTTTACTTTGTTAGCATCTGTGCATTCCGCTCCTTGACTACTATCCTACCTTTCTCCTTTCAGACGCGCACTCACTTGCAAATACGACACCACCAATACAACAACACAACACAACACTGCACACGCCCCAACACGTCCAATCTTATTAAACCATAGCAATTGTCGTGACAATGCCGAAGAAACAATTTGGAAGAAGTGATCCAGTAGCAAGCCCAAGTACGCAGCAATCATTTATTGACTCTCCCTTCCGCTAATTATGACCGTGCAGCTGCAGAAGAACTAGCGGCTGTTGCAGCGTTCAATGGATCATTCCCCAAGCCAGAAGAGACGCAGGGGAATTGGGTTCCACCTCCTGGAACTATCCCACGCCCACCTGGAATAGGCGATTGGGCCCGACGCACGAAGAACACGGAGGCGGCATATCTGAGCTACGTCTTGCGGGTGCCACGTCCTGCTCTGGATACGACACTGGGCCTGAAAAAACGCGGTAATCCGGCAATCGCAACTAAAAGTGAGTGTTTATGAGGTGGCTCAGGATACCCTACAACCACCAATGGTAATGGTATACTGACTTCTGTGAATAGATACGGATACCTCTAAGACTCTCCCTAATGCGAACGATGCTCAGACCCTTGAGGGTCCCCCGAACGGTATCTGGACTCTCAGTGACACCCCATATGCCACTCAGACCCTCATCGACACCGAAACTGAGACCCAGGCCCTCGCTTGTACCCCGCATGGTGCTCAGACCCTCACTGGAAGCACTCCTATTGCAGAGGTTGCGCCCCAAGAATGCACTCCCATCGATAGCACTCCTTTTCCGGTCGTTGTGCTCCAAGTACAAGTCGATCCTGCAAGAACGGGCAACCCAAAGCGACAGGCGATAGCTGACATCATGGGGTGGGAGGAGGGTCTGGGAGTACCAGAAGACGCGAGGACGAGCGCCAGCAAGATGAAGGAGATGGGGGATGTACCGTTCTGGGACCTTTACAACAAGGTCCAAGCTGAACACCTCCAGAAGATTGGGCACGATCTGATCACCCTAGACTAGCATGGTGGGCTATGGAGGATGATCAGGAGTCGGGAGCAGGAGGCCAAAGATGTGCGGTTCTATTTTGACGAAGCCTGGACCATACAAGAGATGAATCTGTGTTCGTTTATGCATGCTTTCCTTCTTTAAACGATCTAACTGTACAATAGATGTCAACTTCATGGTATGACAAAAGGGAAATTTCTGGTTGGTTTCTTCTTTCTTCAAGATATCGATTAAACACAATCAACGTTTGACATCAACTGTGACTTAACGCTGATGCTAGAGTCCCCCTGGCTGTTCATAGGTACGTTCACTATGGTACAGCCATGCGTAACTCCTCGAGCAACTTGTGCATACGCAACTTCGTCCACCCAGGTATGTGGAAGGCTGTCTACAGATCAAACAAAGAATTCAAGCTTAGTGACAATGCGACCGACACAGCCGATACATTCCCCGCTCATGGATGTTCCTCCCTAACAGAGCACCAGAAATTCTAGGAAGAGCGGTTCCCTGGTTATGAATTAGGCAAAGAAACCCCTCCACGACTTGGCAACATCTTCAACTCAACTTGAGATACCTAATAGAACTCCTTATCGCCCTCGTGGGCAAGATCCTGCACTGTTTTATAGAAGGGAGGTCATTGGATTAGGACCCCTTCGAGGACGAGTTTGTCACTCAGATTCTATTCGCCAGTACATCGATTTGTTTCAATAGAAACAATGTAGGAATCTTTCTCGGCTGTTACTGTCTATGACGTCGAAATGGGCTGATGTTTCATTCGTGGTCTTACTTCTTACAATAAAAACGATGCTGTTGCCTCCGAAAGCCGATATTAAAGCCTCATGTTTCCGGGCAGCCAAGACCAGACCAGACCTTCCGAAGAATTGTCCGAGACGAGCCGCTCGGAACCAAAGAATACTATGGTCTGAGGTTAAGTCTATTGAAAGACATGACCTCGTGCTGTTCGAACCTAGCTCTGATAAACACATAGGTTCTTTTGAGTAAGACAATACCAAAGAACACAGCTTCATCAACTTATTGAGATCATTTGATAGCGGTGACTCTAGGAGATTTTTGATGCTAATTGATACTATATATTCATCGTGACATCTTGAAGTCAATGCTTACGGAGCGAATTTTGTTGAGGATACCAGATACCTGGTACTGGTCGGTAACCGCTCCGAAAGTCGTTCCCCGGGTCATAATCTTTTAGTCTTAACAAGTAACTAATCGTTATATAGTGATCACGTTTACACATAGATCCCTCTATGTTAACGCGGACCGTGCTACTAATGGTGTTTGGCGCAGAAGAAGCCTAGTGAACGTTCAGATTGCCTCAATCCAAATGACCCCACAGTATGGTCAAACTCCCAAATTGTACAAGCACAAGAGAATAACCCCGCGCCTGCTCTTGTAATGGAGAAGCATCCGGTACCATTTAAGATACTCTGGAGCCCCGATTTTGAACGTGCTTCCCCACTTCCCCAGCTTTGACTATCTTGTCACCTACTCACTCTTTACTCTATCGTATGATCTTCAAGAGATATGTCTTCTGTCGATATGGAAGACCCTCGAATAAGAGCCAGCTCCGGCAGCACGTTGCAAGCCAAGTCAGAGGGCGCGCAGGATGCCGTTTCAGTCGCAGCAGTGGGGAGCAACGAGCCTCTGGTTGTCGATGGAAAGGTAGTATTGCGTGAAGAAGATGCCTTCGACAAGACAGCGTATGCGTGGAGCCCCAGGAGAAAATGGATCATGCTCACTATCGTTGCTATATGTCAAACAAGTATGAACTGTATGTATGTTCTACCCACTGCAGGAAACGCCGACTAACATCAACTGAAGTCAATGCCGCAATCTATTCCAATGCCGTTGAAGGCATCAACAAAGAGTTTGGAGTCCATAACGCTAGACATGGTATGGTGGCATTTCTTGTCGCGTATGCATTTGGTTGCGAGCTCTGGGCACCCTGGTCGGAAGAATTGGGACGATATGGAATGTAAGTCTGCGTGCAAATTAAAGAGGTACTGTGCTCATTACAAATAGTATGCAAACGTCCCTCATTCTTGTGAATGCATCTATTTTAATTTGCGCTCGAAGCACGAGCTTTCCCATGATGATTGGGGGTCGAGTGCTTGGAGGATTGTCATCTGCTGGTGGCTCTGTCACCCTAGGTAGGCTTCGCATTGATACATAATGGTGATGATCGGCAATTAACCCGCAGTTACAGGCATGGTAGCCGATATGTTCTCGACAGATGATCAACAGCCAGCTGTAAGTAATTGAATAGACCAACCCTCTGGCTTGGAATCTAACGCCACACAGGTGCTTTGGGCTTCTCTTTGGTCGTGCCTGGGTGCAGTCATTGGTGGCATTTGTGGAGGACCCCTCGAACAGTATGCCCCGTGGAGGTGGATTTTCTATGCCCAGTTGGTCTTCGGTCTGATCACGCAGGTTCTCCACGCATCCATTGCCCGGGAGTCTCGATCGACCTTACTTCTCGATAGAGACGCCAGACGGCAGCGTAAGCTAGGTGTTGATGTATGGGGACCTAACGAAGTTAGGACTGTTCGGGAGCGCTGGGATCCAAGGAGGATATTCACAACGGTATGGCCTAAGCCTTTTGCTACTTTTAAGAGATCTAACCAGTTGCAGATGTATCGCCCATACCATATGCTGGCGACCGAGCCCATTGTGTTTCTACTGTCACTTCTTAGCGGCTTCGCTGATATGCTCATCTTCATGTTCTTCGAGAGCTACGGTATGCAAAATGAAAGCCTGAATACACCACCTAAGCTAATGCGTAATTGTAGGATATGTTTTCGAGCGATGGGGATTCACTCCAACCCAGAGAAGCTATGTCAGTCTACTGTCGGCCCGTACAAAATCGCACTATACTAATATGCGCAGGCTCTCATTGCACTTGCGCTCAGTTACGTCCTTTCATACCGTGAGTTTCTTAGTATTCCGCTAAACGAGCGATGTTCTAACAATCTTCAAAGTTTCATTCTTCCCGGTTATCAAACGCCACAATGCTAGGCGAAGGAGCGGAGAGACCCTGGCGCCCGAGACAAGACTCTGGTGGCTCCTATTTCAGTGTGTATTGGTATGCCTATCACCTTCCTGTAGATCCTACTGCTGGGATCAAACTAACGCATTCATTAGCTTCCCATAGGACTCCTGGGAGGGGCCTTCGCTGCCGCAGGCCCGCCTTTGCATTGGTCAGGTTTTATTGTATTTTCTTGCTGTATTGGAGCAGCTAATTTTGCGGTATGTTCTCCATGCTGTAGAGCCATCAACCTTGAAGCGACATTGAAAACTGACTGATGCAGATATACTATGCCACTGTCGACGTAAGGCACTCTTAATAGGGTATCATGATTTCAATGTGAGCTAATGGTATATTTAGTACATGGTTGCCGCATATGGAGAGTACTCAGCGTCGGCTACTGGTGGAAATGGGTTTGCAAGGGACTTCCTCGCTGGTATGCTCTCCTCAACACCTTGAAAATGCCAAAGTGCAGAAACCAGATTGCTAACATTCACAAAATAGGTCTCTGTGCCATCTACACAGGTTCGAACTATGGTAACCTAATGTTTAACGCAATCTAACGCACCATAGGTCCAATGTACCGTGCGCTCGGTGTCCGGAACTCTATGCTTGTGCTCTTCGGCTTTGGCTTTCTCTTCTGCATCCCCGTGTTCGTTTTCTATCTACGGGGCCCTGCGATCCGAAAGAGAAGCAAGTTCGCGCAGAAGATAGCCAGGGATAGGGAAGACAGAGACTTGAACATGGCAGCTGCAGCTAATGCGACCTCGTAATGCGCCAAATGAGACGCGGACGTAACGTCGTCAATAACCCCCGTAGACCGGGGGGAAAGTAGGCCGGATAGCCTCGAGACGATGGTATTGTGTCCAATTTCTTTACCCTATTATTGCATCTCTGACATGATTGTAACTAATATCTGTAGAGGTAACAATGTTTTCGGCTCTAAGGATAGAGACCACGATTCAAATTGAAGAGATGAGAAAGGAGATATAAGGACAGTAAAGACTCAAACTGTCACATACGACCATTGGACTATGAAAACAGGGCTTCCCGTTCGCTCAGCCATACTTAAGCATAGTACCGGCGGACTAGTAGTTGAGTGGGTGACCATCAGCGAATCCCCGCTGTTGTATGTTTTTTGTCTTTTTTTTGTTTTTTTTTTGGGAAGGGGAGTTGGGAGTTGGGGGAGAGGAGGGTTTTGGCTTCTCTTGTGTCCAGAGACCGTTCTCTATCGTCTGGAAGCGAAGAACCAAAGACAGACAGAGTCGAAGGACCTTCACCCTCTCAGTATTGAGAAAACAGACTAATTAGCATTTATTTTTTAACAAGTCTTCTAATCCTTATTCCGCTATTACACATGTTCATTGAGTGAACACGTCCAACATGCAAGACAGGGGTGTGGTTGGTTGCAGCTAGACGTGTTTGCCGCTTCTCTGTTCAACTCTGCCGCGGCTATATACGCGCACTTGTTCTAGTCCACCAGACGTCATTCTCAGTCCTAATTGTAGCTTCTCAATTTGGTGGTGTGTGTGTGTGTGTGTGTGTGTGTGTGTGTGTTTTGCCAGCAATGTATCTTTGATTTTACGGCGCGTTCATTTGAAGAGAAGAGGCCGATTTGGTCGAATTTGTAATGTTGAGACGTTGATTGGCAGGGCCGCTGGTCCTTCAAATTTACCCGTTTTCAACGGAAATTCGAAAACCTACCCAATTGGGCAAGTTGGATTTTGGCCCCCCCGAGGAAGTCCGCGCAACGGTCCCTCACGCTATTCCAATATTGGAACCTATACCTCTTGCAACATCAGCGTCCTCTTTTTGAACAGTCATCTTTCTACTTCTAGTATTGGTTTTTCATTTCCTTTCAAATTTGAGTAAAATAGAGCTTGACTACAGACACTCGATTACTACACTGCATACGAGAAGATCGCTGAGGAATAGAAGGGACAAATTTGGCATGAACAATATGTCGGCGACCTTTGCTCACAGGCCGAATGTTTGACTTGGTGTGGGAAGCAATGTTCTCTGGACATTATGCAAAATCCAAGCCTTAGATTTTCACTCTTATCATGGATATTCTACAGCTGCCATATCCATTTCCATTTTCTAGTTCGCTCCTTGATTAACTCTATTTTTGCCCATAGAACTGAAACTGTGGCAATGAACATGAAGACTCCTACTATAACAGCCATAGAAAAATAGGAGCCGGGGGACAAGCCCCCGGAAACCAAAAGGCCGGCCACAGGAGTTCCAATCAACCCAGCTACACCCTGAAACATGTACATGATGCCCGTGACATGAGGCATATCGGATATGCCAAAGAGCTCCACTAGCGCAGGTGAGAAGAGCCCGATGTAGGCACTGGCGAATAAGCCATATCCGACGGTGAAAGCAACGAACAGTGCTCGGCTGTTCTGTAGATTCGAAGGTCCAAGAACTGTGCTTGACACCCAAAGGCCGCCTGTAGAGACACAGCTCAATAGCGTCGTGAAAAAGAATGAGTCTAGTCGTCCGATTCTATCAGCGATAAATCCAACTCCAACTTTTCCGATAGCGTTGCATGCGTTGCTGAGGGCTGTAAAATTGGCTCCATCCGTTTCGTCATATCCGAGAGTTTTAGAGAACGCTGCGATGTAGAAGATGGGAGTATAGTATGCAGCACTCTGAAAAAAGGCATTGATGCTTTGCGCAAGAAACTTGCGTGTCAAGACAAGTCGTCGGGGTGGCAGGGGGACCTTCAACAATCCAGTAGCCCAATCAACTTTGGGGTTGCTTTCATGTAGGGAGGCAGCCATTTGTGGTTCCCAGGCTAAGGCATGGCCTGATATGCAAACGAGGATTGTACATATACAGCCCGTGAGTCGTAAAGTGTTTCGAAAGCCAATTTCTTGGATGCAGACAGTGAGGACCGGAGACCACACTAGACCGCCGATACCTGTCCCAGAAGAAATAATCCCCATGCAAAATGCCCTGTGGCGCCCGAACCATCTAGGTGGGACTACCATAGATGGCATGAAAGATAGACATGTCGCAATGCCTATCAGTAGACCTTGTGTCAATTGAAAATGCCACAAGGCATTTCCAAAACTTGCAAGCACACTGGCAATACCATATAGCAAGCCACCTGCGTACACGACTATTTTCGGGTCGAAATATGTGGTCCATGAAACAATGTATGGTGCTCCCAATTTCATCAAAGACGCCGCAATACTGCCTATCAATGTGATCTCGGCAGATGAGGCCCCCGTGAAAGGATTGTTGGGCTCCCTCGACATGTCTTCATAGAGGGATTGAAAGATTCCGAAACTAAAGAGGAGGCCACATCCGGAAAAGTTCAACATGAAAGCAGCAACGACAATAGAAGATTGACGCCTATGAGAAGTAAGCGTACCGCTGCCAGGGGGCGAGGTTGTAGTACGATGCTTACCACTTTGACGGCTTCCTAGATGGCTGGCTAGCATTTTCGTCGGCAGGCATTGTTGTAAAGTACCGTACCTAAGTATAGAGTAGCGAAGGAGATATTGTATGTCGACAGTTCAATCTTTGTTGGGCGCTATTAATCCAATCAAAACACCTCGGCGGACTGTGTGATGGGGACCTGGGAAAGAAGGAGAAGTACGAAGAGGATTTATAGCAGCAGTAGTCATAATGTATATAAAAAAATTGTGACCGTGCACTTGGGCTGGATTGATATCCGTCATAGGAGAACATGTTGATTCTCCATTCACTCCGCGCTGAATATCTAACCTAGTGTAGGGTTATGCCCTGAGAATGCGTAGAGAGTGGGCCAAAGATGAGAACTAGGTGTGTTAGTCTGGAATATGGCCCGCTTAACGCCCTGCCAAAATGCGCCAAGCCCTACCTGATCAAAACTTGGGGAAATCTTTTGCGATCTTATCTCGGGAATTCCAAAAGAAGATAGGTTGCGTCACGAAATGAGACGGTTAGGTCTAAACGAACACATGTGCAATAAAGCCCTCCTAACAATCTGCCGCATAAAGAATTTTCTGCTAGGAACAGACATGGTGACTCTTTTTGGGCAATTTCGGTGCTCCTGAAAAAATATTGTTCTCACTGACATTGCATAGTGCGTATAGTGAGGAGCAATTCACAATCAGAGCTTTTTCGTTCTGCAACTACGGCATCATGTCACGTAGCCTTCTATTGCAAATCCTTAATCATATTGCCTGTATATCACAACAACTAGTCTGCATATATAAAGAATGTTGTTAGAATAAAACATGGACGCAATAAGGTGATGTCACTATAGACTTCTCACAGAGACTAAAGAATAGAATCCCGTTGCTAACTGAGTCACACAAACCAGGGAACCGACAGCCCAAAATCAGTGCAGGACCACCAGCCAACACGTTCAACTCCCCCTCGGAGGTCTTGCTGTTTCCAAATCGTCTCAATAATGGCACGCGTCGCGTGCACATTCCCAATTCTTCGTATTGCATCCATGTCATGTAAAGCCTTAAGGATTTGTGATCGCTGTTCTTCTAACGTAACTTCGCAAGCCACGATAAAACAGGGCCATGGGCTCGATGCGACCGTGAGTCTCGACAAGATAGAGAGTGCCTGTTGTAGGTATGCTGCTCTTCGGCCTTCATCTCCATCTGCTGGCACTACACGCTGTAGGTAGAGTAAAGCGGCCAGCCGGTATAGTTCCGCCTTCGCTAGAACTTCTGCACGCTTTGCATGCACCAAGTAGTCGATCTCGTGACGACTGAGTTGTTGCGTAGCATTTTGAAGCATTGCCTCCAATGCAGGCCGGTGTTCCTTCTTATCAATGGACTCGGATGTTTCGTTGCGTTTAAGGAGGATCCTCGCTCGAAGTATATTGATGCGGCGGATTGCATTGAAGACCTCAATCGAGCAGCCTAGGATCCCTATGATCTAGTTCAAGTTAAGTAAGCCACAGATAACCAAGGCAGGGTAACTCACAATCGTAGGGTCGTCCTGCAAAATAATTCGGTCGAATGAAGCATCAAGTGTGCGATGAGATTGGCGCAGCGGATGAGCAAAACTGCTTAGCACGTCATAGTACATAAGCCAGATGGTCAGAAACTCAGTGAGCTGGCTTCGTCCGTATCTCAGGCCCAAGTCCAGCAAAATTTGTCGAGCTCCTTCCAAGTGTACATAGAAGTAACCGTCGTCTGCATCGAAAACCTGTAGATATCGTGTCAGCTCTATTTGGGCTTTTTATCAACATTTCATAGCCGGTGCCTACACTATGCATACAAATCATCATGACTGCCGCTAATTGCGATAGCGTGCTTTTCTTGACACAGGCAGCCGAGTGGGCAAGCGAACGCGTAAGAGCTTGCACTGCTTTCATCTTGAAAGGAAGCGCGGCGTCAGAACCCCGGAGATGATGAACTGAGATGCCGATCATAGAGTGCAAAAGTGCTTCCGTTGATGCGTCATGTGCTGAAAGGGCTATTGATGGCAGTTCCTGCCACAACCCGTTGCCGAAATGGGTGGTCGAGCACATCGGAGCTACCACCTGGATGTCTAAGGCATGTAAGCTTAATGTCTCTGAAGTCAGTTGTAGAACAATCATGCACAAACAGTAACTGAAAATAGCCCCCTGCTGGCTAGTACTCGATCGATGTGAAATGAAAGCACACCTTGGTCGAGCTAGGGACTTGACCAGTGCGCTATGCCAATCAATACGGCCTTCTGCAAGATCCATATCTTCTACGTTGAAGGTCAGAAAGTCCGTTCCGTAGTCTTGCAGTCTCTGAGCAGAGTCTGCGGACCAGTAGGCTTGAACATGCTGAGGCTTGACTGTAGCTGAGGTTCGCCACACCAATCGAGGGCCATAGCCTTTGCAAGTTCTATCGGTGCGAAGGCAATTTTTACAACAAGGGAGACTTCTGTCGCAACCAATTTTGCGACCTAACGCTCGATCAACAATCATTAATTGAATCAAATGGTTGTATGCGTGGGTAGGGTCGCGTACTTTTACATGTCCAGCAGCCTCTCTGCGCCTTTAATTGGGGCAACTGTGCACCCATCTTTGTACGTTTCGATACAAAACGCCATGTAATTGGCCATCGGCCATTATCGTCGTTCCTACGTGTAAGCGCAACGGCCGGAGCATGAAAGAGTTGAAGACTGAAACGTTAAGTTACTCATAGTTGAGGGTGTGAGGATTGAAGAAATGACTAATCTGGTCTGGGTAACTAGATGACACTTTGCCCAAAGTAGCAGTAGTACGGAAGCGCTCCGCTCTGCCTTGGAAGGTACATGGTAATGCTACCAACTCCAGCGATTGATCAACGGGATCGAATGCGAAATATTCTGAATCTTCTGTTTTGCATTCAGAATGTATAATTGCTTTGCTTGGAAATTCATAGCCAACTATTCGGATCACACTAGCGGTCTATCACATAATATCATGTGCTTGCGTGGGGAAGTACGGTTGTATTTGGTTGTATAGAAATGAATTTGAATGTTAACACCGGTCAAAGATTAGATAGAGTAAGTTGCTGATAAAAACCCTGATGAAACAGTGCGAGGTTGTTTACCCCTTCAAATCGGACGTAATTCCAGGCTTGATTGCCTCCACCTTTGTCACCAGCTCATTCCATACCCGTTTCTGTACCACGCCTCCTTCAGGGCTCAGTACAAAAGGCGACGGATCACTGACCCGACAGTTGATTAGGAATTTTCCATGAGTTTCTGACCCTTGGCTGGCTGCGTAAAACAGCGTTCGACCACCAGCTTCCGTGCTGCGTGCGAAAATGGCTTTCATAGCGATCATGACAATTTTCGACGGACCAGTAACTTCGCGGGCAATTTCACTATTCAATATTGTTAGCAAGAGGGACTTGATTCTTTACAAAGGCTGTGAAGGAAAGGAAGTCTTACGAATGGCAGAATCCGGGACAGACACAGTTGATGGTGACAGGCATTTGCGAAACGGCCTTTTGGTCTACCATCGCTCGGACGAAAAGCATTACCAGTAGCTTGGACAAATTATAACGCTCCCGCATGTCTTGATTCTCGACATTCAATGTCTTGAAAATTTGCCCTTCTGGGGCGTTCTTCTCGGGAAACCGCGCAAAAAAGTGCATTTCTGACCCCACCACTGTGAGGTTCGGTCGTGTGCTGAACGTAGTCGCAGTGCTCTTCAGTTTCGGGAGTAGAGCGAGTGCAAGAAGGAAAGTAGAGACAACGTTCACAGTGAGTGTTGACTCGTCTTGCTCAAAAACCTCCCATTTCATAGGTCCTATGCCCGCATTCAAAACGACCGTGTCTAGTCGTGCAAGCTCCTTTTCAGCACGGGCGGCGAAGTCGATAACTGATTGGTATGACGACATATCAAGATGCCATACTTGTACAACATTCTTGACTCCGGTGCTTGTTTCAATATCTTCCTTTGCAGCGTTGCCCTTAGAAATCGACCGGACAGCCAGAATTACCGTTGAGGCTCCAAGGCTCGTGAAGTGTCGTGCAGCCTCTAGTCCAAGCCCAACATTGGAGCCTGTTACGATAACAGTTTTGCCGGCGTAGGAAGTGTTCGGCTTAGGAACGGAAGCAAACAATTGACGAAATAGTAATAGCATGGTTCTTGCGGTTATGGTCTGAAGTTGAGTGTTGCATATTCGATGATTCTCTTCCACTCTTATGTACTGGTCTCTTTCAATGTAATTTGAGCATGGAGTCAACCATCACCACCCTCCGACGTCCGACCGTTCGTCCGTATACTAAGTGCGCAACCTCTAACAACGAGATAGCCAGGAACTGTGCGTCATATGTGCCCACGTGTTGTCCGAGTCAGAACCCTGCCGACTTCAGGGTCCATTGGTACCAAAAGGAACCAGAAACTGTGCGTATCCGTGTCATCATAGAATAGCTTAGAGGAGTGATTCGATGCTGCTGCCACTAGTCAATTGATATGTGCAAAACCGTGGGTTGTTAACAAAACTGGGGAGTTATGAGAATCTGGTCTGTAGTGATAGCTGTCATTTATTTGACTTTGGAGCTGTGCAATCATGGCTGGGCGAAACTCAAAGAGCAATGATGACGCAGATATGCACAGAATCTTGACCTTTCATATCGAAGAAGTCGGCTAATCTAGCCGTCGCCTACTATTTTCCTAAAGACCTTCACGCTGATTGCTTCGATATTCCCGGACTATTACAAAAACGGAAAACTGACCATGCCTCCCTTGCCGCGCCCTAGTTACGCTACGTGCTATAGCGTCGGCCCCAGATTGCATAAATCCGCCTCGCCGCCGTCCTCTTCCTTCATGCGGTCATTTTCGTATTCTCGTTTTCAGATGAGCTCAACGTCAGCCTCTTCGAAGCAGGGTCGTCCGCCACCGAAACTTTCGAGGCAATCGCACAACAAATCTCGGACTGGCTGCGGTCGATGCAAAGCTAGGAGAATTAAGGTACGCTACCACACACAAGCTGTGCCACAAATCTGGAAACTTCTGTCGGGAGTAACAGTCGTAATCTAGTGTGACGAAACAAAACCTGAATGCAACAAGTGTACAACGTTTGGAGCGAAATGCGATTACAACTCCGCAAACTCTAGCAGCCAGAACGCGCAATTCGAGCGCTCAATATTCCGAAATAGGAATGGCCCCCCGCTGGTTGGGAGAAGGGGAAGACCGAGAACTACATGGTGCGACGCAGACCAAGATTCGTCAGTGGCAGAGGAGCAGTTGGTTCCATTGCAGCACGTGCAAAAAGGCGTTCCATATTCCATAAGGCACGTTGACGATATAGAACTGCTCAATCATTTCATCACCCGAGAGAACGATTGTACCACGACAACTTCCGGTGAACGTGATCCTCTTCACGATCAAGCACTCCTCTTGTCATTCACATATCCAAGTATCCTCCACCTGGTATGCGAGTTCTCTGCCCTAGAACTCGCGCGCCACAATCCCTCGAGGCAAGACCATTTCCGCTCCCTAGCTGAGAAGCATTCTATCATTGGACTTCAGGGTGCTACGGATCTTATACGCCAGATGGATACACGCAACTGCCATGCAGTCTATACTGCAGCGACATTTGCGTCCATCAACCATTTTGCACGTGGTCCTCGCCCTGGCGATTATCTCCTCTGCAGTGAGGCAGGACTACAACAGTGGCTTCCTTTGCTTCAAGGAATCCGAACCATCACCGAAATGGTTGGTGCTGAGAAAATAATTGCTGGTCCACTGGAAAAGCAACATATTGAGTCTGCTCCAAGAGCTACTATACCGGCGACCATCATCTTCGAATGTCCTCGTATTGATTGGATAGACCCCTTTGAGCATCTGAAGGCCTTCGTAGCAAGTTCTAATGAGTCAGAATCAGGTGCAGATGTACATGCCCTCGAGAGGCTGGCATGTTGTTTCGAAACTACGTATGGCAGAGGTGAGGTTCTGGGAAACCTTAGTCATCAAACTGCGTTCAGCTGGCCATATGAATTAGGGGAGGAATTTTGCGCGCGATTGCAGGAGAAACGGCCAGTATCAATGATAATAGCAGCACATTTTGCGTTATTACTTCAAAACTTTGAGTCTATATGGTTCCTCCAAGGATGGTCTGACCATATCCTTGCAAGCATCTATAAGCTTCTTAAGGAAGATTATCGAGTCTGGCTTGAGTGGCCGATAGACCAGGCCCGATGGCTCCGGGCAAAAAGAGAAGGTGGGGCGGTGAATGGTGAAGAACTCATTCCCGGGGGATAAAGAAGCATTTCGAGTGTTACAATTGGACTAGAAACCTATGTTATTTCTCAGCAGCTCCGTGAATTCAAAGAGCTATCTCCATATATGGTCATTCCGTTCCGTCTGCATAATAAGTTGTACTTTCGTCGAACAATGTTGGGCCAGAGTGCAGCATAATCTATTGCGGGGAGCTGCCGATTGGTGTGAGTATACGAGTATACGAAAATTACCGTATCAAGACTAGTGGTCGTGAAGGCTACCCCACCTTAACTCCACTGATAGACCGAATACGAGATCAGGGAAAACATCCCTGCCATACTATAGGTTCTCATTGCGCTTTTGACCCCATCCGTACACAATACTCGTGATGCTCAATAGACAATATGGTATTTCTTTCATCATGCATACCTCGCTACTATCTTCAACAAAGTATAAAGATGAAAACAAACAAGATCTCTGGAAAGTGGCTCAGAAATTTACATAGAGCGTCATTTGCGTGCCTTCGAGAGATGCACCCTCGCACTGCAACACTCCATCGTGAAAGTCTCCTGAAGTGTAAAGCACCACACATGTAAGTACGATCACGTAGACCAAATCGGTCGACCCTTGGTTAGAACATACATGACGCAATCTAAGGGTAAGACATAAGAAGATCGTAGTCAGTACATACATTCGGATGACTGGCGAGGCAAAGATGATGATGTATAGGATAGATGTATTAGATACTTTATAGATATTGTGGAAAGAGAGTGAGCGGAACAGAATGATTGGCCTCATTTTGGAGTGTAAGACACTTGATCTATTTACAATGGACCTTGCAGGGTCATTCAATTTCCCATATTTTCCACAGCAAAATCTGAGCCTAGCATCCCACAATAGCTGAGCCATAGGTGCGGACATCATCGCCCAAGCAATAAGGTCCCCTAGTTACATTAACAGCGAGTTCCTGGCAATTGTCGTCGAGATGAACTAGTACTGGTCGCTTGTTAGAAATAAATGATAGTTTAAGCAGACCAATTCTCACGAACGGTAACACTCAGGCTTTAGAAAGGTAAGCTTGACACCTGAAGTGTCCAGGGGATTTTTAAATTTGAGACACTTTCCGGCTTCGGTCGATAAAATGGCCCGGGTGTTCAAGCCGCCAGTCTCGCAGCGGAAGTCTCGGAGCTCTTGGAATAGTGCCGTAAGAGAGGGCGGTTCGTCTGCTGAGGCAGGAGCAGCGACGGCAAGCGTTAACATGCCGAAAATGGATAGAGTGGAAGCAAGAAATTGCATATTGACTGAGTTGTAGTTGGCTTTGGATAGAGACTGCACGATAATGGAAGAGCTTTGGTGTTGGGCTGATATTGGTGATAGGGACGGACCAGTCTCTTTTATAGTTACAATACTCGAAACATATCGTAACTGAAATCTTTGGGATCAATCAATTTTTACAGGAGTTGACAGGAGATGGTAACGGTTATAATCTCTAAATTGGCAGATTTATTGAAGCATGGGCAGGAAGCAAGATTTTGGACAGATGTATATACCTCATTACCCAATGAGCTTGCCCCCTGTTAGAAAAGACTGGGTCGTGGACAGGAGATAATACTCTTTTTCATATGATGCTTGTTATGTTAGATTGTTTACCTTGTTTTTGAACATCCTTAGGGTCTCGTCCCGTGCTCAGCCTGTAACTATGCATAGATTGCGATACAAGTCGATGCCCTCTTCATCGCTGCCACCACTTTACGTTAAGTGATAACCCCAGGTAGTGGGCAGCTCCTTGAACACATTGGATAGAAGTAGCGCCAGGACTGTAAGTTTGCGGCGTTGGGTAGGGATTGACTTAGGATATAGTCTGCCACATGTTCGAGTTCATAGACCAAGCTTCGTGTCATCCCTTCTAGTGCAATTTTGAACACTATAGACACCAACATTTTAGGGAAAGTGAATTTAGATGCAACAGACAAGATATCAATAGTGCTGATCTGCTTTCGTAGATGCGAGAAAACAGCATTGACAAGGAAGAGTAGCGCACGAACGTTGACAATGAAATCGGATTGTATTCTTCCGGTGCCGTCCTTGTGAGAGCTCTAGGGAACAGTATCCTAGTACAATACAAACGAAGACGTGTCTAAGCGTCTTTACATCGTGCAGTTCGGTGCGTTACAGCAACCCATACCTTTCAACCCCAGAATACTCCAAGCCAAGTTCCACGATTTCCAGAATCTACTTGAGCTGAATCCTCTTTTCAAAAAGACATATGAGACACTGCAGAGTGATGGAAGGTTTGGTATAAACTATGATTGGGTTGTTGAGACCAACAAGTTTGGGTTGATACAACTGGTACTTTATCTATAGCCTCGAATGAAGTTCGTCATCATACTGGGCGCGAGCAAGAGGCCCACCTCAATTCGTTCGCCAACTTGAAAACCAACGCCACTGATGACGATAGCGCAGTGCTCGAAATCTATCGCACTGCTCTTTTCTCTGAGATCAATGATTACTCCAAGCCGGAGTCAGGCGGCCTTGAATCGAAAAATAATACCTCGATGTGAATATTATCATATAAGATTGACATTCGGGATATGCATATGAGGATGCTTCTATCAGAGACGATCGCGCGTGTGAGAATGCAACGATCAGAGATGATCGAACACATGAGGGTATTGCCACCAAAGGAAACTGCACATATGATGGCTTGCATAAAAATATACGTCATCATACTACATTCACGGGTGCCACGTATAACAGCCACATGTAAACGCTTTTCAAGAGATTTTATCGACTGCTTTTCCACAATTTCACCATATAACACAGGTCTACCTGACAAACAGGTCTTTTTAATCAACTAATAGCAAGGTACGTCAAGAATCACAGATAACCAAGGATACGGACACCATGAACTCCCAAGTTTCCTCGGACAAGGACAACGGAAGTTCGCGTTCGAACTCATTGAGAAGTTGGAAAAGAACATGGGTATTAAGATTCGCGGTAATACATGTTTATTCGTAGCAGGAGTAAAAGAGTCGAGTAGCTTCCTATTAGTACATGAAGTAATCTATTAGACATGGAGTTAAGATCTAGAGAACCCGACCTTGGGCACCATATCCATCTACACGAATGGCATCGGGTGGTTCTTGATATATCGACCCCAGTCCATAACATCTTGAACTTGGGTAATGAGGTGCATTCTTCCCCCCACATGGCTCATTACGCCCCCCTCGTACTTGTAGTACTGCACATCCAACCCAATCTAAACTATTCCATAGCAATTTTTGCTAGCGTTTCTATTCTCAGCAAGATGGTTGAGAAGCTGATCCTCTATTGGCCCCCAAGGCACTCCCGGCCTCTTGCTCTCGATGAGCATGAAGTCATACAGAGGGCTAGTTGCGCGGGTTCTTTGCGAAAGCTTAAAAGCAAAGTCGGTTTCTGCCTCTCGAAATACTTCGTACCCTTCGCTCTTAGGAAACATGAATCGGAGGATACCCTCTATGGGCCTTTGATAGAGACGTTCCTCTGATTCTGGCCTCCGTGCTAAAACACCAAGCATGGCCTGGACGTGAAGATCGTCAAGGTACGTTTGAGGTGGAGGCGGATTGGGATCTATGAGAACTGCTCTTCCAGTTCTTTCGTTGTTCCTAGATCACATTATTCAGGATCGTTCATAGTGTATTGAAGCACTCCAGGGATTACCATTGTGGCCAATTTCTTGATAGGTCCTGGGTCCAAGTGTCCTGTTCCGTAGGCTAGATATTGACTAATCAATCTACTACAATAACTTACGCTTGGGACATCTTCTAATCCTCTTGGAATAGAAAAGCGCGTAGCGTTTGTGAGTGTGTCGACATAATAAACTTGGCCAACACGATTTGCGTATTGATGGAATCTCCCGCCTGTCATAGCTCCGAGGTCATAAGAAGCCATGGTTCTCCTTTTGGCTGAATAGATTGTAGTCAACAAAGGAGCATCAAAGTAAAATAATTGAGCTTTGATATCGGTCTGAATGAATGACCGTGTTGATAGTTAATAGCTTCGAAGCACAATGCTGCAACTAGACTGCACACAGCAACGAAACTATACTAGGCAGCCACGTAGCCACTAGCCTCCCCCACCAACAGTTTATGCCCACCTACCAGCACAGTTTTACCAACAATTGACCTGAACTAAACTTTTCGCTATCGAAAATAATTCTAAATTATACTATCTATCTTCTTTGGTTATAGCTGCAACTTTAAATTACTTTAAAATCATGTAATTTGATGTTGTGGTAAGGGTAGGTAGACAGAGACTATTGCCGGGGTCGCTGATGCTCCAAGGGGCATGATACTGTATTCTAATTACTTCAAATAAATGCAAAACAAAAGGCTCGTTTACGGGTATATATCAATCTTTGGACCTTTTCAAAAGTCGCATCTACAGTAAGCCTACCTGTACGCCACACCACTAAAATGATCGCCGAAAAGAATATGTGACTCCACAGGAGTCTCCTCAATCCTGCCTGACCAACTTTCTTCTCTCTCTATGTCCCGGCCACCGCTTCTCCATTGGAATAAAGTTCCAGCATTAAGTATGCAGCCGACTCTGGCGCGCTCAATCGGCCCTTCCGATATCTCGTCAAGGATCATATCCTGCAGCTCAACGGGGAGTCTGTTGATACGAGTTTTAGGAGAACTAACCTGTGTAGTTTTGAGTAGAAGCTCGATGGCTTCATCGGAGGGAGGATGCGTGCCCTCAAGCAAACGCACGGGTTTTGTGTATCTTTCATAACGGCGACTAATCTGATAAAGAACGATATGTTGCACTGATAGTATGAGGTATGTAGCTTC